TCCTCCTCTGACTTGTCAAACCAGATAAACTTTGTTAGAATCACAAAAGTGAGTTGCTAGCATCGTTCAGAAGATCACTTATGTGATCATTTCTGTGCTATATAGTTTTTATAAAAATATTATGGAATATTTTTTTTATGTAATAATTTTTTTTAAATAATGGTGGCAGAGTAGATCTAATTCTTGTTGTCGTCCCAGTACCAAGATTCCCACATTTGACAGGATTAAACCTCTCATTAAAAAGTCCAGTGGCGCTCCCAAACCATTTTTGCTTTTTTCTTCGACTGTCTACCCAGCAAAAATTTCTAGCAGCAAGTGAATGAATCTACATAAATATGGTATGGCAAGCTCTAGCCGCTTATTACTTATTGTATATTAATTAATTAATATATGTATTTTAAAATATAATTAATTAATATATGTATTTTAAAATATAATTAATTAATATATGTATTTTAAAATATAAACAATTTCTGATTATTTTGAATTTTAATAGTTTTTTTTTGAATCGTCTTTCTTATGAATCACTTTTGAAATTTGGTTATTTAATATGGTTAAAAATTTTTGCCTATAATAATGCAGATAGGCCAATTTTTAAATGGCAAGTTATCTCCACTGGAGACAGAATTTCGCAGGATGAAGAAGGATCTCGCAGCACGCTGTCCACTCAGAAATCTTGTCTTTTATTCTTTTAGCTTATAATCAGTTGGTTATTTCGTATAGAAATCTCATTTTTCATTTATGCACAATATTTTATTTTATTTGAGAATTAAAAACTGGTTGGATTAAGGTTGGATTAAAATTCGAGAAAGCGATAGAATTATAATGATGGTAGTTTCCTCGAATAAATCTTTTTCGGTAAAATTAAAATTAATTTTCATATTTTGAAAGAAAAAAATGAATTAGATTTTCTTTCCTGTGATAGACAGTTGACTGTTTTGTGCTTTTTAAATTATAAATTAGGTTATTAGGTTTATTAATTTAAATATTGATGGAAGATTGTTGAATAGCTAAAAAACCATTAAAACTACGAATAATAAAATTTATTAATGCAGTTAAATTGTTGAAGTTCAAACTGAATTGAATTTTTATAGACTTTTCAAGGAAATTATTCTGGTTTTTGAATGCTTTTCTATTAAATGGTTATAAAATTAAGAATTAAGAAAAAATTAATTAAAATCAATTCCACTCACAATATTTTTCTTAATCAATATTAGTAGTTATTAGAAAGTTACACGAATTTTTATAGAATTATTTGTTTATTTTTCTAGAAAATCTGAAAATTTTACCTGAATTTTTGCAAAAGATAGTTGAAGATGGCATTCAATTATATTTTTTTTATTTTCCTGATGACACTTTATATTTTGAAAAATTGACTAAATTTTCATGGAAAAACTATCTCTTATCCATTATTCTGTTTCATTTGGTCATTTGGCGGAATTTGAATTTACAATAAATAAATTTGCATTAGACAAACATGAATGGTACTTATCCAATTTTCCGTAATTTCGATATCCTAATTTTTCGATTTCTTATTGAAAAATTAGAATTCAAATAATGTTTAAAGTTCAAACGTGATTAAAAAAAGACATTCATGCAAATTTTTTCGATTCATTTATTGATTGAAATTTATTTTTTAAATTTGTGAATTTCGATCAAAAATTTTGAAACGTGGCGTTCAACATGCCTGACGGTTGGCCATCTTTTCTTGGCGATCTTGTCGTGAATTTTGTGGCCTAATTTTAAGCTTAATCTTTCGATCTTACAAATAATTTTTCTAATTTCTTTGAATATTAAAAAAAGGAATACAATAAATTTTTTTTCTTTCAATTTTTGGCGAATTTTTCGATGATTTATTTGATTGTTCAAATTGTTTAAATTTTTCCTATTCCAAATGGTCGCCGATTCATTTTATTTTACTCTTCTATTCGTTTTTCTCACAGAATCTCCTTGTTTTTTTATTTGCTTGAAATCGATTCGATTCGGATTTATATTAAAGTTGATCGCTTGCTTGGATTATAAATTTTTATTTGATTAGATTTAAAGGTTTGGTTGTCGGTCCAACGGTATGATTCTATGCCACTTTAGATTAATTTTTCTTTCGTAGCTTCCGTAGAACAATGGTAGAAATCTAAGTTTATTAGCTCAACTGAGGAATATGGAATGGAAATCAGGGAAAAATGCACTGGAAAATAGTATGAGCGGATCAGATTAATTAAGCAGTGAATACGTGCTGTGTGTTGTCGTGGTACTATCATTATCATCTATCTTCTCACTGCATTATTTAAATTTTTGTTTTAGTTAGCCTACATTACATATATATATATATATATATATATATAAAATCTTTTCCTCATGCCCGTGGGTGGTAAGTGTCACCTTCAACCTCAAGTCCTCTGCCTGGTAGATCAAGGGTTCTGCGCAGTATCTTAGCTGTTCCTAATACTGTCTTCTGGGTAGGGATCTCTGATGTTATTGCTGGAATCTGTTGAAGCCACTTTTCTAGTTGTGGAGAAACAGTCCTAAGCGCTACAGTTATCAGTGGAATCACTTTGGCCCTCATTTTCCGCATCTTCTATATTTCCTCTATATATATAAGTGAAAACAAATAATTACCTGGGTTCGTAAAAATGGAAAATGGATCCGAACCAGATTGCTGCAATTTGGCGGAAGTGAAAATATAAAAAGGATTTTAAAAGATGGGGAATCGAATCTCTGATATTATTGGATCCACCTTTTACTTTCACCGTTTTGCATGTAGGTATAGGTACATATTTTACTTTACAAATTATCATTTTGATTTGTGGATTTATGGGAGTATGTTTGTCTTGTAGCTCTATATAAATAAGATCAGTGGTTCTAAATTTCTTTGTCTCATGGCCAAAATCTCGTGGTTTGTTCAGCCGTGTGCACCTCTCAATCAGAAAGTTCTATTTTTGTTAAAATGCAAGTAAAGAATGGATTGGGGATTCAAAAATGTTATAAACTAGAAGATGAAGCATTTTAAGTGTTTTTCAATTCAATAAATATATAGTTTTAAGCCTAGAGAAAAATTGCTCCATTTAAATCAAAAATAACCCAAATTGAAAAAGAAAAAGCTGAATTATGAAGTGGGAAAAAATTGCAAATTTCATAAAAATTATATTTCATATTTCACAGACAGCATTCTATATTAGGAAAAAATTGCATCGTCAAGTCTTCTAGAAATAAATTTTATTCGATACTGAAACTGTTTTGGACGACAACTTTTAGCGAGCTTTGTGGCTAATGAGAAGAAGCAAATCTTTGTTATTCGGCTGAAGTTCGCCAAAAATGACTGAAAGTTTCTCATGTCATTTTTTCATTGCTCCTCTTTTTATGAATTCATTTTTTCCAAATCATATTCTTCTTATTATGGAATTTTCAATTATGACATTCTTCAGAATAGAAAATAAATTTTTATATTCTATTTTAAATTTAGCATTTTAGCTATATTACTTAGCTTCCCATTTTTCCAAATTTTTTCTTTGGCTCCGGAAAAATGTTGCACTTTTCCTTGGAGCCATATGTCTCTTACTGTGAACCACTGTGATTTAAAATACTATTTTGGTCTGATCCCTTTAAAAATCTGAAAGCATATGATGAAGCATATTATTAGAGAATGTTGAAATATAATTTTTCCAAATCTCCTGAGAGTTAAAATGGTGAGTGGTATGGTTGCGTAAATTTCATGCCTTCGACTAGTACATCAAAAAATTCTGATTCTGCTGAACTACTGATAACCAGCGGGGTTAGCCTAGTGAGCAATGGTGATCGTTAACCGGTTAATAAGTTTTTAATGTATTAGTAAACTTTATGAATTTAAATCGGCTGTTTTCAATTTCTTTCATAATTTTTACAATTCCTTCATTAGCAAATAATTCACAATATCATCTAAAACTTTACTAGACTTGTCTTGGTTGAAGTGCTTTTATTTTCTTTCCGTTCCTTCTAAAATTAAAATTACCTTCATAAATTTACAAATTAAAATATTTATTAAATTAAATTATTCAAATCTCAGTTTTAATTCTTCCAAATTAGCGATCTTTCTATTTTTAAATGTTTAAAAATTTTATCTTGTCATTTTTAGGAAGTCCTCTTCATCAATAAATATTATTCTTATGAATATTTTTTCAATGCAAATACAAAATAATACATAAAAAAAGACTATTGAAAAATTTCTTCTGAATTCTTGCTGAATTAATTTCGTAATTAGTTGGATAATTTGGCTAGTTCCACTATCAGGATGAAGCGTTTGCTAGCGAGTCACTTAGAAAATAGAAGCATCGATGAATCTCCAATATCAATTGAGAAAAGGAAGATTATAGAAAAAGATTATAGATAACAAAATAAGATTTGTAAAATTTTTCAATTATTGTGACGTAAAACTTTAATCCAAAGAAACTGAATGAAATGACTACCAGTTTCACGATGGTTTATTTGGCTGATATTGTCAATCATTGCTCGAGTTCATTCGAAAAACTCCATTTTTCGATAATACAATTTTTAAGGGCTGTATTGCTGCTCTTTTTTTAAAGAATCCTCACCATTAATGGTTAAACTCGCTCCACTGGTTATCACATTGAGCAAAATGCCAGGGAGTCCCTTGGTGATAAAAGCACAGATGAGTCGCCAGCACCACCTGGATCTCTGGATAAATATATCTCTACCGTGGGTAGAACTTTAGCATCGGATTGGAGCAACAACCCACTGAGCCATCCTGGCCTTTTTTACTGCTACTGAATTATATATTTCCGGTTCGCATTTCCTTTTTCTTAATTTACTAGTGTACTACTAATCATGCTTTTTAATTGTTTAGCAAAATTGGGTAAAATAAAAAATAAACTGTATTTCAAACTTAATTTGGCTGTGATTACTTTATTTTTTTATTTAAAGTTTGGCATAAATTCGAATGGTCCAAATGTTTGAATGAAAATATTATAGAATGATAGCATTTTTATTTAGCAATTATTTTTTTTTAAATGAATGAATTAGACTGTATTATATTAAGGAAAATGGAACTGGTTTTAAATTGGAATGAAACAATGTTAATTTTCTTTGAAAAGAATAAGGAATACAAATAAAGATTATTCACTGATAAAATTTGTTGGATTAATAATCATCATTTCGATTTTAAAATTTCTTAATTTCTTCTCATTCTTATTAAAATAGAAAATTAGAGCAATTCCAATTTTTTGCAGAATGATTAGAGAAAGGTAGAATGATAAATCATCCAAACGTTTTACATTTTGCAAAACAGTCCTAAGAAAATCTTTGATGGGGAGTAGATCCTCGTAACTGCAATGATACTAGTAACTGCATTTATCGCCACCAAATAATCCATAGCAAAATTTATCTGGTCCGGCAAACCTAACCGAAATGGTGAGCGCTCTTCAAAAAAGAGGAAAACCTTTTACATAAATTTTTTGAATAAATTTTACCATATTATTAAAAGTCAAATTAGTGTGGTGACTTATCTGTATTTCTATCCAATTCTTTGCCAAACGATCCTCGTACTAGTCGATAGGTTAAACAGAATTGTTATAGATATAAAAGTAAAATCTTCGGACTAGATTTGCCCTAGAAGATTTGCCTCTTTTATTAATTGATATTTTTATTAGTTAGACCATATATTAGTTAGTTTTTCGATCTTATTATGCACAAAATATTGTATTATAATGAATGATTTTCTTTAAAGCCATTGAAGAGCTGGCAGTAGAATTCTCTTATTATTTACTATAGCGAACATCTGTTGACGCATATCATTTCTGTCGATACATCGTTTTTGGTTGATTATTGCTTCATTGACGCTGCATTTCGTTCGGATGAATTTATTTCATTTTCATGTTGTATTTGCTTATTAAATGGTGGATTATTTCAGGAAATCATACAGAAAATGCCCAATTGTCCTGGATGTGGTAAGCCGGTCTATTTCGGTATGTGATTTCTCTCAGCGATCTATAAATATATCTCTATATTATTTTTTCATTTAGCAAAAAGCTTTCTATTTTTATTTCTAATTTTGTTTCAGCATTTTTTGCCTTCCGCAGCCATTTTAAATTAATTAATAATTAATAATTCCTAGTTATTTTTAAAAAAATGAACAATAAATTATTTCATAAATTAGCAAATAATTTTAATAAAGTTATATTTATAAAATAATTCTATTCTTTTTGGTCATTTTTTTTCTATATTATTATATTTAATTATAATTAATATTTAATTAATCGCACAATTTTTTTAATTTCCAGGTAATTTTAATAATTTTACTTTCTTTTAATATGTCAAATATCATTTTTTGTTTTCTTGAAAAAATTCGTTTTAAAATCTATCGATCTATAGCTGAACGAGTTACATCAATCGGAAAGGATTGGCATCGATCTTGTTTACGGTGTGAGAATATTCACTGCAGAAGAACGCTAATTGCCGGAGGCCATTCTGAGGTTAATTATTAATTGCAGTTATCTCAAATTTCCTAAATTTCGGAATTTCCACAATTTCTAAAATTATGACTAATCAAGTAATACTTTTAAAATAAACTTATAAAATAAAATATATTCTATACTGGCATAAATTTAAAATGTCAGTTGTCGAGTTCATAGGTCATAATGAAAGGATTTCATTCGAGTCATACTAGAAATTATTCGATGAATTCATGAACAGATATGAAGAAGAAGAGTAAAATGAAAATAAATTTTTTTACTCGCTGTTCGTCATCGCATTCATATTTGGATTGCAAATCTTTTTTGCATATGGATCTCGCTAATTGTTATTTGCAGTATTTACGTAATTTAATATTTATCCGAACTTCACTTTTTGCCATTTTTCTTTCCTCTTTTTTGATAACGAAAAAAAAGACACGGAAATAAGGAAATTCAAAGCGTTGTAAAAGACGACAAAAAATTTATTTCTATTTCTTAAAATTTTATCATTAAATTCATACTAAAAAGCAATTTTATTTTGTATTGCACTATGTGTTTGTTGAAAAATAATCGATTATCGAGTTCAAATTTATCTCAATTATAGAGCGAGATTTTATGGATTTTTTATACAAATAATGCAAAATATTTCTAACGATAAGTAAAGTAAATTTTTAAAGGAATTTGAAAAGGAATTTAAATTTAAAATTGATTAGATTTAATTAAATTTTTTTATTTTTATTAGCGGTTTCTTTTAAATTAATTAGTATAGGAATTATTATATATTTTTCCAGCATCAAGGAAAGCCTTACTGTAATCAGTGCTATGGAGCATTATTTGGACCAAAAGGCTATGGACATGGTGGATCTGAATCGCATACATTTCATAATGGTTTAACTGGAAGAGCCAATTAAAATCTTAGATTTATTAATAAAATTTTTTACATTTTTGTTATATTTCTGTTATAACAACATATATAACAACAATTATGGACATCTAATTTTTCAAACGGATTTTTTAAATTAAATTTTTTTCCGTTAATAATTTTAATTAATGAATAAAATTTTTCATTAATGATCTTTTTTTTTCTATTTTTTATCTATCTATTCGTGCCGAACCGAAAATATCGGGTGAAGAAGAAGAATCTCGATTTCATATTTATTAATACAGATGTGATGGACACCTATATTTTTATCGCCAGATTACTCCCTGGCAAAAATTTCTAACTAGTCTGGCCAGAAATATAAGTTCTAATGATCATAAATTCTTTTACAATTCGTTCCTATAAAAATTTATTAAATTTTCTACTTTCTTTATTGCTAAAGAATTTTTCTAATAAAATATATTGTATTTTAACTGAAAAATAATATTTGGAATCATATTAATGAAAATGATAGTAATATTTAAACCAGAAATGCTTTAAGTGCTTTAAAGTATTGGTTTAAAAATGTTCGTCATCTGATACAATTTCTGGTTTACATTTGACCCAAAACAAATAGGCTCGATTGCTCTTTGGTGATCGAAGAAAAATTTTGTTACCATTTAATAAGGAATATCAAAAATTATTGAGAATACTTGGAGGGGTGACTGTACTTTACTACAGTCCGCAGTTGAATTTGCGTCTCAATACGATAATTTAAACCAAAAGTTGGCGATATTTCTTCTCAGTGTGCGCTAAAGGGATCTGAGAGGACACTGCTGGCCCTTCAAAAGTACACTACTATGTGAGAAATCAATGTTAGATTCCGTTAGACAAGGTTAAGTAATGATAAGCAGTTAATAGTCTGGTGCATTGTAAAATTACCTAAAAATTTTAAGGGTTATTCGCTCAGCTACACTGTTATTCAAAAAAATTAAAAAGCCGCACAACGCTAAATTTTCTAAATTTTCTACCGCAATCTACGATCTAAATCAACATCCACCTGAAAAAAATTTACGATAAAAAATGATTTAAAAAGCAGTTCTCTAGGAAGAAATACATTAAGTAACCAAGTATTAATATTTATTATACCATCCATAATTTAAAGCACCATTGTATTAACATACGATATTTCAGTACTTAGATACACGGATGGCTTGTTAGGAGACAGATCTGATAAAACCTCTTTAAAAACAGTTTGACCTCAATAAAAATGATGGCAGCGACCAGTCTTGAAAAGAGTTCGGGGATAAAAGGTGCAATAAAGGTATACTAGGAGTGGTTATTCTTCTTCTTTTTCTAACAACTCTCACCATTATTGGTTAAGCTGGCTCCAACTGCTACAAGGGTAAGATGCTTTCAAGCCGCGCAATCTGATGATATCGTCGACAGTAATGGAAGCCATTCCTTTTTTCATAGTCTAAGTCCATATATTGCAAGTCCACCTATAATTTCAAAATCTTTTCTCACCGTATCAAACCAGCTCTTGATTGGCCCACCGCGCTTTTGACGCCAACCATCACACGATTTAGCAAATAATAACGAAATATGCGACAAATCCTGTGGTGGGCGACGGAGAACGTGCCCTAACACCGAAGGCGACGCACTATGATAACATTATTTATGCAAGTGGTATTTGTACGAAGATGGATGCAATCATCATATCTTATCCGCTCGATGGATAATCTGTAATATGTACCTTAGACAAAGTGGTCAAAGGCAGATAATTTCTTAATATCCTCCACTCTCAATGACCATATCTCAGAACCATAAAGCAAGATCGAACGAATCACGGCTATATAAATGCGGACATTTGTTTTAATGATAATTTCACGACGGCTCCATAAAGGTTTCGTCAACCGGAAGAATGCATTTCTAGCTGCCGTGATCCGAGTTATAATATCATCTTTTGCCTGTTCATTTGGTATTAGAGTGGATCCAAAGTATTTGAAATCGGGCGCTTCCTCAACCGGCTATAATTTACAAAAAGAGGCATTTTATCAGTTTCTTCCACATAAGGTGAAAAGGTTTTCGTTTTATTTACATTGATCCTGAGTCCGATTCTCGCTGCAATTGCTCGCACGTTATTTAGCATTATTTAGCATTAGCCTTACATTTCGTCATAACTGTCAGCAAAAAGGACTACATCATCAGCGTATAAGATATGATACGATCCTCTGGACTAATTTGGACACCACTTGAGTGCCGACAAGCGGTGTCCATATTTTCGAGTCTATCACATAGTTCGAAGGAGTCTGTTAGTTCCCCATATATACAGACCTGCCCCGACGTACGCTCATAAAATTCCTTTATGATTCTAATGATTCTCTGGAACACCGTCACGTTCCATCACCCTCCAAAGCGCCGCTCTATCAATTGAATCAAAGGTAGCCGCAAAGATGAAACACGTGATAGTGGGTTGCAAATATCTGAGTTTTATTGGCCTTAAAGCTAATGGATAACTGAAATTATTTCTTCTTCTGTTAGAGGCTCGCAATTGCAAACGTATTCTTCGGCAAATCAGCTACATCAGGGGCAACAGATGGAGCTTATGGTTAAGTTTGGCCTTCCCATCTTATGAGGAGATCCTTAATATTTTTAATTTGTACGCCATTGCTGTCTTTTACCATTTCACTGATCGTTCCCCGAGTCATAGTTGCTTTATGAAGAAAGCAGAATAGTCTCCTATTATCGCCTAATCGAGTCGCCGCTTTCATTCTTGAGGCCATATCACTCCAATAATGATTTCTATCCCGCCATGCTGCTTTCGTTGGAAATCTTCCAAGCATCAGGTAGTGAGGACCTAATATTGATGCTTTGGCAGCTTTTTCAGGCAGTTGAGTAGTTGCTTCCGATACCCAACTAGCGCACTTCCTACTAGTATGCTCTAGCGCGGAAGTGGCTGACTTTCGGAGACTTTCCTTTAGTTTGGACCAGTATTCATTTGCTGTTCCAGAAAAATCATTGATATTTGTATCATTGAGATTCAATAATTCGGTTTGAAATGCGCTCATTGTCCCCGAATTTTTTAGTTTGAGATAGTTGAAGGATCTTGAGAGATGCTGTTTTCTGCGAGTTTTCATTTTGTGCGGATCTTGGCTCGAACCATAACATGGTCAGACCCATGAAGATTTCCCGTTTCAGCGCCATGGTAGGAACGACTATCTAGTACGGAATTCTTCTAACGGCGACTAATCAATCTGGTTGAAGTGTTGGTTGTCCGGGGAGTTCTACGTGACTTTTCTATGATGCCGGGAGCAAGTATTAGTAATAAAAAGTTTATGCTCTTCGGCATAACGAAGAAGGCGTTCCCAGTGACGCACCGGTCTCCGATGCCATATTTGCAATTGTAGTGGTCATCGCAGTGGCATTATGATTATGAATGCACTACGCGAGCATTCCAATTATGATCATGTCATGTTTCGGTAGGAACTTCGTTAGCAGTTGAAGTTCCGCATAGAACTTGTCTTTATCTCGATCATCTGCCGACAGAGTTGGAGTATAGACACACTGATGACCGAGATATTGCAGAATTTACCCATAAAACGGGCATAGGCCATGTCGTCGCTTACCGGTCTCCACTCAATCAAAGCGGAATGGGCTTTGTCAGACATGACAATCGCTACGCCATTTCGTCCCGAGTTATTCGAAGCATCACAGTGATGTAGCCAGTATTTCTGCTCTGAATGAGGATTAAAACAGGAGTGGTTATTATTATAGGATTGCAATCAAGGTTTGAAGTCCGCCTCTGACAAAAATCAACTTGTGATTGCAAAACAGACTAGGGAGCTATCTTTATCTCTCCTTTTATTTTCAAATGACTCTCTGACAAAAATTTCTCATTAAACTAATGGCGAATGCTAACCATTTATTTATTATTGTAATAAAAAACAGAAACTTCAAAACCATGATTCAAATCAGAATCAGAGTGGTATTAATGTGGCCACTCTCTTGTTAATCTTGCGACAATGGTGATCCGGTGCAAATTTCGCATAGTAAGAAACAACTTTAGAAATAACCGTTAGGTGCATAAACTTATTACTGAAAGTAATATTCATGCTCAAGTTGATTGAATTTGCAAAGTTAACGATTTATTGCTAATCTCCAATTTTTAAAAATCTTTGTGGACCAAACAGAACAGCAATACTCGCAAATGTGGGTCTGCGTGTCCGTCGTAGATCTAGCGTAAGGTGTTTTTCACATAGTTTAAGACCGAGGAATACATTTCATCAACTTATTATAAAGAATTAAAAACGTAGGCGATAAATTCGATAAATTCTGGCTTATTAACTTATTTGTACTTTTATTTCAAAATTGTTTCATTCTTCAGTTATTATCTAACATACCAATCACCTTTTTTAACGGTAGAGTGAACCATTAGTTGAATAGTTTAACCATTCAAAAAAAAGTGTCGATGAGCATTTCGAGTTCTCTGATAAAGAATACAGAAAATTTTGCTCGATTTTTAAATAGATGATACCAGTCTGCAAAGCAAAACCAAATTATCTAAGTTTTTATCAGTTATTGTTTACTTAGTTTTGCTTCCTAACCACAGTGGTAACGGAATAAAATATAACTGCAGTTCATCAGTTAGTTTTTGAGATATCATGCATAAATTCTTAAATTATGCGAGATTATGCAAGATGCCATTTTCATTGTGCAAAATGAAAAAAAAATTTTTTTGAATTACAAAATTCTTTTAACCATTCAAGGGCTTCACGAAACAACGTATAAAGATTGAAGTATGAAGATTGAAATGCTTATCAAACTTCTTATCAGTTCTTCTTATTTGAAGATATTTTTAAAAGATTTAAATCATTTACAAAACTTCATCTTACAATAAATCAATAATAATTATAATAAATCTACACTTTTCGCTATATGGATTAATCTTCGGAATGCATTAAATTTACCAAATTTTAATTTTTTTGGATAATCTGGATTATTGCTCTTTTTTTAGAATCTTATATTAAAATTTTGTTTTTTTTGTATTTATTGCATATTCCCTGCTGCTCACCTGTCATTGGTATATAATTTTATATTCGTCTAAGTCAATAACAAAAGAAAGAAAGTACTTTCCATTTGAATTATTCCAAGAAAACCCGCCGAGTTTCTCCACATTGGATGAAAAAATGCTGGCTTTTTGCTCATCGTGACAAATGTGCTGACAATTCGTAATTTCAACCATTAATTTTTTTATTTCCATTAATTTTAGAAATATCTGCGATTCATGGCAAGAATAAATAAATAAAAAATTTGAGGCACAAAGAAGAAAATATACAAAAAATGAAATCTGCTAACAATGCTTAAACCAGTTTTTAGTTTCTTTGCATCTATTTCATTGATCTATGATTTAACGAAAAATTTAGAAAAAAATACGAGTTCAAAGAATGAATGAATATTATTCAGAATGTTTGTACACGTGACGTAAATCTAAATATTTGGTATCTTAAAGAAGGAAAAAGATTTGAAATAAATAATAGTGAACTGCAACAACGAAGTGACGCCCAAAATTGGAGAAATCGAAATTTTTGGTCCTTCGCAAGCGACTTATTTTTAATATCACCTAACTTTGCAAAGCTCATTAAATTTTCTCTCAATATCTCACTTTTACAAGGATCGCATTGGTGATTTTGATTTTAACACTGCATTTTGAAAATTGAATCTGACCGTTAGATTTATAAAAAAAAAAATGCACCAAGCGCGCTGTATTCTCTGCTAGGACCGTCCCAAGCACTTAGTGCTCACATCTTAGTTAAAATTTAGAATAATTCCATCTTATTGCTGAGTGGCCATCAAACTGGCTTCTACATATTCCCATGCTGATATCTTCAGTGGAAATATAATCATCTAATCCGTATTCTTCTTCTTCTGACAGGTCTCACCATTATTGGGTTCACCATTATTTGGTTAGGCTGGCTCCAGCAACTATAATGGTAAGACGTCTCCAAGCTGCTCGATTCGACCCCATCGCTAATGGTAATAGAAGCCATTCCTTTTTCCAACGTCTAAGTCCATATATCGCTGGTCTCCCTATATATTCAAAATCTTTCCTGACCGTATCAGTCCAATTTTTAATTGCTTCTTCTCGCTTTTGTCGATAATCATCACAGGGTTTTGCAAATAACGAAATATGAGTAAACTCCTATGGTGACGACGGAGAACGTGCCCTAATCAGCGAAGGCGAAACTCTGCAATAACGCTATTTATGAAAGTGGTATTTGAACGAAAGTGGATGGTGCGACCATAAAGTGGTGCGACCATATGATATTTTATTCGCTCGATGGATCAATAAAATGTACCTTAAGGTGGTATGATTAAAAAGAGTGGTCAACGGCAAATAAGTTCTTAATTCTTCCACTCTCATTAGCTATGTCTCAGAACCATATAGCAAGATCGAACGGATCACGGCTGTATAGATGCGGACTTTCGTTTTTATGAAAATTTCACGACGGCTCGATAAAAGTTTCGTCAACCGGAAGAACGCATTTCTAGCTGCCGTGATCCGAGTTATAATATCATCTTTCGCCTGGCCATTTGGTATTAGAATTGACCCAAAGTATTTAAAATCGGGCACTTCCTCAACTGGCAATGAATTTTTAAAAAGCATTTATCAGCTTCTAATTCATATTACAATTTTTTATTTAAGTAGTAGTAATAAATCATTTTTAATGATCATTTTATACAATTTATTGTATTCATTAAAAACAAGGTGGAAAAACTTGATATAGAGAAAAAAATTTGATGACCACTGTAGCTCGCATTATTATTATTAATCAATCAGTCCTTTTAGAAAAAAATATCATTTCTTGTTACTGTCCAATCGGGCTTACAGCCTATATATTTAATCCTGCTTTGCAGACCAAAATTAAGCACAAATTAATTATCTCTTATTTAAAAATGATCACTCTTGTTCACCAATCTCTGTTTATATGCCTAAAGATAGGATGGTTGAACATCATATCACCATAAATCCAACTTCTATCCCTTGAGGACAATAAAATTGGAAAGTTTCTCTACTTTTTTCACCAAATAACTACCAAGGGATCTCATCCTAATAACAAGAAAATCCAGTCAAACTAAAAATGGTGAGCTCACCTACAAAAGAATATATGGAATATGTCTTCAAGGAATTCTGTGCTAACAATTCGACTGAGTGGGCTTATTTTCCTGGCAGCTCCTTCTGAATTCATTTTTCACTTTTCTATTTAATTTCCCTTTTAAAATTTTCTTTTTCTTTTCTTTTAAATACAATAAGATTGTAATTTAGTGTACTTCATAATATACATTTGCTACAATTTATCAATTTTTTTCCACATCATTAATGTAAGGAAATTGATGCGTAAACTAATTAAAAATTCTCAAAAATCCCGAAGAAAATGCTTAATTATTATTATTGAGTGGACAAAACTTTGTATATAAGCATAGAAAACTGATATTACAAAAAAATAGCTTATAACAATTTGCTTTATGGCTATAACCATTTGGTTCTTTAAATTGTAAATTGCCACGAAGCCCTATGTCTCATATACGTTTCTATTATATTCATATATATTATTATTCGAGTAATTTGTACGAAAAGTGGAATCGATGATGGATTATCAAACTATTCTCGGAACTTCTATTAAGTGGAGTTTTATTGAAGCAGAGTTGCAACAGTGGTTTGGAAATGAAACGAAATTTGGCGAAGGTAGACGCATAGAGATAATCGGCGTAGGCCAGGTTTCTGAAGTTCTTTTCAGTAATTTATTTATAATTAGTTGGATAACATGCAAATTATAATTAAGATTTTGAATTTGTATTCACTTTAGAGAATGATACTTAAAATTTTAAAAAATTCAAAAAATTTGCATCATTAGCTGTTTTTAAGATTGGCGATTAAATCCGAATTAGTCATCCAGGTAATTCATTTTAGGGTTTCATGTCAGTGTTGGGTCGTTTATATCCGGACTGGGTTAATCCTGATCCTCTATTGCCATGCAGTATAATAATAAAGATCTCTGCAATTAATGACCAAATTACTGATTATGTTGGACTGGATGAATGCTACCCACAAAACGATTCTGAAAAAAAGGCTGCCAAAGAAGCATTCGTGAAGCTATTATTAAAGGTATCAATCATTTCATTATAATATCACTTCTTTAATCCATAGTCATTTTAATGCGCATAATTATAGCTTCACAATTCGGAAGTATATTTTTATAAATATGCTAAGAAATATTCGTTCTGTGTCCCAAAAACGTATTTTCTTTGTGAAGCAGATGAAGATGGAAAACCTGGAATTATAACCATGCAAGATATGAAAGAATCAGCTATCATCCCGATCCATAAAAATATGACATTAGAACAAGTACGACAGGTGACTCGAATTTTTTCGCAAAATTATTAGAATTTGCAGAAAATTTTTTTTTTATTTATTGATTTATCAAAATTTTTTGATTTATGATAAAGAAAGCTGAAATATGAATTCCTCACGAATAAAACAAAAAATTACAGGTGTTAGATGCACTGGCCGAAATTCATACTGTTTCAATAAAAGATGATTCATGGAAAATTTATCCGAAAACATCTTTAAAAGATACTATTACGGGTGAAAATCGAAGTCCAGAGGTTTCTTTCAGTCCATATTTTATGATTGAAAATTTCAAAAATCTTTTGAGTAGAAAGCTGACTTTAGCTAAATCAACGTGACCATCTTGACTGGCTGAAGCTCACTCTTATTCAACAATAAAAATTTTTAATACTTTGGATAAAAATAAAGTAAATTTGACAAGGAAATCGTCAAAACAAAACGATAAAAATCCTTTTATGAAGTTTTGCTCAATGAAGCGACTTTACGAAAAGATTTTAATTTTCGAAATATCGCAATAACATAAAATTGCATATCAGGTAATTTTAAAACTTTGTGAAAAGCTTGAAGTACTCGATGCCGACTTGTTCAAACACAGAATCACGAAAATAAAGCTGATTTTCAATGAAATTTTTGACCTTGATTTCTTTGAAAATATTCATCTTCAAATGGGTAATTTTTTTACTTTATTTTATATGTTAAGCAAATATATCACCATTTTTGATGTGCTCGCTGGCGGCATCGAGTAATTTAGAAACTTTCGATAAGAAGGAGAGCGAGAGGTGTACAAGTGGTACACCAGCAATCGGAATTTTTAGTGATAAGTTTATTATTAAAGGGAATAGGAATTACTTCACAACACAATAATCTAGACCACTTAGTCAATAGCATCATTCTCCATATTATTTTTAGAAATTATCTATAGAAATGGAAGCCTCTACTTTTTAATGTTGCATTCTGTAATTTCATACCTTAAATTTAGTTATTATGGGTGAAAATTTTTTATTTTTATATACAAAAATTCATATAAAAAATCCAAAAAAAAGGTTTCGCTACATCTTCACCTTCTAACAGCTCTTACTATTAATGATTAGGCTGGCTCTGCTGGCTACAAGGGTGACGTCTTCAAGGTGCTCGTCCGATGACATTACCAGTAGAATAGAAGCCATTTCTTTTTCCATCGTCTAAGTCCATATATCATTAAGTCCATATCCATACAATCTATATGTTAAAAAATCTTTCCTGATCGTATCCAGGTCTTGATTGGCCCACCTCGCTTTTGACACTATCCATCACATGGTTTAGCAAGTAACGAAATATGCGACAACTCTTGTGCTGGACGACAGAAAACGTGCCCTAAAACCGAAGACGACACTCTGTGATATTATTTATGCAAGTGGTATTTGAACGAAGATGGATGCAATCATGTGCTATCGTATCCGCTCGGTGGATAATCTTAATATGTACCTTAGAGAAGAGTGGTCAAAGGTAGATAGTTTCTTAATATCCTCCATTCTCACTGGCCATGCCTTAGAACCATATAGCAAGATCGAACGAATCACGGCTATATAAATGCGGACTTTTGTTTTAATGGTAATTTCACGACGGCTCCATAAATGTTTCGTCAACCGGAAGAATTTATAGCTGCCGTGATCCGAGTTATAATATCATCTTTTGCCTGTCCATTTGGTATTAGAGTGGACCCACAGCAGGCGCGCAAATTACCCACTTTCAGCAAGAGGAGGTAGTGACGAAAAATAACGAGACCGTTCTCATAGAGGCCGGTTATCGGAATGAGTACAATTTAAACCTGTTAACGAGGACCTATGAGAGGGCAAGCCTGGTGCCAGCATCAACCGGCAATGAATTTACAAAAAGAGGCATTTTATCAGCTTCTTGCATATAAGACGAAAAGGCTTTCGTTTTATTTACATTGATCCTTAGTCTGATTCTCGCTGCAGTTGCTCACACGTTATTTAGAATTATTTGCATTTCATCATAACTGTCAGCAAAAAGGACCACATCATCAGTGTATTCAAGGTCTGTGATACTATGCTCTGGACTGATTTGGATACTCCTTGGGTGCCGACAGGCGATGTCCATTACCCAGTCTATCACATAGTTGAATATTGTGTGGAAAGGATGTAGCCCTAACGGATACCTGTTCTTATTTCGAAGGAGTTTGTCAGTTCCTCATATATACAGACCCGACGTACGCTCATAAAATGCCTTTATGAGTCAAATAATCTTCTCTGGAACACCGTCGCATTCCATCACCTTCCAAAGCGCCTTTCTATCAATTGAATCAAAGGTAACCGCAAAGATGAAACACGTGATAGTGGGTTGCAAAATCTGAAGCGATTTTCCAATAATCAATAAACGTGAATATCTGGTCAGAACAACTGCCCCGATCTAAATCTAGCTTAGTTAGAGCGTATTCTATCTCATATTATCATAAGTCTATTTAGCAGGAAGGAAGCAAAAATTTTCCTGGCGATATCTAGTAGGGATGACTTCTCGAAGATTTGAAGAGTTTGGTCGACTTCGTCTTCGACAGATTTATTAGTCCTAAGTTTCTGGGTATAGAGAATATTTCCTGTTATCATGTTCGCAAACAGAAGATGCATTGTGCACATGGTTAATTTTGACCACAAAAAATTCCTTCTTACAAAACCATTCTTAATAGTCTTGACAAGCACACCATTACTATTCCGTATTATTTCATTGACCGTTCCGTACAGAACTTATTCTTCACGGTTATCTCCAGACAAAGTTTAGGCATATACACTGATGACCGAGATAATGCAGAACTTTCCTTTGAAACGAGCATAGGCCATATGTTCGCTTACCGGTCTCCACTCAATCAAAGCGGAATAGGCTTTGTCAGACATGACAACCGCTACGCCATTTCGCTCCGAGTTATTCGAAACATCACATGCCAGTATATAGCCAGTAATGATATAGCCAGTAATTGTGCTCGTAGCCGAGTTTAATAATTGCACCCGAAGACTTCCTACAAGCAGACAACATCAACATGATGTTTAGAAAGAGTGTAGATAGTCATTTGGTCCATAAACGTTTTGATATTCCACGCTGCTACGGCTATCACCTCGCCGCGCGGGTAGAGAGCCGTTTCCCTTGTCAAAATTCGAGCAATTATACTGGCTCACAAGCATAACATATTCTCAAGACCTGAGGTCATTTGACTACGTCAGGATTGGATACTTATCGCATATAGCACCTAGCTAGGAGTATTATGGGCGTCGGAAGATGTGTTAAGAGAACCTGACCCTTTCACCATAGAATCACTTGAGGATATAATTAGAGGTGAAGGCCCTCAGCAATCACCAAGATTTTTGTTATCATGACAGGTTTATTCTTGCCAAGAATAAAAAAGAAAAAAAATTTAAGGATAGAAAATAAACTAGGAAATAAAAAAAATGTTTAACATATTTATAAAATATATATTTAATTGATTTAATATACAATTTACTTTAATTTTGTCTAACAAAATTTTTTTAAAGAGATAATTCACAAATAAATCAGGAATAATTTGTTGAAACGACCGCTCGCTAACAAAAACTTTTTAATTTGTTCGCTATTACATAAATATTTGTTATGATTTATGCTAGAAATCTTTTTTCAGCACTGCTCTTTACATAATTTTGACAAAAAATAAGAAAGTTTTAGACTTACCGCAAGTATTGGTGCATGGCGATTTGTGGTCATCCAACGTTTTGTGGGACAAGAATGGCGACTTATGTGCAATCATTGATTGGCAGGTATTCTGAAAAATTAAAGCCCATGTTTTTCCAAAGAAAAATCCTATCTTCAACCAAAATTTTGGTGTCATTTTTCAACATTTTTCACCAAAATACAATAATTTGCTGCAGTACGTAATTTAACTGAATTTAATAGAAAACATTTTGCTTAAGCAATTTTAGATTTTATAAAATCATCAGATATGTTATTTAAATAACTGCAGTTTGTACATGTGGGGTGCTCAGCTGAAGATTTATCCAGATTTATATGCAGCAGTTTAAATGCTGAAATTCGCAGAAAAAATTGGCGAGAACTGCTCAAATATTATTATTCAAGCGTCAATGATAAATTAGATGGAGAAAACAAGATTGATTATGATCAAGTAAACTTTCAAATTTTGCAATTCTTAGCAAAAAAATTGATAAGTTGGTTTTTAATGATAAAATTTTGATAAGAATTCTGAGGCAGTTGGTAATTCCATTATCACTTGAAATTTCTGCTATTTCTTAGTCATTTTTTTTTTGATTTTTTCTAAAAAATTATCATAAAATTTCAGTTTAAAAACAAATAAAAAAACTGAAAAAAAGAATAAATATTTTAATGTTTTCTAGTTGGAATTGAGCTTTATACGACTGCTTCCATTTCAAATGATATTATTATTGCCAACACTTGGACCAATGGTACTTAATCCATTAAAAAAGACGCATCCAGAAGAATACGAACTGGGCCGAAGAACAATGATTGAAAAGGCAGTCGCACTTATCGATGATTTACTTTTTTATTACGAATTGAACAAAGAATCTGTGTCGAAAAAGATTTAAATTTTTTGGCCTTTCTGAGAATTCTGCATGAAATTACTTTCGCTTTACTTTGTACTTTTTCTGTTCTAATTTTTATTTATTTTTATTTAAGTGGCGAATTCTTGTCACGCGAATGCCGTCTGCAATTATTATTTATCCGCCGATACGCTATTCCTTCTAAACTCCGCGACTTAGACCGCTCTCTTTCTAATTTTCGCATTATATATTACCTCAGCATTCATCTAAATTTGCGCACAAATTATGCGCAGAAATTTCCGAATCAAACTTAATAAATGTCTTTTATGCCTGCGAAGCACAAAGCGATTATCGAAAATAACATCAAAATCCACCAAAAATAAGAAATAATAAAAATAATAATAAGTACAAATCAAACAATTTCCACTCAATTTTCATCCTTGCAAAACTCAAAATGGACGAATAATTTTAGTGGCAATTTTAGGGGCGAAAATGTTAGATTTTCGAGGATTTCCATAATTCCACCTCGAAAAACTCGTCGAAAAGAGATTTTTAATTTAGTTAATGAGACATTTCCTATTTAATAGTTCTCCACCGTCGTCGATAGAGTTGAGTACTCCGCTTTCCATTCCAACAACTGACTTCGATTAACAGCTGTCAATTAGTACATCTGGAAACAGTTGGATAGAGTCTTAAAACGATTGTAGTGATACGGTAGTCTCATTGTTTTTAGAGATTTTCGTTTCAGTTGAATCGAATTTTTATTATCGTATGGATTTGAACTGGACAGAATCGTCGTGCGGTTCGAATCGGAAGAAGTCAGACGATAATTTCGATACGGCAATAGATTAGTTAGTTCCTTTTTTTCAATTATTCTTAGTTTGACACTTCTTCGGGCAGGGCTTCTTCCTGGTGGAAAATTGGTTCGACTCTCGTGAGGAAAAGAGAAGGGGAGATGAAGGCAGGGGAAATGGCGAAGGATTATATGGGATGAGAGACAGGCGAGACAGATATCGATAATTTAGCAAATGGAGAGAGAGAGAATACAGCAATGAAAGAGGTTGGGGAAAAGGAGCGAAAAAGAAAAGGAAAAAGGAAAGAAGAAACGAAATTTGTATTTCCTTTAAAAAAATTTAAAGCTTTTCAGTTAGATTTAGTCGAAAGTTTTTTATTGTGCTTTGAATATTTCGTAGCGCAAATAATTTTAAGAGAAATTTATTTCAAATGAAAATTTATAACTTTTTTAATTAATCGTTTAATGAGGATTCAGTTTGGTAATAAATTTTATAATTTTTATTTAAATTTTATTCATTTTAAATTTTAGTAACTATTGCAAATAATCAAAAATTTGTCAGAATTTGTCATTTTTCTTTTTAAATGCAATTTAATTGTCTTTTGTTTAATTATCAGAAAATATAAAGAATTTTGAAACTCGAGAATTTTGAAATTCGAGAAAATTTAATTTTATTGGTTAATATTGATTAATTAATTATTAGATAATTTGAAAATATAGAAGCTAGTGGAGTTCCGAAATTGGAGAAGAGAGAGAAGCAGCAGTAGATAGGAAGGAGAGGAAAGAAAGAGGAAGTGCCCAAATAAGGGCATAAATAGATCGAAGGACGATGAGCACTTGGTGCTTCATTCGGATGCTAGTTTCATTTGTTATAGTACTCTAAATTTATATTTATCTGGTTATAATTACGAACTTTCAAATACTCATTAGATAATTAAGACAATTTTTTTATTTCAGTATATATAGATTATGTACCTGTAATAATAAAAGGCTTATTGATATTGGCAACGCTTTTATTGAAGTTAGTTTTTTCTTTTATATTTCAAATGGATTATTCGAAACTTTTGGTAAATGTTCATTTGCGGATACCCTATTATTACTTTATATTCAAATTATGCTGAAATGGAAAAATAAAAAAGGGACAGCACAATATTACAGACAACCCAGCGTTCAAGCAAGCGATTATGGTATACAATGTTAGATAATCAACAGTTGCCAAAGAATTCTTAAGGAAAATGGATATTTCTCATTTATTTTTAACTTTTGTACAATTTTGATGAAAATTGGTTGATTCAAGAGATTTTAGTCTTTCTTTCGAAGAATATAGCTTATTGGTTCATATTCTTAATAATATTATCCCAACTTTGAAATAGATTTCTGAATTGAAAAAGAAGAATAAAGAATATTGGAAAAAAACCTTTTTTGAGCTGGATCGTAGCTCTTTTTATAGTTATTATTTTTATTCTTTTTACTTTGCACTTTTGAAGCAGATCGCTTAATTTAAGGTAATTTTTTTAAATCAGAATTTTCCAGAAATGTCATGAAACAAATTTATCTCTTGTAACATTGGGTTCAGCAATATTGACGGGATTTCGAGAACTAATTGGTCATGAAAATATAACAGAGAGGATTGTTTTATATTTCTTCTTGTATAGGTTGTCTTTTAATTTAATTTAATGTTAATATCTTTTGAATGCTTATTTTGGAAGAACATGCGTTCTTTCGTTTAATGGATTGTATTTTATTTTCAGAATCACCGATATTGAAAATCCAATTGATCGAAGTAAATCGCTGCCCAAACAGTTAACTGAAGATGCTTTGCAACATCCATATCTTGCTTTTTTTCTTTACCTTTTTGTAAGCTTTATCCTGTATTTTAAAGAGTTCAGTGAGTGTACTGTAAAAATATCCTTTTTCGTTTAAAGGCGGCAATAAATCCAGCTGGGTGATAGTGTAGTCTATTTCAGCCATTTTTTAATTTTACCATTTGCATAGCAAGTGATTTTTCTTGATTTTCATAGCATCAATTAATAATTTATTAAAGTAGATAAATTTATTAAAGTTTTTCTTGAAACTTTTTAGTTTGGTTTTTTATCATTTCTAATTTTTTATTCTGACATTTGGTCCTTTAACCTGAGTTTCAAAATTTTTATTTAATTATCAAAGGATTTTGATATTGTCGGTAGCAATTCTTCGTTTCACGATTTCGATCAACATTTTCCACATTTTACGGTAGCATCTCAAGAGAAAATGTTTATCAGCTTCTTATTGACGGGTCATTATAATGATGTTTGTCATAAAACGCCATCTGAGATCATAACACATATCGTCGAATACAATGATCCACGAACTAACATGGTATTTCCTTAAAGCGCTTTCTAGATTGTTAAAATTTTTTTTGTTGAATTTCGCTAAAATTTGAATTTTTAATAATTTTTTTATTTGTACACTTTATTTTTTTTTCATTTCTAAGATAAAACTGAATTACTAATATATTAAAAAAATTACAAGGTACATTTTTTATGGCGTTTTGTTTTTCTGATATACTAATATAGTGTTGATTTGTTGAAACGGAATTGTTTTATTAGTAGCGAATTTTTTATAATTCAGTAAAAAAACAGTTTTACTGTTTTACTGTAGTTTCAGCCTGGTTTTTTATATTGCAATTTTTATACTTTATATACTTTATACTTTTTTATACTTTATATTATATTAATTTTTGCACTTTTAGTTATTTGACTTGTCGCGACATAAAGCAAGTTTGCGAATAAGCCAAACTATGTATCCCGCCATGGCCAAAAAAATTTTCCCTGCCATATTTCCAGTTGCTGATTGTTCGAAATCCCTGTATTAGTTTTTTGTTAAAATAATTTTTCTTGTCTTTTTTCTCATTTTCTGAGATATTTATCGGTTGACATTTTCAGTTCATTATTTAATATTGCAAATGTGGTGTCTGATTTCAATAAGGTATTGCCCAATATTCTTACATTACCAGCTCCTTTTCTTCGAATTTCTCCAACCTTAATGCCTCCATCAGATGATGAGGTTAGTTATTCAATTTTAGTGATTTATGGTGGAGAGATTGTGAAATATTTATGAAATGCTTTAAAATTTTAAATGCACTAGTCCTACAAAATTGGGAAAATTTTCCTCGGAGGACAACCTGTGAGATTCTTATGTTCTGTTATATGCGTTATTTATATTCAGTTAAAATGAGTTGTTTAAAAATTTTTGATTTTGGTTTCAGTTTCAATTTCTTTATCCGTTTTTGTTGGAACCTTTATGGATAAGAGATGAGAAATCGAATTCTGTAGTTGCTGAACAATCAGATCAATTTTCAATTTCTGATAGTATCCAGTTTGATAGTCTGAAAGAAATGGTAAACAATACAGAAGTTGAATCACTAGCACCAGAACTAAAACAAAGGGTGATTAATTTTTAAAATAAAATTAATCTTACAAAAAATATAAATTCACTTTCATCTTCCCATTTTTAGATTTCTAGTTATAGTTAATTCTAGCAGTATACTTTTCATACTGGATGAATACTATCTTCATTATTTCAATCTTAATTTTTTTTGCCTCACAGTTGGTTTAATTTGTTCTTTTAATTTTTCGTCATAATTTTTAGAAATTTCCAGATTTTTTAATATTATTTTAGTTAATAAATTCATTGCCTTCAACTCCTGAATTATCGACACCTAATTCCTGCGATGAGAAAATAGAAAAATCAACTTCTTCATTTTCTGTTTGTTCACTTCCCAATTTGTTTCTTGCGAGTAATTCTTCTATCAGATATCCTTCAGAGGTTCAAATTTCACCATTTTTATTTTTTATTTTCTTTATTTTTAGAAAAAATTTTGCAGAAAGAATGCAAAAACTATTCAAATTTCTTGAAATCCAGATTAACTTTAAAAATTAAAAAATATTTTTCAATTTTTTTTCTAGACTGATCACATTAATATGGAGAAAAAGTCACTTTTAAATTATGAAATGGCGATCGAATTACTTAAAAAAGCATTAGGAACTGTAATAGCCCGAACAGATGCACAGAAACTGGCTGATGCAATTGCAGCTGATCCGACAATTGCGGACATTGTTGATATTCCATTTGAAAAAGTTTGTTTAAAAAATGCTAAATGGAAGAATTTTAAAAAGTTTTTCGTAAAATTAATCTATTTAATACCTAATTTGAGCAGAAATTTTTTGTTTATAAAATCAGCAAAGCATCTCGATTAAATAAAGTATGAAAATATTCAGCTGTTAATAAAGTTCATTTCTACAGGTAAATTTCAGTTTCCTAAATTCATTGATGACAACCCAACTGTTGCAGCAGCAGTTATTGTTGGTAGAATAACCAAAAATTCTAATGAACTTCCATTGTTGGTTTCTGGAGATTTATTGTCATTTTAGTAGCATGCTTAAAATATTCTTTGATTGATGTTTACATAATAGTTTTTAGTTCTATTTTTCTATTGGCTTTAATTTTTTTAATCTTTCAGATTTTTTGAATTGCTCATTAAAATGAATGTATCGGTGCAGGCTATGGAAGTAGTGAATAAATTATGTACGGTAAGATATTGTTTTCATATTTCAGTTGATTTGTTATCGTTGGTCGCTAAAATTTCTAAAATTGCTTTTAAAGTTGTTATTCCTTCGCTATAATCACCAATTTTTTTGTTCTATTTTAGATTTAAACCTGAATTTAATCTAGATAGCACGAGATAAATTTTGGAAAAATAGTAATTATTTTAAAACAATAATTATATTCTTGTTGCTATTTATTTCATTTTCTTTATTTTTAGCAAATTGATTTTCCACAAGATTACCTCAATCGTTACATCTCAAATTGCGTGCAGCGTTGTGAAGACCCAAATCAGTCTGGTTTTCCACAGAGTCGACAAGTTCGTATGGTCTGTGTATTTTTGTCGTCATTATTGCGTAATAGAACATGGGATGTACATGTTAGTCATTTTTCTTTTTGTAGTCCATTTTTTTATGAATTTTATTTTATCTTCCTTTTTTCTCTGGAAAAATTTTAGAATTTTTTTGGAATTTTTGTGGTTTTTTTAGCCTCTGTCTGCAGAACTTCAAAGTTTCGGATTGAAATTCAGTCATGTTAAAGAAGCTGCCTCTCTTTACCAGGAAATTATTGGTGCACCTCAATTAAATGATGCGAATATTGCCAATGAAACAACTGGTATCGGCAATGAACAATAGAAGAAAAATTTAGGAATGATTTAATGCAAATTTTTTTTTAGTTAAACTAGATTTCATTATTGATTTCCATTGCTAATAGTATCAGTTTAGGAGGGGGTTTCAAATTTTCAATTTTAAAATCTTGGAGGTCTAATTCCATATGACAATAACGACAATAAGTATTATCGCTTCTCATTGTTATTAGAGATATTTGCTTATTTCTGTTCTGATATTTGTTCATTTTTTTTCTTACTTTTATTCTGCTTTCAATGATTTATCTTTTATTTTTAATTTATTCGTGCCTTTAAAGAAATGGATTTCAGATTGGGTTTTTTTTTTATCAGGTATTTGAAATTGCAATATTTTTTAAGAATTTTGAAAGTGAGTTGCATAATATAATTATTTTGTTTCTATCGAACTAATTATTTTAGCTGTCTTTATATTTTTGGTAGAATTTTGTTTTCAGTTTCTCAACTATTTATTATATTAGTTTTGCCGTATACTGCTACAGGTTTAAAATTAAGATGCAAATTAAGATGCTATCATTTTTGTTCTACGAATTGTTCGATTTTTATGCTTCGATTACCAACTTCAAAATTTTCTTCTTCATCAATTTTATAATTTTTCAGATCCATTGGAGGTCATATTTTTGTGGTAAAATCTCATCATAACTTGGAACCTTATGATTAAATAAAAATAAAAAAATTGAATGAAGCAATTGTCTTGTGTTGCATGGATACCTCGATTGATTTTTTTGTTTTTTAGATTTTTATTATCTGTTTTTTATATGTTTGCCTTATCATTCATTACCTTAAAATATTTAATTCGCATAGAATGGAAGGATTTCCATATTTTTAGTTTGAATGCGGCGTTGTTTATTCGAATTCCTTTATTCCACTTGTATTTTAGTTTTTTGAATTTTGGATTTTTCTTGTATTTTGAATATTTGTCTGTTTTAATTCAATTGCTGTTATTGTCTAAGATTGATTTCATAGCATAAGCGATGAGGATATCTGTGAGTATATTTTCTATTCATTTTAATTGAAATGCAATTTTCTCAGGTTGATGGTCGAAATTTTTTATTTGATCAGTTTCTACTGATATGATACCTGTGCAATATTTTTCGCGCTAATTATATTTGTTTATCATTCCACAAAGATTGTGAAATTGCTGATGTAAGGGTAGAACATATATGAAGTTACATCTGATTTAGATGCAAGTGGATTATAATTTCTTATGAATACTTTCAAGTAATATAGTATCATCGGATGGGCGAATTATCCGATCCACCAATTTTGAATTATTTGTCAAAACGGTCAACAGAGCAATTGCATCGACTTTATGCTTCACCTGGTTCAACTTTATGCATATTTCGTCTTTTGCCTAGTCTGTGCCAGCAATTTTTTCTCAAAGCGATATGGTTTAGTGAAATATCAGAAAGGTTAAATTCAAAGCAAAAAATTTTCATTCTAAATCTGCTAAATGTTAATCACATTATTGGTTCACATTATTGTTCAGTTTGTTGGGTTTGTCAGGCGAAATATTGTATTTGGTATAAACAGAATTTCAGTCTTCATAATTCATTTATTTGCAGTTCTTGGGTATCTGAAGAGTACCAATCAGCTGTTGCAGCTCATTTAGAATTGTTGCGAGCTTTAAGAATTGTCGAATTGTTTTCCAAAAGCATTATAATTAATGTACATTTTAAATATTTTTTTCTGATTTTTATATTTTAAATGGATTTTAAAAAACAAACCAATTTCAAACCAAATAGGCTCAAATTGGCTTTTAAAATATGTTCATTCCAAAACTTTTCATTCATTATCAGCGAAATAGGATTTATTTTCAGCAGATATCTATTTTGAATGTATTTTAACGGTTCAGAATTACTATTTGATGGGATGATTTTATAATTCTTATCTTTTCGTGACATTTCAGCCGTGTAAACATTTTAAAATTTTTTTTCTAAATTCATTATTCACTTCAGCCAGTTTTTCGTCATTCATATTTTACCGCCATATGCAAAGGTATTGCATTGATATCAGATTTGAAAGTATATGCTGATGTTGAGCAAAAAAGTCGGAAGGCTGCGAATAAGGATGTCGGAAAAAAAGCCAATGAACGATGGGAATGTTTATTGCATTACTTGGCATTGCCATCACAAAAGAGCGAACAAGGAGTCAGTTCCATTACGAAAGATTTACTGAATGCTGCTGGTCTTACTAGTAATTCTGGTTTGTAAAACTTTATTATTATATAAGATTGTTGTAACAAACAGGTTAGACGAAAAAAGGCGCAGGCAATTGGCAAATAAATATAAAAAACATCAGTAATATACTCTTTTTTTTCTCCTAAAAGAAAAAGAGTATATTACTGATGTTGGCATGGGTCGATCTAGTTGGACACCCTATTTATTTCTTGAATTAGTTTTCGCAAACGAAGAACAACTTTTAAATTGAAATTTAAAATGAAATGAATTTTTGTTGAGATATTTTTGTTTTGCCATTTTTATACATAGAAAGTTTTAAGATAATGGCGATGTGGATATAACTTCCAATGGATTCAAATTTTTATTACTCAATCGCACAGAACAGATTTGGACATATCTTGTTCATTATTTAGAACAGGAAGAGGCAGCTGGCATTGATGTTATTCCTCAACTTGATTTTCTTTTTAGGTTTTGGTTTGATTTATGAAATTCCAGTAAAAAAATTAGGTGATGTGCAAGAATTCATTCAAAAGAACTAAATGCTTCAATTTTCAATTGCGAGCTGATAATCATATCCAAATTCAGGCTTTCTCTATGCCTTGATGGAATTGATTTTGACGATAAAACTGACAAAAATAGAGAAAGACATCGATCTATAAATTGCCGTCCATTTCTTATCGATGATTCTTGGCCTGAATCTCTTACAAATTTTATCATGCATTTGCGAGAACTTGGGTTGATTTTTATTAGAAAAAGAAAGGACGGGTAAGTAACAAACAGTTTTGCTTAACTTTAAATTTATTTTCTATGATTCCAGTCTTTTTTCACAAAATTTGTTCGCACGTTTATTGCATTTATTGCAAGTGGCATTTATTGCAACATAGAAATATAAATAATCGTGAAGAACATAAAACCATGAGACTACTTTATGGTTTTATTTTCCCTTTCTTCGAAAAATGAAAGAGAAAATCAAGTGAGAAAATTGCGAGAAAAAGGCTAATTTCATCTGAAAGCTAATATCAATTTCAATTCTTGGGTTGACCTGTTTATTTTTTGATTCTGTTCTGCCATGGAAATACTGAAATGATTTACTTTATTTTTAGCAATTGTAATTGTAAAAATTAAAGTAAGGCTGGTCCATCAAACTTTGGTCTATATCCTTTAAACCTTTTTTACCTTAATTTGTTTATAATTTGAATTCGTATTCGAAAAGTCGCGTTTATTGTTTCTATTCATAAATGTAATTTCCCAATTTTTTATTGAAAAATTAAAATCAGAAACACGATTAATTAGTTCCAACTATTTCTTTCTTTCTTTCTTTCTTTAGATATTTTTTAATTACACCATTAATAAATTATTTGACATGCGCTTCATCACTTCAAGCTGTTCCTGAAAAACAGGCCAATATTGGATTTATTGTTGTTGAAACAAATTATCGCATTTACGCTTATACAGATTCCACTTTGCAACTCGCAATTTTATCCACATTTACCGAAATGATATACAGGTTTGTTATGGATTTTAAAAAATGATTAAAAGCAAACAAAATGTTTCACGCTTTTAATTCATTTAAAGAAGTTCATTCATAATCATTAAAATATTTTCGTTAGAATATTTCTCATAAGAAAATGTTGGTAAAAATATTAATCGTTTTTGAAGCAAGTTTATTTTAATTTTTTGTTGCAAATATTTAGATTCAATGACATTTCAATTGGCGTGTTGACTCGTGAATCTGCAAGACGTGCTTTCCAGGTATTTTTCCGGATTTCGGATCTTAAAATCTTATTCTTTTCAAATTTTAATGAAGCTTTTTAGATAGAGGCTACTTCTTCTTTGTTCCCTTCAATAAATATTTTTAGGTCGGTATCACAGCTTCACAGATTATATCTTTTTTACGTAATAATGCGCATCCAGTTACTCTTTCTGCAGAGGCCTCTTCAAACGGAACAGTTCAGTGTGTCCCGGTGACTATCGCAGATCAACTTCGTTTATGGGAAGATGAGAGGCAAAGATTGACTTATTTCAGTGCTACTATTTATTCAACTTTTGAGTCCGAAAATGAATATGCCGATGTAAGAGAATTTGCGAAAAATGAAGGTTAAATTGTCATAATAATTTTTATTTTCCTTTTTTTCTTTTGCAATATTTTTAAAGCCTAATTTTGATATCTTCTTTTCGTTTTTAATCCTAAGCATGAAAATTACCAAAAATTTCTCTTTCTCAACTTTCATTACCTCTGTATCTGTTTTTCAATATTATAAAAACTAATGAGTTTATTAATTTTTATCGGTTTATTTTTCCTTTCTTTCAAAAATAAAAGAAAAAATCAAGTGAGAAAATTGCGAAAAAAAATATTGTTTTTACTAATAATAATGTAGCATAGTAAAATAAAAGAAATAAAAATCTTATTTTCTGTCATTCTGTCTCAAATATTTTCTAGCAGTATTGTTTCATTTTAATTGAAGCGAAAACATTACTACCATTTATCAATCTCTGAAGAAAATAATATCAAAGTTTAGAGCTTGTTAAGATGAGGGAAAAGCCTTGTTGTCAAATAACAAATTTTGTCTTATGAGCTTTACTGGGATATTGTGAATGAACGATAGAAAAGTATTGTTTATTTAATAGGATTCATTTATATTCAGGAATATTGCTTTGGAATGATGATCTTCAACGATTGTTGGTTGTCACTGAAGAAGGTCATGACCGTGTAAAAACGTGGTGGAAGGCTAAAAAACCAGCAAATAATTAATTTATATGTTTTTGTTGAAGAAGAAATTATTGAACAGGAATATTTTGCGAATAACAATCCAATTTTTTTTTATTGAAGAAATAAAACGCGGGCGTATTTGCACCACAGTTTAAGATGTCAAGCGGTCTCTTCAGAGACCATTGATTATCGAATTGAATTAATTTAAAAATCTTCTGTTGATTGTTTTTTTCCAGTCTATATAAATAAAATAGTTGCGTCGAACCTATTTTTTCTTTATATTGCAATTTTTTTATTAATTGATCTTAGTATAGTTGCGTGAATTTACAATTTTTGAATATAATATACTGTATTCTTTTTTAATAATTATCAGGTTTAACTTTATTACGGAATTATTTGAAAATTAAATTTATTACTCGCACTAGAAGTTAATTTTAAGCGAGAGTTGTTAAATTTCTATTATTCTAACAGCTCTCACCATTACTGGTTAGGCTGGCTGCAACGGCTATAAGGGTAAGATGCTTCCAAGCGGCATGGTCTGATGCTCGACAGTAATAGAAGCCATTCCTTTTTCCATCGTCCAAGTGTATATATTGCTCTAGTCCACCCATACGTTCAAAATCTTTCCTGACCTTATCAGTCCAGTTTTGATTGGCCCACCGCGCTTTTGACGCCAATCATCACACAATTTAGCAAATAACAAAATATGCGTCAACTCCTGTGATGGACGATGGAGAATTTGCCCTAACACCGAAGGCTCTATGATAAGGCTTAATATTTATGCAAGTGGTGTTTGAACGAAGATGGATGTGATCATGTGATATTTTATCCGGACCCTGTAAAATATACTTTAGAGAAGACTGGTCAAAGACAGACAACTTCTTAATATCCTCCACTCTCATTGGCTTGTATCATAGCCATATATATGGAACCAGTCACGGCTATATACTTTCGTTTTCATGGAAATTTCATGACGGCTCCATAAAGATTTCGTCAATGGAAAGAACGCATTTCTAGCTTCTGTGATCCGGGCTATAATATCGTTTTTTGCCTGGTCATTTGGTATTAGAGTGGACCCAAGGTATTTAAAATGGGGCACATCCTCAACTGGCAATGAATTTACGAAGAGAGCCATTTTATCAGCTTCTTGCACATAAGACGAAAAGGCTTTGGTTTTGTTTATACTGGCGGTAGGTCCGATTCTTGCTGCAGTTTCTGACACATTATTTAGCATTACTTGCATTTCGTCATAATTGTCAGCAAAAAGGGCTACATCATCAGCGTACAAGGTATGATACGATACTCTGGATTAATTTGGAAACCTCTTGAGCGCCAACAAGCGGTGTCCATATTTTCCAGTCTATTACATAGTTGAATATTGTGGGGGAAAGGACGAAGCCCTGACGGATAGCTGTTTTTATTTCGAAGGAGTCTGAGTTCTCCATAAATACAAACCTGCTCCGCTCATCCCTTTATGAGTCTAACGATTTTCTCTGGAACATCGTCTTGTTCCATCATTCTCCAAAGCGCAGCTCTATCAACTGAATGAAAAGCAGTCGCAAAATTGACGAAACACGATGAAATTTCTATTCATAAAAAGTAATTTAAATTTGATTAAAGGAATTTTCATGAGGCGACCGTTATTTTATTCTAACAGCTGCATTAATGGTTAGGCTGACTGTACTAAGGCTACAAAGGACAGGCATTTCCAGGACATCATTATACTGGTGTAGTTGGTCCGATGGCGCAATAAGATATTTAAACTTTGCCTGCTGACTTGGAATTATATGCTGAGTTTTTTTCGCATAATTTAATCAAATTTTGGAAATTTTTGGCTATAGGATTTTTTCAGTTTCCAATCTCACCGAGTTTTGGGTTATTATTTGCGTTATTTTTAAGGAGTGTTGGAACAGAGCTTTTAATGACAATCTTAAATTATATTAAGAAGGACCAACGAGCATTTGGATCTTGAATGAATCATGCAAGGCATGTAAAACCATTTTTCAAACTATTTTACTTAAGGTTCAACGAATTCCTTGTCAGAAAATCTTCTAATTTTGCTCTCTATGTGCTCCATCCTAGAAAATAGGTATAGTGTTATCAAAAAGCGATAATATAAACAAATGATTGTGAAGCAATAGGTATTTTTCTTTGAGAAGATAAATTTTATAAAAAGTGCATTTCCTTTTCCTATATCAAACTATATCAAAATTTTCCATATCAAACTTTTCCTTAAGTCGAATATTTAATTGCTACTCTGATTGTATTCATTCAAAGATTCTGTATTTTTATGTTGAACAATCGCAAAATGCAATTTTTCAGGAATCTTAAACCTGTTCTCAAAAAAATTTCTGCACTAAAACCATATTTTCTCTTCATATGGTATTTAGTCAAAATTATCACAACTTGAACTTGTCATATAATTTATATCGAATGCTATCATAGTTTGAAGCATAATATCGATAACTTTGTTTCCACCTTGAAGGCGCACATTTAAATGAGCTATCAAATCCATTTGCTAAAATTGTGAGCCATTTTTCATAAAAAATCCACTGGTAGCAAATTTTATGGCATTATCTGTTTTTAAGGCTCACATATAAATTTACTTGATATACTTCGCAGTGATATTTCATACTCATTAAAGGCGAATTGTGGCGATAAATGCATCATTTTCTATTAATTCTCTTTCCTCTCTTTTACAAACCGTTGCAGAGGTACCATTAGATACCAAATTTGTTAAGAGTGATTAAAGAAAACTGCTTCAATTGCTTCCGCAATTTTTACTGCTTCATGCAAATCAAAAGATAGTCTTTTAATGATACCAAAGAATCCAATTATCAATCAATGTAATACTGTATTCAATAGCTCTAATAAAATATATTTTGAAGTTGCTATTCAATAGCTCTAATAAAATATATTTTGAAATTGAGCTTTATAGTTTCGATATGTTCAGCGATCCCCAAAGCATAGATTCTAAAACAGACCGCTTGCCTTCCCAAATTTCTTTCGGTAGATTTTTATTTTTTATTTTTGTAATTCACTTGGCAATAGTCTGTAAGATAAATTGATTTGAAGAAAGTATATATACTTTTTCACTTATTAAATTCACCCATTAATGGATTTCTTTACACTCTTTGCTACAATATAAAAAGGGTCCTTTGAATTGTAATATTTTAAAAAAAATTACTTATGGTTACAACCGTTTTCTTAACTGTTTCATTTTTTTGATGTATAATTTGATAGGTATCGAATTTTAAAAATAGTACTTTACAGTTTCCAAACAATGTTTTGTCAGTTATTCTTAGTATTTGTGACAGTAAAAATGTGTGTGCGCATTTGTATATTCTTCGCTAAAGATGGTTCCTTTATTCACGATTTTTCATTTGAAACGACGTTGAAGCCATGAAAAATTTTAAAAACAACTTACCGTTCAAGATTTAAATTTAAATTTAAAATTTAATTTGACTTAAAATTTGATTAATGAATAAACATCCTCATAGAACTCGAAGATTGAAATGTTATAGGCAAAAGTTATTTTCGCAAAATTCGCAAAAAAAAGATTTTTAAAAATCACAACATAAAGTTTATGACGTTGTGAGACTACATTGCTGGCTTTCAGAGGCTATCGTTCCTACACTCATGCTTTAGAGCAGTGGTTCTCATCCTATTTTATCTCATTGATCCCCTCGCTGATTCGCTTATTTCGGTGACCTCTATAATTCAAGAAATGATCAAAACGGAACTGATGATTCGATTCAGGACTCAAAAATAGTTAATGGTCTTAAAAATATTTACTTACAAATTAACAAATAATATTTTTTATTGCTCTTCACGGAGCATTTCATTTCCCTATTTCATGTCTCATGCTAACAGATTTCCATTTTTTCTATTCGCTGGAAGTCGAAAGTTTTTGAAAACTAGATTATATGTAAATTAGATTATATGTAAAAGTCAACATTTTTATACAAATAAAATAAATTCCATTATTCTGACTGAAGTGAATCAAAAGATACCGTCACTTGTGTCATTGATTTTGCAGCCACCTTCGATTCAATTAATAGGCGGCGCTATGGAGAAATGTGACGGTATTCCAGAAAAAATCATTCGCCTCATAAAGGCATTTTATAAGCATACTTTGGCGCAGCTTTGTATATATGTGGAATTGCAGACTTCTTCGAAATAAGAACTGGTATCCTTGAAGGCTGCGGTGGACTTGGTAATAGATATCGTTTGTCGACACTCAAGAGGTGTACAGATCAATGCTTAGTAAATATCAAACTTGAAAAGATTGATGATGATGTAGTCCTTTTTGCTGTCTATTACGATGAAATGGAAATAATGCTAAATAACATACCAACAACTGCCGGGAGAATCGGGCTCAGAATCACTTAAATAAAAAAAAGTCTTTTCGTTTTGTATCGTTGTCTCGTTTTGGAGACGATTCCCTCGTGACCAGCAAAGCCAGCCTAATCAGTAATGGTTAAAGAGGAAGATTGAAAGAGAAAAAGATTGAAATGAATATAGTTTTTTTTTGAAGAACTATTCTTTTTAAGCGGTTGGGAAATGTGAAAAAAGTGAAAACTTTCCAAATAACCCCACAATAGCTTAAAATTTAAATAACGAAAGTTAGCAATTGGCATAAATTTGACAGTGAAAAAAGAAATTTGATGAATTTGCGAGATAAGAATCAGCAGAAATAAACGTTAATACTAAAAACTCCTTATTGAAATATAAGTTGCTATTAACATAAAAATTGAAATTTTTCGTCTTTATTGCTTTGCTGTCGAATAAAGGTTTAATCTTTTCATTCATAAAGATTCATCAGTTGTTTCCAATTCAAATTTAATATGCAAGAAATCGCCTTTGAGAAAAGAGGTATTGCTCGTCTCCGTCACTGATTATTGCTTATTCAATAAAGAATGAAAACCAGATGAGTATCTTATTACCTTTCAAGACAATTTATTCATACAATTGAGCGATAAAATTTTTTCCATGAAAAATTTTTTTTATCGATTTCCTTCCTCATTTTTCCTTAAAATAATTAAGTTGTTCGATGAAGAGAAGTAGTTTTATTATTCCAATTCCAAATAATTCCAGCTCGTGATTACAATTCATAAGCTTAGCTTCTAGTGAAATTTTATTTTCTTAATTCAAATTTTAGAAACTTTTAAATTAATATATTTTCTACGAAAAAACATTTCAGAAGATTCTAAGACTTCTCCAAACTATTAGTTGGCTGGATAGTGATTTTCGTGTTGGGAAGCAAAGACCTGGATCATGCCTCTATTACGGATAAATTTTTCATTAAGTTTGATCAAATAGCCCCAGTGCTTTCGATTCATCTGTACTTTTATCACCATGCACTCTTCTACAAATATTCCTAACAACGATTAGCGATGTTGGCCATGTAAGGATTATTCCAATATTTCTAAATGCCATTCCACACTTAATATTTAAATAAGCCCAGGTGATGCTGACGACTCACTTGTATTTCTATCGTTAAGTAACTCCCTGACATCTTTGTCTAATCCGACAAGCGAGCGGAGCGAGTCTAACCAGTAATGGTGTGAGTTGCTTGAACAAAAAATCTATTCAACTGTGTTGTTTTACACTTTTATTTGTAAAATTAAATCGAAAATCGACAAAACGATCGACGACCGTATATTTGAAATCTATTTAATTTTCTTGAAACTCGTATAGCATTCTTAAAAAAATTTTTATGAAAGAATTTCATTGAAAAATGTAAAATTCAATGCAAAAATAATTCGGTCTATATCTATGGTTATGGAATTCATTCCAATCGACCATCGCAATTTTTCATATCTTTCAAATCGTAAATTAATAATAATTATTAATAATAATTATAATTATAATTATAACAATAATTATTTTTAGCAATTATTTTATAAGTAAATTTATAAATGCACTATTTTTTTCAGAAAACATCGTTCATCAATTGATTGATCGCTCCTTATGATTTTCTGTTTCTTTTTCCCTTCAGTTGCTTTAAATATGGGCAAATAGTCGTTTCATTCCATTTATTTCGACAATTTAAGTTACTTGAAACTTAACTTTCCCATAAACCAAATAAATCGATTACTCATTTCTTCCATTTTAAACGAATTTTAATATGTAAAACTTTTAGGGGTATATTATGAAGATTTTTGATCCACTTTTTTAGAGTTGACTGGGGGTGATTTTTAAATGGACCAATAAAAAATGAAGTAATTAATTCGTTAAGGATAGATAAAAAAATGTTTAAAAAATAAAAATTTTTTAAAATAATTAGCATATGATTTTTTTGTACTCAATATTTCAATTAAATTTCTCCAAATTTAACAAATGCTGAAAAATAGAATCACAATTTTTTCCACACTGCTTTAGCTTAAATATATATCATCGCATGCTTATCGTATATCATATTTCAATTTTTCTTAATTATTTTTAATTATTTCAATTTCACTTTATTTTTCAATTATTTTTCTTGAATTCCCCGCGGGAGTAAACCTGTACAAAAATCCGGGTGATGCTGGCGACTCACCTGTATTTCTATTGCCAAGGACTCCATGGCATATTGCCCAATTGCGATAAGCCAGTGGAGCGAGTTTAACCAGTAATGGTAAGGACTCTTAAAAAAAAATTTTTCCTTAATATATAGCTATTTTATGCTTAAATAAGTACTTGAAATAAGTTTCCCCTCAAAATTTTTATAACCTTTCTATAGTCAAATATAATTCAAGGTATTTCCACTGTTATTATCAAAATTGGATTAACACTTTTTAAAACCTAACATTGTACTTCAATTTAAAGTTAATTTAAAGTTAAAAATCGCAATTTTATTACTTGAAAGCATGAAAATACTTCAATACTTAATGGCTGCGTATAGGAGTTCAGGCGTGCATCCAACAGCATCCGGATTTTAAATGACTCCCATCAAGGAACAACCCCAACCCTCGATGCAAATCTCAGTCGAAACAACTGGCTATTCGGTCATTTCATCCATACAAGCAAAATATAAGAAAAAATTATTTGATATTAACATTGGTTTCTTTTTAATTTCCTTTCTATATTTTTATTGATTGAAACATTTTTCTAATATTACGAATGGTTACAAATATCTTAATTACAAATTTAAAAATTATCAACTAAAAGGTTTACTGAAGGCAAATAATGCGACTATATGAACATTTCTAAAAACTTTTCTAAAAAAAAAGAACATGTTTCAGAATTTTACTAACTTAATTAAAATAATTATGGCGAAGTGGGGCACAAATTTATTAAATATGGTTAATTGAAGGTAAAACGGCTCAATAGGTTATTATACTAGCGTCAATGCTGCAGTCCTAGCTGGAGTAAACTTGCATTTCAAAAATTGCATTTCCAAGTGGTGGCCTTCACCTGTGCTTTTATCGCTGATTTCCGGGCGAAATTTTTTTCTGGGAAGGCAAGCCAGCTGAGCCAGCTTAACCAGAATTAGAGAACGCTATTAGAAGAAAAAATTAGGTGTAGTCAATTTGAACTGTAGGCAGAATCGACTATTCATACACCTAAACTTTAGGTAGTACTGAAGACTTATATTTTATTCCGACTCTTTAATCAAAATGTTATAGGTGCTATTCGTACCTAAACTTTGGGTAATGCTGAAGGCTATTTTTTCATTATTTCTATGTTAAAGTGATTTTTATGTTTTCTGAGAGTGCATGGTGAATGCTTAGAATAGGTTTTTGATGAGGACAAAATTGGAAATAAAAGTAACGATGGTGCTTTTCTTTCTTTAAATTTGAAATAAATTTTTTTAGCATATTTAATTAAATCATCGGCCTTAAATTCTCCAATAAATTCTTAAAATTTTAAAAAACATTTTAGAGAAAATGAAACGAAACTGGTTGATATAATTCATATAAAACAAAATGCTAAAAACTCGTTGCTTTTCGAGCTTTTGTAATTCAACAAAAAATTCAAAAATTTTTTCAGTTAAGTTTCAGCATTTATCAGTTTTTTTTGCAAATATAAAAAAGGTTTATGAATAAATATATTTATATTTGTGTTTGGAAGATTCCACAAGAACGCGTTCATATTTGTTTCCACTACTTCTGCCTTTGCCAGCGATTTTTCGTCTCATACTTCTGCAATAAGTATGTGACATAACACGCCCTTCCTTGGGCTTAAAATTTTTTGGAGTATTTCTATTTTCTATAATAATTTCTCATTATTTACCTTCTCTACTTGATTATTTTTGTTAACAATAGCATAAATTTATTTTAATTTCAAGAATAATGAAAAATTAAAAAATATATCAAATACAATATTTTTAGTTAGAGTCTGAATGACAATTGTTTGATTATCGTTTTAAGAACATTTATAAGAGCTAAGCCTTCGAAACCTTTTGGAAATAGTAAAAAATCTTATTCGCAAAAAATTCTATAAAGTTGTGGACCTATTCGCTTTTCTATTTCCAAACCCCTTCTCAATGAAGTTAATCTTACCAGAAATGATGAGCTAATTAACTATTTCTAAGCACTCATTAATAACTGATTAGAAATGTGTCGTCAGGAATATATGAGATTAATAAATATCAATTTTTTGCAAATTTTGCAGTTTTTCTAAGAAAATGGTCTAAGAAATAATGTGTAAGAATGTTGTTTATAAGTAATACGTCAGTAATATGTATGAGCGATGTTTTCTGTTTTTCATCTTCGGAATGTGATTTTTCCTTCTAAATTTGATTAAACGAAAGAAGCCTTAATGAAAATTAATTTGCACATTAAAAATCGTGGTGAAAGTTGGTAAGTAAAAAATTAAATTATTGCTTCTGAGAGAACTTTAATGATGCAGTTTCAGGATTAGTGAAATTTTTTATAATTTTTAAAAATGCGGTTCGTCATGAGAATTTACGTTAAAATTAATATTTCGCTTAAATTTTAGATATTTCAGCGAAAAATAATGGAATCACGGCCATTGCTAATCAAAGTTTTAGAGAAATCCTTTAACTGTAACGCTCGATTAGTGGCTGAATATCCAATTTTAACAATTGTTGTAAGTACATTTGTTATGAAAATATAAAAAAAGATTAAAATTGGTGGTATTTATTGGAGGAAGACGAAGTCCTTTGTTGGTAATCTGCGGAATAATCAAAAGTGTATTCCACTGAAGATTTACGATTTCCATTCATCCATTCATACATAATGTATAATGAATGTTTTTGCAGATATGTGTTCTATTCACAATAATTTCCACTTCGATAATACCATTTAAAAAAATAAAGGATGATTTCAAAATCGGCTATACGCCTAGTGATGCAAGGTCGCTAAAAGAAATGGAATCATATAGTAACTTTAGCAACGGTGATTTAATAGCGTTAATGGTTTATGTGACAGCAAAAGATGGTGGAAATATGCTTCGAATCGAACATCTTAATGCGACTGTTGATTTAATTGATAATATTGGATCGAATTTCAAAATCAAAAATTCTAGCTTTTATGAATTTTGTGACAATTTTTGCAACGCAAATGAACCAGTTGCTGTTTTTCGGGCAAGTAAATTTAGAAGTTAATCACCTTTTTAATACTGGAATGCCGTCGAAACTCATTTCATTTCATATTAGAATAGCTAATAATCTAATAACTTCGGGACCGCAGGATCGTGTGCTTCGTCAACTTAGAAAAAACCTTCCTTATGGCAAAAATAACATTTTAGATTTCAAATAGGATTATTATATTATGCAATTAATCGAATGTTTTTTGAAGGAAAATACTGATAAGAATAGCAGTTGGCTAGACTTTAGCGGGTGCTGCCTAGAAACCACTTTTTATCACTGATTCTCTAGCAAAAGGTGTCCTAATAGCTAATGGAACGAGCCAAGTTGGAAATTTTCGAAGTCTTAGTTGATGACTTCAAAATTAATGATTGCCAATTTATTCTTATTCAACAAAGCTCTAAAAATGCTCATAAAAGCAATATTTTTGTCTCGACAAGAAGGAAAAATAATCAAAATATGTGATCAATTTCTTAAGACTGGAGTTAGGAAATTTAGGAAGAAAAAAGTTAAAAAATTTATTGATCAATTGTGATGAATTGAAAAAAAAAATTACAACAGCTGTAAGACTGAAAATGAATTTAAATAATACTTTAGCAATACCCTGTATTACAAGGTATAATTCAGGGTATTTAATAATAATAATAATAATAATAATAATAATAATAATAATAATAATAATAATAATAATAATAATAATAGTAATAATAATAAAACAATAATAATAAACAACAATAATAATAATGTTAATATTAACATTAATATTAATAATAATGATAATATCTATAATCATATTTTAATTTTAAGCAACATATTTTAAATAGAATGAATGTTATATTTCTAGAATGGTCTTATTATTCAACAAAACAATTTGCTCGATTCTGGATATATTGATAATGACCGTATCAATTTATCATATCCATTTATGTCATTCTTTGGACGATCTATCGATCTAACAATGAATTTTCATGGTGTTGAATTAATAAAGAACATGGATAATGTTGTTGACGTTATAACCAATTTAAAATCTCTAAAGCTTATATTTTTAATGTTTCGCGCTAGTAAACCACACAATTGGACCGATGATGATATCGCTGAATGGGATCATAATGTTGCTGATTTCTGTGATAAGTAGGCTATTTAAACTAATGTAGCTCTCTCTACTCATTATTTCAACATACAATTAAGTGATATAGCGGCCGATATTTTTTTGAAAAATGCAAAATTTAAAAGATGTCGAAATGTTCATTTTTGTTTCCAGCATGGTCGATTCACCGATAGTTGCTCAATTGATTTCATTTCCTCTCATCCAAGCTGAAATAGTTCGGACCGCTTTTACTCTTTTTCCTTATTTATCCGTTGGTTTTATAATAATGTGTATTTGCGCTCTAATCACTATCTATACCCGTTCGAAGTTCATTGGGCAGGTAAATTATACTTTTAACAATTTCGACCTACGGCATTTGATAGTTCATTTTTCGATATGACGATGAAGTAATTTATTTTCTATTTCCCTGAATTTATTCTATAAAATAATCGGATTTTTTTATCGTTTTGATCACATCGATATTAAGATGAATTTTTAAAGCTTGTCCTATGTTATTGTTTCAGTGGTCATATGTCAGAATTTTTTATGCAGTGAGTGCATGCGTTTGTCCGTTATTGGCTGCTGCTTCAACTTTAGGCATTTTGTTTTGGCTTGGCTTCCGATTTGGATCTGTTTTGCTCTCCGTTCCTTTCCTTGTTCTTGCAGTTGGTATATTCCATTCAATTTTTAAAATTCATTTAATCTATTTTCTTCATTTTTTTAAGGAGTTAAATGGTTTTCATTGCAAAAATAATATAAAGATTAGTGTAAAAAAATAAAATAATTCGGTATGGAAATTGGAGTCTGCAGTTTAATTTTCATTTAAAAAAATTTAAAAATTTCATTTCATTAAAAATTTTTACTATATTCAGTTGTTCATTTTTACCAATGTAAAATCAATTGAACTGAAATGAAATCAGAATTCTATTATTAAATTTTCATCAAGTTTTTTTCGAAATGGATAAATATATTTTATTTAAATAAAAAATTTATTGTAATTTTATTTTTGTACTCTATTTTATATAATTTCAGTTTATAAAATATTTTATAAAATCAAATTTGTTGTAATGATTTTGAATAGAAAAATTTCACTTTCTTAAAAAAATTATTTAGAGAATCCATAAAAACAATGAAAAAATAATATGGAAAAAAATGCAAATTCAAGAATTTAAGGGCTAAAGATTAAAAAAATTGAAATTAAGGTGTCGATGATTCATTTATCATGATATGTGCATGGGAAAGGTTGTTGGCTAAAACGGATCAAGTTTTTGCTAATCGGAATTTTTCATATTTGGTTGCTGAGGTATGGCTATAAAGGAAACAATTTCCAGAGGTGCCACTGAAAGTTAGGCGTTTAATAAGTTTATTCAGTCGAAAAAGCTTTTTTCAAAGATCTGGTGGCCTTATTTTAAAAAACCTTTTCCATATATTTCAAAAATATTAATAATCATGGTTAATCATAGTTGTTGAAAGAAGTTGGCCCATCGATAACAATAACATCATTAACAAATACCATCGCCTTTGGTATTGGCGCATTATTTTCACCGCCTGAGGTCCAACTTTTTTGTATCGCCAATGCTGTTGCGATGATCTTTGATTTATTATATTGTATCACATTATTCGCGGCAATATTGTTATTGGCAACAAAATATGAAAGAAGTACACCAACGTGGAACAAGGAGGAAATTTTAAAAATTGAAGCAAGAAAACAAAAGGTAAAAGAAAAATTTGCTTATAAAGTTCTTAGAATTACAATTAAATATTTGAATATTCTCAAATTTGAATATTCTAATATTCTCAAATCATTTTTACGTGAGTGAAATTTTTCATTTTTTATAATTGAATCATTTGACGAAGCGTGTATTATATCGCAAAGATAGGTGAAATCTGCACAACTTTCTTATATTTTATTGAAATATCGTCGAAAACGAGATTTCGTTAATTAAAGTTAATTAGAGATTATCATGTGCCGATGCTTCGGCTGGTACCAAACATTATAGCTCATTTAAAGAGGGGCTGTTAGAAAACGGTTTCACTAAGTGGAGTCAGTTAAACCGGGAATTAAAAGAAATCGAACAGTAAGGTTCTCCTTAGGTAAAATTTATTCGCATTGATGAGTGATCGACATAAAAAAATAATGCCCATCTAGTTAAAAAATTTATTTCTATGTTAAGGAATATATTGCATGAGTCTGAATCCGAAAGATTTGGTGATTGATTGTTGAAAAACATAAATCTTATTTTGATCATTTGAAAACAACTAACAATCTTAAATCTCTTATATCTCTTATATTTAACAAAATGAAATAAAAGTAGAAAATAGCAGGAAGCTGGCCATTGCTGCCTGGTGGTTTCCTCATATCACCGCCAAAAATTCCCATTCACCCACCAAAGATTAATAATTGCCATCTTTGTTTTCCCCTTTTGATGATTTGTTTTTTTTGAGTACAACTGAATATCGGTATTTTTATTCACAATAAGTATAATAATATAAGTATAATATAATAGTATAGTACATTTATAATAATCAGTATATTTTCGCCAACGCAATATAAATGAGTTTATTTCATATTCCATTTGTTTGAAAGTTATAATTTCTGAAATCAGTAAACTGCTAGAAGGTGGTTTCATGAACATTCTTTGTTTTTGTTTTTGAAAATGTTTCTCTCTGAAGAAATTATTGCGGAAAGAATGAAAATATTGCTCTGTGGTGTCGCGAATGGTCTAGAATATGATGGAGAGAATTTAGATATTCAATTAGAAATTTTCAAAATGATTGTTGCGACATGTGGTATCGCATTCTCATGGTGGGATCTTTTTTGTTGGCTAATGGTGATTGCCATTTTTGTCATTCCTGGTTGCCTATTTCCAATTCTTTTTTATGCGACTCTACTGTAATCACTGTATCATGTTTCAAATTAGTAGATAACAGTAATAGCAGATCAATTTTGTAGCAAACCACCAAACTCCGTGATTATAGACTTCGTTGAATGGAAGTTGTGTCTCGACATGAATCAAGGAGGTTCATCCTTGTCCAATTATCTCGCCGATCTTTTCTTATCAAATAAAATCAAATCAAATCCATTTTCTATTGAAAGTAAAATTTATTCCAGAAAAGGGTCATTGTGTCGCTAACAACGAACATTAGATATATTCATTGCAAATATATTTTTATCTGATACTCAGGCAATTCGTAGCTACTCATTTGTCAAGTATTTTCTTCTTCCCTATTGCACGCAGATAATTTCACATATATAATGTGAAATAGCAAGCTCTTATGTCCAAATCTATATTTCTGGCGTCAGCCTTCAGCATTTCTTTTGGAGGATCCATGCATGGAATTTTCTATAGAGCTCTCTGCAACGTAAGACATTTTGGAATCTATATCTTCAAAACATCACCAACCAATATTGCGCTCTTCCTTTTTAAATGCATCGCCATCAAGAGTTTTCATAGTGCATATGCATACTTGCTCGATATTCTAAGCTCGTGATATATGCTATATATAAAATTTGGTCATTCATATTATCCACAAAAAATCATCTATTACCTAACCAGCTATCGATGATAACGAGAAAAATAGAGCGACAAGTCCAATATGGCATGACAAGAAAATTATGCTACCCCAAATTCGGAACGAGAAAATGCTGATTACTTTTAGGACGAAATAATATTATTTATCGGCCGGATAATACAACATTGCCAGATATGACAGTATAAAAGATATTTCTCACAATTTTCTCTTGAATTAATCGTTTTAATCATTTCTAGAGTTATACAACACAAAGCAGGATAACAAAGGTTATCGCATTACGCAAAAAAATACATTCAGACATAAGTCTAAATTATGGATCAGAAATTAAAATAAAATATCTTGAATGCAAATATGATTAAAGATAAAAAATGCTATAATCCAGTGCATATGGGAAACTTTCAAAACACTTTTTTTCCAATTTTTAAAAAAATACGGCAAAATAATGTCATATGTGAAAATTATTTGAAAATATAACATCGACAATAAATTGAAACTTTTCAGTATCCACAAAAGCAGTTAGAACGCAGGATAGTATTTATTCTCTCATAGCTCCTACAAAACGATGGCATTTCTTTTTAAAACTGGAGGCAGAAGAAGCATTTAAGAAATTTTTCTGATGTTAATGAAGGAAAATAAGAGATTAGTTTTGTAAATCGGTTTGCGTAATCTGCCATTATCTTTGGTACTATCGACATTGATTATAAATTTACTTAGAATAAAATTCATTTAGAAATCTAATGACAAAAAACTACGAAATTGATGAACAAAAAATAAATAGTGTGAAATCCTTTCAGAAATTATAGGCGAAAATAACATTTTTAAATAACAACATTTTTATTCTCAGGCAGTTCGATTTTTAACCATCTATTGCACTTTACTCTCTAAAAAATTTACTGCTATCGCGATTGGAATAATACTTTTGGCTTATTGGTCTCTAAGCATTTATGGAATATTGCGAGTTAAATCTGATATTGTATTAAAAAAACTTCTTATCGCTGATTCGCCACTCAATCAGGTTATCAATGTTTGCAAACTTCGATGTTAAAATTCTTTAAAATTCCAATTTTAAAATATTTTTAAAATAATTGATTTTTTTCAATTTATTTATTCTTTTTTTCCACCATTCCAAATTTATTCCTAAAAAATTTGATTTAATAGAATGCGAAATTTAAAAGCAAAATAAAATTTAAAAATCTTTAGGTGTATGATATGCGAAAAAAATATATTTTTCCTGAATATTCATTCGTAACAGTTTTTGTCAATAATGTCGGTAATTTATTGAAAACTGAAAGAATTGAGCGAATTAAGTCATTGGTGAATAGTTTCGAAGAGATTCCTGAATGTAATGGACCACATTTTACACAAATTTGGATTAGAGAATATGAACAGTATCGAAAAAATATGGATGAAAATATCGACGATGAAAAAGAGCGATCGAACTTCTATTCAATGGATGATATCAGAGAATTTCTTAATTGGCCTGAAAATCGACGTTGGGGTGGTTATATGAAAATAAACAACGAAACGAATAGGTAGAATAATATTCTTTATTTATATATTACAAGACATATATTATGTATAATTAAATAATAAAGGGGACCATTGTGCCTGCCCGCAGAAAAAAGTAGAAAAAAGAAAAAGAAAAAATCGAAAGGAGCGTTGCAAAAAATTAAGATTATTTTTAACCTCATATCTTAAAAAAAAATGTAGATTAATTAATTATCTGCATATGGTAAAGTAGCACACCGCTTAGACGATAAATAAGCACTGGCTCGTTCCATATCTGGAAATTTTTTCCAGTATCAATAATCTTGTCAATAAACAAATTATAATGATGGATATTTCACAATATTTCTGCAATCTCCAAATCTTTGGGCGAAAAGCGTCCAAAATTCACTTTCAATTATTTTTTTACTTTATAATTTGTGGCTTTATAATTTATAATTACCTTTTTTAAGTGAACAGGTAAATAAATGCACTTGGAGTTAAAAAGGCCGGCGCCTTAATATTTTACTTTTTAGTATTGACAATTTCTTCTTTATCGTTATATATCATGGCCAACATTTAGCGGATTATAATGAGAGACATCGAATGCTTCATTTGTGGAGATTTATTGCAGATAAATATCAAGTGAGTGATTTACAAAAGGAAATACGATGAAAGATTGGATCAGAATTAATGAACTCTTTGCTTTAGGATCTATCAGTGTCCGTGTTTGACGATGGAGCTCAGTTTATTGACCAACTGGAAATTTTGAAACCCCTTACAGTTCAGAGTTCATTAGGAACTCTGATTGCAATGACGATGGTTTGCTACCTCTTCATGTATACTATACCATCTGTAATCATAGCATCTTGCTGCACCTTATCAATTTTCATCGGTAAATTTTAAAAAATTAAATTTTATGAGAAAAAATGAAAAGTAGGATTAAAAATTTTTTTGTAATTTATCTTAATGGTAGATTAAAAAAACAACATAAGTCTCAAATTGCCCTTGGATTTATGGTCGCATTTCCGGACTTTAAACTTAAAAAAATTGGCCTCTAACTGAGATTTTTTTTGACATCTTTATTAATCATTCTTTTGTTTTTGTGTATAATTTTATAATTTATACAATTTTGATACAATTATAAAGATTAATTGAATATTTAGGTGTATTTGGTTTTCTTACTATGTGGAATATTACTCTGGATCCTTTATCAATGTCAACATTAATACTCACCATAGGGTTATCCGTTGAATTCTCTGCGCATATATCATACCATTACTTTCGCAATGCATTTGAAATAAATTCAAGCTGTAAAATTCAGCGAATGGTTCGATGCTTTTGTCATATTGGATATCCCTTATTTCAATGCTGCATTTCAACCATGTTGTATATTTTATGCTTTTTGTTCGTGGATTCATATACTTCGGAGGTGAGATAACATAAAAAATTACTATAAACATGATACGATGAACCGTTTATTCTATGGGTAATATAGAATTACTATTTTTCTATTTTACTCCCTTTTTCAAATGGCGATAAAATTAGTTGACTGTTATTCATTTGCTTTTATTTAGATATTTGTGAAAGCAATCATCACTGTTATGTCCCTTGGAATGATCCATGCATTTATAATAATGCCTGTTGTTCTATGTGCCTCATCACGATACAACTGAAGAAAATCCACAATCGGTTTTTCGAGATCTCCATATTTTTTTAAGATTGTATATTGAAAAAGAAATTTTTTAAATCTAGATAATTATTATTGTATATTTTTATACTTCTGAAATTCAAATTTACAAAAAAGAAAAGAAACAAGAAAAAGAAAAGTTGAAAAAAATTCATTCATTGTTTTTTATACTCCGTAATATTATTCTTCACTAAATTTTAAATTACTGAAGGACAAATAAAAAATTTATTGAGATCAGTCAAAATGCCTTAACGGATTAAATATGAATTTACCAGTAAAAGATTGTATCAATATAATAATTCTCAAAAAAAACCACAAAATTTTTTTACAAAAATCGGTTAAAATTTTAAAGATGTTGCAAATTTCTCTCAGATATCGTCCCTTATACTCCAAATTATTTTCTGTAAATCTGTCCATTGCTGAAATACCATGTACTCTATCTAATCTGTTAATATCTTTTTATATCCCATGTAACTTTTCAGGCTGCCCTCTAATATCTTCTATATACCCTCTATTAAACACCTCAATGCCACGCTAATCTTCGATCAAATTCCATTATATTATTTTGCCATAACTCATTAAGTAAACAGTAAATATGTGATATATGTGATAACATTCATTCATTTCTGTTAGGCTGATTCCTCTGACTGTTGGTACGGTTACCAGTTTTTATCGAATTAATTTTTAATGAAAGTGCAGATGGATTGAACACATTTTAATGATAGATTTGGAATTAAGGGCTGAACCACTGATTTTTAATTTCGAACTTATTAACAGCCTAGTCCAGCTTAATCAAAAAAAGATTACCGCTAGCCACTCATTTCAATCTTTGCTCACTTTAGATGCAAAATTTTAATGCTTACTCTTTATTTTATTTTGTTTCAAATTCTTCCTTTAAATTCATGAAATGATTTGTTGTGGCAAAATAATTTTTAATTTCCTTTTATGTATCATTTATTAACGCTGTTTCATTTGTTTATGATTTAATTTATTTTTATTTAGTTTATTTTTTGATTGTTAATCGATCATTTTATTTTTTATCAGAAAAAAACAAACCATTTATAGACCGCAAAAAGTGAATCTTGGCCAATCTTTATTAATATAATTTTTTGGTGTGATTTTTACTTCTGTGAACTTTATCAGTGCAACTTTATCCGTTAAAGTATCTTTCAAGGCTCTTTTCTGCCTCCCCTTCTTTCAGTTTGTTGCTTTTGAATACTTCTTTTAAATTATTAAAATAACTGAATAAAAAAATTAGTGAATATTGAAAATATTAGTAAAAAAATTAGAAAAGCCAGCTTCTGCCTCTTTTTGTTGCCATTTAATTACTGGTTGGTAAGTAGAAAATGTGCAAGCAATTCATATAAATTCAAAAAAATAAGGATCAAAGCAAAGAAGAGTTTAAAATGATAAAGCAACTCGGATAGCGAATCATCATCAAATGGTATCATCCGTTTAAAGAAGGAATGGTATAAGAGCTTTTCGATGACGTGGATAATTTTCAAATTTCTCTAAATACCATCTAAAATAGAAAATCTTAATTTATGAAATTGTTATGGCCAAGAAATTTTGAAGAGATTAAAGACCTATTACAGTTCCATAGATCTGAAAATTGAAAAAATTACCTATGATGATGTATAGCTCGAGGACCGATAATGCAACAAGTGAACAGAGCAAATGCAAACGAAGGTACCGTACGCAGACAAATCGCATAACCGATCCACTCTATACATTCACCGAAAAAATTTGCACCAGATACATATTCAAATACACCGTTTTTTGGTATTTTATAACTTTCATCATCTTTTTGCAAATTGCATAAAATGGAATCCGAATGCAAATTGATAAGCATTCCTGTGAAAAAAAGCAATAAGCCTGAAACACAACATTAACTCAAATTAACTCTCCTTCATTCTAAAGTAGTTATTTCAACTTCATTGACTGGTTTTCGTTTATTTTATCGACCTAAGGACGATTGTTCTTTATTTTTGATATCATTCCCACCAAAGGCACGTTTTGGATAGTAGCCGAATTGACATGTTTCATTTCGCTCGCGTGATATCTCTATGCAATAATGGAATCCTTTGGGATTTACGGATATTCTACTATATATCAAGCCTTGTGGCAGATGTGGAGAATCAAAATTTGGACCGATATGGCCAAAAGAGGCTTTGAATATAATGGCATGTCCATATACGGTAAAAGGAGTTCGAAACAAGGCATTTATTCGGAAGGTTTGGAAAACTTGATTTTGATATTTAGTACAATTTAATCAGTAATAGTGGAAGTTATTAAAAGAACAAAAAATTTAATTAATCTTATTGTAATCCGTTCAATGGACCCTGCTCTCACCTTGAAACAGCTCAGTGGATTGTTCCCTTTAATTTGAAACGCCAGTGCTTGAGTTCCGCAAGAGTAAAAAAATTTATCTTTCAAAAAATCCGTGTGATGCTGGCCTCTATTTTTATTTCTATCATCAAGTGATTCGCTGGAAAAATTTGCCTGATCTCACAACCAAGCAAAGTAAAACCTAACCAGAAATGGCGAACGCTTTTTAAAGGAATATAAAGGAATCGTGCAAATTATTATTTTCAACAATCATGGGATATAGAAATATAAATTTATGATTTAAACAGTTTAACAAAAAGTTTTAGTAATAGGAAATAAATTTTCCAAAAGAATTTAATTGCAACACATACAACAAATTGAACCATTGGAATACTAACTAACCTAAATAAAGAGAAAATTGTTTATAAATATCATTCTCGTATACAGCGTATCTGGTGTGCCATGCGCCCTGCATATATCCATTAAGAGTGCAAAACAAAAATGCTAGAATAAATGTGAATATGGGAGTCCGTTTTCCATTTCTTATCAAGAATGGATATATCAAACATCTGAAATATTTAATCCATAAATTTCATAAATAACAGTGTACAAGATTAGATATGCATAAAATTTATCAGAGAAAACGAAATATAAAATATAAATGAAAAATGAAAAGCAACTGAATATATTATCAATATATTAAAAAAAAGAATAAAAACCTAACTTTGTACGTAATGAAGAACGAATATCGATAAAAAGATGAAATTCACAATGAAATTAATGTTGAACTCAGTGATAATATAGTAAAGTGGAATAATAAGTGATGGAAGCTCCTGTATAAACCATGCAGTTCGTGTTGGAACTACTATCTGAAAAATTATGCTCGAAAATTTGACAATTTATTCCATAACACATGGACCGCTCATAATTTCCATCCGAAAATTGATATTCAATAATTTCTCGAGTGATTGATGCTAGATTATCTCGAGCAACAATGGCTGGACCCTGCCTACACTAACTGGTCGCTAAAAAAATACAGAAGGGGATTCTGAGGATCTGGATTTTAATCATCAATTCCATGAAAACTTTGGCTGGATTATTATCCATTTCTATCGATCAGAACCAAAAGTTTTGCTCGTTTACCATTTATTCTTCTACCATTTACTCGTTGCAATATTTCCATTTCAGGTCCATTAATCATCAAAAAATCAAACATATATAACATTTGGTGTTAAACTGCTCTAAGAATTTACGAATGAACAGTTTTTCGAAATTTTTTAATTACCAAAAATATTTTTGGCATATAAATGATATTTCAAACGAAATAATCATCAAATAAAACCTCTTTCAATATTGGCGATTCATCGTTATAGCGTCCATATGGAGCTTTCCAACCTTTTAATGATATAAAAAGTACACCAAATGCAGTAAAAATCATCGAATATGCAAGAAAAATGATTGTTTCTTCTTCGTTAATCAACATCAAAAATTAAGCTTTCGAATTTTAAAATTTCAAAACTTCAAAAAATTGCTCAAAATATTTTATAAGATCAGATATTTGTAATTTAAAATTCTTTAAAGAACCACTTTAACGAAAGAACGAACGATTTTTAATAAAAATAATAATCATAATAATTATTTGCATAAATTTTAAACAGCTTTGCCAACATAAAAACTTAAACTTCATTGAAAAATGGAAAATTCCTCTCCACAAATCTCTTTCTACTATTTTTTAAAAACTCTAGAAAAATAAGCTAGAAATACGCGTTGTACGCGTTTCACCAATAAAGACATTCATTCACCAATAAAAACATTGAGAGAATTAGATATAAAGAATAGGGAAAAGTGTGAACAATGCGGCCGCATCGAAAATCTTCCCCAACGAATAAAAATTAAATACTGAGTAAAAAAGAAAAAAGGAGGTTGAAAATTGGGCAATCTGTTTTGTATACAACAGTGCGAATCTAATTCTGGAGAAAAAAACTCTAGAGAATGAAGTGTACACGTTAAAAAAAAGAAACTAAACACACCACATTTGTGTCAAGGCCATATTTATATTCCAGTTTTGCCAAACAAATACGTCTGCTAAAAGAAAATCAGATAGTATAAAAATAGCACAATAATAAAATAAAATGCAAAATAACGGTTAAATCTGGTTGAATTCCCGAAAAAATAGCTTTGAAGAATCCCGATAGCCTAGTGGATGGTGGTGGATTATTGGTTTATGATGTAGTTTTCGAACCTGCCAATCTCGCTCCAGCTAGAGCAATTACAATGTAACCAGAAGACATTTAACAGCAGTATTAGATATTCTTGGCAAGTTTTCAGCGGAATAAACTGGGACGTAATGGTAAACTGTGCTTGAAAAACAAAGCGATTTAAAATATATATTGAAAAAACTGGAAAAAAAATAATAGAAATGTGATATAAGTTAAAAATTAATCTTAATTCCATAAGACTAAATAAAATGCAATTTTCCAAAATAGAGCGTCAATATTCAGATATTCGATTAATAATGACGCGTTTTATGAAGCTCAAAGTTCAAAGGTCTGATGCATTTATGCATGATGAAACTATAGGATTTGCAACTGATGGTGAATATCGCTGATAGAGTAAACGCATAAAACATAAGGATGCATACCTTAGAAGACAAAAGTATTTCTTTTTAACAATTAAAAATAGTCCAAAAAATGAAACATTATTCGAACTGCTTTTAAAAAGAAATCAGCTCCCCAATTAAATAAAAAGGACATATCGTCCTCTTCCGAGCTTTTCTTGGCAGAAAATAAAGGTAAAAACCGTGGGATCCTCCTTTGTCATTCTAACAACAACCAGTGAAAAATCATCGGATGACATATGCAACAAAAATCCATCTGAAAACATTTAAATTTAGTTAAAAATAACGTTCGATAAGAACAAAAATGAATGAAAAATGAAAAAAATAAAAAAATTCCAGTCATCTTCCAGAAGCAGTTAAATGAAACCTTTATTAAACTCAAAATCCAACTAATCCTTTGTTCCATTAATTAGAAAAAAGAAGAATGGACGGGAATTTTGCCAAAAGATTAGGTGCAACATAATTTAATTTAGATTCTATTTCAATTCGTAGCAGAATTATGTGAAAAATTATTGACAATTTTTTGTAATTTTATAGAGTTTAATTGGTGATTGAAAAAGCAGAGTTAGTTGATCGATAGAAATGGAGGAAAAAAGGTAGATCAGGAAAACAAATTATTGCGTCTCAAACCAGGGATTTCCAACGAGCTCGACGGAATTTCAAAAGGGGTGGATTGGTATTTAAAATTTTGCGAGAGAATGAGCGTTTAACCGAAGCCGTTTCTAAATCAAATGTGAATTTTTGAGTTAAATTAAGAAGCGGCTATCTTTCCTCTTTATTTATTTTTTTACTTTTCTTCCCATGAATTAATAATCGCAACAACAAGCATGGTAAGAATAAAATTAAACACCTCCTTATTATTATTCTACCTTCATCACCGTGATGAAGAAATCTATTTACCTCTTATCAAAGTAAAGTGGATACATCATTTTATCCATCCTGTAAAATGTGCTTTAGTATTGAAGTAATGAATATTGATCTCAACTAAAGGTATATCTCGATCTTGGCCAAATCCATGCTGGAATATGCCATTCGGAAATGCCCTGGTTGGGATGGTCCATTTGTCCAAAAAGGCTACCACAGAGCATAAATCATAGATCAATATGCTCAATTAATAGCTATCGAGTAGAAGCAAATAGCTTGGTAAAACCACTGTTTGAGTGATATAACCATGAATATGAATATTTCAAGTAAGCGACAACCCGAATAATCGGAAACTATTCATGAAGCAACCATAAATCGAGGAACGACGAATGAAATGATCCAAGATAACAACGATGTATTGGAACTCTCAAAGATGGCATCACATAGTAGATCTTTGAGACTAAGTTTTGAGACCATGACGTGCCATTTGTCATCCCACAAAAAGTTGAAACGCTCGTTGAGCCACATGTCTGCACCACCAGTAGAGCAACAGAACATTAGTTTTTGTCATTCAGAAGATTAAATAAAAATTAGAAGATTTTAACCGAATGAAGAAGGAAAAAATATAAATTAGGTCATTCGGATGCGAGATATTTCTTTCACGCGAACATTAAAGCTCAAGAGTTGCAAATTGTAATGGCAGATATGCAAGGAAAATAACAAAATACTTGATTAATGACAGGTTTTCCTAACTTTAAGAAAATAAAAGAAAAGAATAAAACTAATCCCTCCGCCCATTTAAAACAATATATAAGCTTCCGAAAGGCCAATTTTGGTCATTTGAGGTGGGAAAAACTCAGAAGAGGACTGCATAAGGGAATTGTAGGAAGTTGGGAAAGGACGCTATCGTATGTCTTTTTCGTTTCTGAGGCATCACGCGTAGTGCCTTTATATAATATTATGTCTATTTTTGTATGCGTTATAAAAGGTTTTAACTACCTAAGTCATCTATATTCCATATTTCATGTGAAACATTTTGCGGTAAAATATTAGAAGAAAAATTCTTGATTGCAATATAAATAATCAGAGAAATAAAATTTCCCGCGGCAGGCAGAATAGGCAAATTTCATATGTAAGAGATTAAATTCCAGAAAAGATGCTGATATATATATATATATGTATATATATATAAACAAATATTTTTGATTGGGAATTTGATGGTCTTCCTTCACTATAAAAACCATCCTCAAGCTGAGCTCATTAAATGCTGTCCAACAATTTTCCCAATTTAACGCAAGTATTCATTAATATGGAAAAAATAATAGCAGAATCAAATTAATTTCTCTATCCAGTTAGAGAATGTGGCAACTATTGAGGAATTTTCTTAGTACGGAGAATTAGCACGTCCTAGAACAGATATGAGTAAGAACCGAACCGATTAAAGGACTGTGTGGTAGTATTTTAGTTATATGACAAAGTTGCAAGAGGCATCAAGAGCTTTACAAATCAATTCATAATACAGGTGACGTAATCTTGAATAAGCTGATAATGTAATCTTTTCTGATAATGGTTATAAAATACGATATCGATGCATCGATGCAGCTCATATGCAAATAATTGCAGCGTAGATCTTTTTGTTTTCCATATCATATGCTGGTAAAATATCCATTTCTCGCTTTTTTTCACCGAGTAGCCAGACGAAGAAAGACATTTCAATCTGGATAGTAGCAATGTTTTCTTCCATCTTCCAAAATCTTCGTGGAATCAAATGAGAAAATGTTGCAAATTAACGCAAAAAAATTGAAGAAATATTGTAAATATTGTAGTGTACCATCAAAAAAAATTGACTTTTGCAGTAAATTTGGGAAGAAGAGCTATATCGATTTTGCCCAATCAATGCTGCTTTCACCTGGATTTTTTTAAAGTAGCTTAGGTAGATTTCCATCGAAGAATAATCGAATGATAATACTCGAACTTAACAATTTCAACAATCAACAATGTACATTTGATTTTTTTTCTTTTAGATAGTGATAAATAAGATTTAGATTTAATTCGGCGTCTTCGATATCGGTGCTGTCATGAAAAAGCTCATGGAAGTGCTTGCTACTTGCGATATTTTTCTGAATTCGTAATTACGATCAAATCATGTATACATGCAATTAATGTAATTATCATTACAACTAATTCAATTTAACGTCTGAAAGATTTTTGGCGGCCTTGGTCCGAGTTGATTCGTGAAAATCTTCATGATTTCCGGTTATTTCCAATAGAGTTGTTGTTCAAACGCAAAAGTAATTAGGCGTTCTTGAAAAGATTATGGCATCATTTATAATTTTCTCGAACTATACCGAACTCCAGTTTCGTCGTTTGTCTTCATTTGAAAGCAAATTCATTATTATTATTATTAAATTCATATTAAAAGAATGAACGTTTTTGTGTTTATTTATCATTAATTTAAGATTTATACAAAATAATTTATCAAAAAAATTGTCCTCGGAAAATATTCACATTGATTTCAATGAAAGTTTTAGTATTTTTCGTTGAATGATTAATATTCAATAATTGTAACAGGAAAAAAAATTATAAAAATCATTGATTGTTTTTATTATTTTTCTAATTTTCATTTAAAGAATTCAAGAACAATTCGGAAATTAATGGCATTTTAGATGATTTTAATTTCATAAAAATTTTAAAAAATTGTAATTGTAATTGAAATTAAACAGCTTATGTGAACGAATAAGTGAAATGCTTTTTACATTTTCAACTTTTTTCAGCAATAATTTTTTTTTTTAATCTTCGGATACATCGTACTATTTTCATTTTTCTTGTCTGGAAAAAGAAATCAGTAATTTTTATTGTCCTATTCGCAAGATCTGAATTTCGAACGCGAAAATACAAAAGGGTTTTTTGAAGCTACCACTGAAAGAAGGATTAATCATCTTCAGAGCATTGAATATTCTTGTCTCGTAATCAGTAAAGCCAACCAAACTAAGTAAAGGTTGCGAGCTATTAGATAAAGAAGAAAATATGCCAGTTTTGATATGATAGGTCCATCACATGCTAATTTCATAAATGGCGAATTTTCAAAAATTTCGATTTATAAATATTTTTAATAATACTAAAAAATTTGATAAAAATAAACATTAAAATTTCATTTATTTTTTAATCGAGAATGTTTATAATCCGATTTTGCAAATAAAAAACACGATTAATCAGTAATCCATAACTTTTTCGTGGATTAAATTTTATTGCAATAAATGCAAGAAAACTTGAAAAAACCAGAAATATTCACTATGAAATAGAAAATTTTGGAATTTAAATCATTTTCATTAGAATATAATGCAAAAGTTAAAAATTCCACTTTTTTCGCATTTATTTTAAATATTATTTAAATAATTGAATATTTTGATTAAATCTCGTTGTAGCAAGTAGGAAATAAATATAAAAAATAAGATGGATGGTGTCTAATGGCACTTTTGTCGTCCATTCCTCGCTAAGATACATGTTGCTTTCTGTTAAACAATTAAACAATTCGCGTTGCTTCCATCATAAAATAATATGAATAAAAGGAAACAGCGATTAAAGCTTGAACGCAATAATCTGATGGTGAATTTAATAATTTAATTTTAATAAAATCATAATTTTCAAAATATTTCGATATCAATTTAGAATCAGCCAAAATACATATAAATGTGTAATTTATTCATAGTGCCTCTGATTTATACAATTTTTTTTGCGAAAAAATAAAATGAAATTAATTTGAAATTAATCGAAAGCAATAACTATTCATATTAATAATGATAAACGATTAAAGATTTGATTTCAATGGATCAAATGACTCGAATATCGATTGATGAGTTTGGGAACTTAGTTATAGGAAAATGAAACCGATTATTGTGGTGGCAATCATGACGATCATCATAAATATCATTACGGTTTTGAAAAGTTGAATCGAATTTTTGACTGCCTTTGCCTGTTACTTCAGAAAAATGGAGCACAGTGCCTCTTGGTACTTCCTTTGATTTAAAAATTTTGAATCGCTCACAAATTGCTGATAAATAGCAACCAAATCATTTTTATAAATTTTATAAAGGTCAATAATGAATGGCCACTGGCTTTGCGTATAAAAATACGAAAGGAATTTTAAAACAATGATGTTTTTTCATTCTTCAAGTTTCTTGTTTTCTTCATTCTGTGAAAATCCCAACACGGATGTGGCATAAATCTGAACGATGTGTATTTTGCAAATATTTTATTTTTTCGTTCATGAAATATAGGTATTTATAAAATTTATGAATAAATATAGATATATAGGAATTTAAAATAATCTTCAAAATAAAACTTTTATAAATGCAAGAATTTCCTCAAATTGTGATATCTTTTTTTTTCGAAAGTAGTAAAATTATTTATAAAACTGAAATATGACCCAAAATAAAAGAATGCAAAACGCGCTAGAAAATCCATTTTAAAAATATAAAAACTGCTGCAATTGTAATCAAATCTATCAGAACAACTTTATCTTTTTTCAATGCATGAATTATGGCGCCGACCATGATTTTTGTGGCCAAGTTGAAATTTTTCAAATTTTGCTATTTTTTATACAATTTAAAAAATTTTCTTTTATCAAAATTAAAAATGTTCTATAAAATTCATGGAATAATATGGAATAATTTCCTCACTTATTAATAATAATCAATCCGCCTTTATCTTTTTTCTTTATAACACTTTTGACTCACTTTTTTTTCAAGAGCCTCACCATTACTGGTTAAACTCGCTCCGCTGAATTGTCGTAATGGACAAACCTGCCAAAGAGTCCCTTGGCGATAGAAATACAGGTAAGTCCCCAGCACCACTCGGATTTTTGGACAGCTTCACTCCAGCGGGAAATAGAACCTCATCATTGGCGCCCAGAAACGAGCAACAACCCACTGAGCCATGCTATTCTCACACCCTAAAGATTTATCTGATAAAGGAGTATACTATACAATATATTAAACAATTAAACTATAATAAGCTAAATTAGAAATGTTGAATGCTAAATATTGCAAACACAAGTAGAATCATAAAATACAGTTTAACAAATTATCATTTTTTTCTGCATATATGATTGCATTCGATGAAAGGCTTCGAAGGCTTTCACTTATCATAGGTAATAAATCGAGATCTGATATTCAAGAATTTAAATCAGCTTCCATTGTGGCTTCTATTACTATCAACACTGGCATCACATCGAGCAGCTTGGAAACATCTTATCTTTATAGCCAGCGGAGCCAGCTCGATCGGTATTGGTGAGAGGTGTTAGAGGAAGAAGAAGAATAACTTTTGGTGAAGAATGTTTTGGGGATATAGCTGTGAACGCCTTAATATGACCTGGAATCGATCCTTTATGATAGTTCTTTCCTCAGGGAACATCGAACCTATGATGCTCGAATTGAAACAACAATGTCATTCGATTCTCTGCCATTAATTAATTTCCATTGGACGCAAAAACTTTTCTGTAAGCAGAAAATGAAAAAATGGAAATTTAGAGAAAAAAAATTTTGTTAAAATAAGAATTAATCTAAATAGACCATATAAATAAATTTAAAGCAACCATTCCATTTAATTATTTCGAAAATAATTTTCATAGACATTCGTCTCTGAATATGTTTCTGAATATAAATAGTTAAAAGCTTAAGTATATATAAAAAAATATTGGTTATTTTGCGAAAATTTCTGAGAGGCCTTTTTTTGCTTTGCTTTATATTATATTGCAGCAGATATGCTTTATAATGTAATCGAATTTAGCTAAATTTGTAATTTTTATCTGATCTGATTTTTCTTACCTAAACTAAATTTTAAGTAGTTAGTTTGAAGTTGCATATGAATATTTGATTTGATTGCAAACACGTCTGTAAATATGCAAATAAATCATAATGGTGTACGAATGGTGCTCGTTTGCGCATTGCTTGCTGCAACTCGTTTTTATTTTCAACGATTTATGATGCATGAAATTACCCGCCTCCACGAATAACCACCATCGAGAACAACGAAACCATTCATCTACTACATCTGCGACATTTTCTCTGCAAAAAATTTTTTAAGCGAGCCGATGCCTTTGCAACCAACATTGTTTATACGAATTCTAAATAATTTATTTCGTCTCATTGGACATATCGCTGCTGATTATCCTATTGCTATTATTTTGGTTTGTTTTCTTATAAAATTCTTCGGTTCTTTTGATTCATTATTGACTGGAAGCGGACATCTTAATTCTCCTCCAAAGGTGTTCCCTTCAAAGACTGTGGCGTGGCTCCAGAAAATCAAAATTATTCCATTTAAAAATAATTTAATGAAAATTATTTAATAATAATTTTGTTGCCATTTTTTCCGAATTCTGCAGTCTTTTATGGAAGATTATGCAGATTCTTTAATAAAAAAGCGCGGAAAATAGAAAAAATACAAATTATTTCCACCTATTTTATTATTCTTGAGAATAAGCAAATATTTTTAAGAAAACTTAACTAAATTTAATTTTGTTTATGAAAATAACAACAGGCGTTTAATTATTGAACTAATTAATTATTGAATTATAGAAGAGCAATCATATATAAAAAATTTGACATATATACGTAATTTTTAATCATTTCGGCCACTGGTCGTTTTCTCTCCGAACTATTTTTATACCTTAGACATACAGAAATAATTCTGCCGAATGATGAGAACTTTGTTAAGAAATTAAATCTTTAAATGTTTGTCAAATTATTCCGCAAGAATGCAAAAATTTTTTCATATGGTACACTAAAGTATTAAATTGATAGAAGTCGATTTTCGTTCATGAAAATTCAAAATGAAAATATAAATACGATGGTTTTGCAGCAATCCTTTTTTCCAGGTTTTTCGTGTCTTCTCAGAATTCTTAAGTGAAGAGGGAAATTTGAAAAATTCACTGAGAATTTTTTTTACGACAAATTTGTTACAATGAATTCAGAGCGTTCGATTTGCCTGATTCATACCTATTTGATTTATGGTATCACAGATATTAAAATCGATGGGCAAATTTTTAATGAATCTTTGAATCTTAGCCATGTGTTTGAAAAATTGATTCTTTTACAGTCTACAAACTTTTATTCTCATTTAAATTAGCACTTTCTGAAGCGGCGAAATTTAAAGCAGCTAAGAGACTGCGTAAATATTTCTTCCTGAGAGTTATGGAGCGATCGTTTAACGTGCATGGTACCACTGGTTAAATTAAACATGCAATTTGTAGAGAATATAAGAACAATTTGATTTTTGAACACTTTTTAAAAAATCTCGAAGAATTTATTAGTATAAGAGAACCAAAAAGCATAGAAAATATGGAATATATGGAATAAATACCTTATGGAATAAATGACGGCAACAGGGTACCGAAGCGCAGTGAGTTAGATTATCGTGTTGGAAGGAAAGGGATCGCTTCATTTCTGGTAATAGGAGCATCATAAGAAAGTTCGTATGGTACTGGCGACCTACTTGCATATCTAGCTAAATTTCTCTTTACGACCTAGTAAAAATTTTTAACCGTAATAACAACTAGTAAAGCGTAAATGCCTAAGCCAGAAACGGTGAGTGCTAACCATTTATTTACAAAATCTTATTAAAATTTATTTTCGGGGATTTTTATTTTCTTATAAATCTTATATAACTTTTTATTTTTATTATTTCAATATTTTTTAGATATTTTCGATATTTTCGGTTTTATTATCGCTAAAAATACCGTTTACAAAGGTACAAGATGATGTTCAACGTGGTTATTCATTGCCAAATGCGCGTTCGATAAAAGAATTTCAACGTTTCCGTCTATTTAATGATGGCCTTGATCCAATAATTGTATTTGCATTGGTTATAGCTAAGGATGACGGATCAATGTCACGTATCGAATATCTTAATGAAACTGTTAATATAATTGACTATGTTGGCGAAAATTTTGCCATTAAAAATATTACCTATAATGATATATGTAAAAATTTTTGCGATGCTAACGAAGCGGTTCGACAATTCAGGGTAATAAACTTTATTTATTTAATTTTCCATGATGACCATATGATATATTATCATGCAAAATAACTAGATTTTCGAATTTTTAAATTATAAAATTTGTGCAAAATTCATGTTAAAGTAAATTGAACGTCAAAAAATGGCTTAAATATTTATTGTCCTAAAATCATGTTTTTTTCCAAATCTATTTTTAATTAAAACGAATTCCACAAACCACATTCGTATCAAAAACAAGTGCACTTCGTCAATCTCTCATTAGTCTGTGATTTTTTGAAAATATGTCATTTTTGACTGAAAATTTCTACTTACTTCTGTCTCTTGCAAATTTTAAATCAAGATAGATAGATCAAATTGGATTACTATATTATTTTTAAGAATTATGGAAACAATCCCATTCTCTTTTTTTTCATTGCTTTACAAGCTGGTAAAAAGAAAGATTGGCAAAAAAGAAAGCAGATAGGGCAAACAACCTCATAATTTTCTCTTGTAGAATGGTATGATTTTGAACGAGAATGCAGAGAATTTTAACACATACGATTTCATCAATGCTTCTTTTCCCATTATGCATCTTTTGGGAAGAGGACTCGATCTTACACCGAGTTTTTTCGGTGTTCAAACGTATGATCCATCTGAAATGAAAAATTCGACAACAACAAATATTAAGGACCTTAAAGTAATCGTTCTACAATTTCGAGCACAACAACCTCCACAGTGGACGTCGGATGACAAAATTTCTTGGGAACGATCTGTTGGCAACTTCTATAGAACGAAAGTCATTTTATTTTATTTAAACTTAAAGTGGGAAAATAACTCAGAACAAAAATAATCCGTTCATAAATCCTTTCCACCATCTCCTTCTTCTAATTCCCTTCCTTATTCATTTAAAGTTGTTGAATAAGTTCAAGTCCATACATCAATTTCTCAAAGGTAGCTCAGACGTAATTAATGCTGTTTTTGTCTAAAAATGATCATAATGATTTGGAAGTACAAATAATATTTTCCGAATTCTTTCAGAAAAAATTGAATTGAAACTAATTTAATTATTTTTACTCTTCGATCAAATTTTAAACATTAAAGATTCTTTAAAAATTGAAATTTAAGCAACAAAAATATGCAAAATTTAATTTAATTCAATATTTATAAAAAATATTTATTCAGTTTTAAAGCAAAATGCACTGAAATAAATATGTTGATGACCCAAATTTTTTTATTTCAGTGAATATGGCAGTTCGATAGTAAAAGTGATGGTGTTTACGATGACATTCACACAAGATGAAGTTGTTCGTACAGGAATGACATTGGCTCCATTCATATCTTTTGGCTTTGTTATTATGTTAATATTTTCAGTAACCACAGTATACATTAATACAATATACATAAAACAGGTTAGTTAAGTGTCAATTTTTTTCTTTAACTATGCAGTTTTTGATGAATTACAACATGAATTGCATACATGTACGAGGATTTTCCGAATTTTCCAAATGAAATATTTCCAAAAGCTGTTTTCTATTTTCTTAAATTGAATTGAAAAAATTTATTTGGAGTTATTGCAACTTAATAACATCGATTGTCTAAACGAAATAAGAATAAATGATTGTAGTCATATTCTTGCAAACAATCAAACTTGATTTAACGTAATAAAATGTTAATAGAAGAAAGAAGGAAAATTTTTGTTTAATTTATACTGAAAACATGGTCGTATAATTTCTTATTGAAAATTTAATATATATATAAATATATATAAATTTTCGCAAGAAAAATGATAAAATGACACTATCATATCATTAAAAAGTGCTTCCTCCCATGACAAAAGAATATTGAGCAGTCTCAGTTTTTGAACAAATTTTTTTTGCTGCAAGAACATTTAATAAAGAACATTTAATTTTTTCTCTAATGAAGGAAATCTCCAGTAAATAAAATCAAAAACATTTTCAAAAACTATAATTATTTAAGGCGGCCTTGAAAAAAGCCATTTTGATGAAAAATTTGTCGAAAAATTCCTGTTATATAACATATTAAATAGAAATTTAATTTAACTTAATATGATGTGAGGCAGACATAGGACATTTAAACATCGAGAAGCGAATTATGCCGTCTTTTAGGAAAGGAAACGATTGAAATAACGAAATTATCGATAATAATTAATATCATGGTTTTGCCTTTCGGCCAATAATTACTCGTTTAAGAAACTGAATACGAGATTTTGGTTGATTACTACTTTGATCGAAGCATTTTAAGAACAGATAATATATCATAAACATCGAAAATTTTAAAAAATCATTAAAAAATATAATTTAAAAATTTAAACTTAAAAATAACTAGAAAAAATTTTTAATTTTATATAATGGTGTTTTATATTTTTGCAACAATCAATATAATCATTTATTTGGAAATTTCTTATGATAAATTTGATTTAGGATAAAGGTATAGGTATAGGCATATATGTTTCCTCAATATTTCCTTTATGAAGTACTCTTTCCAAGATTTCTTTATTTAAATTTTATTATTTATTATGATTTTCAGTGGTCATTTTATAAAGCATTTTATGCAATATTTGGATGTATTTGTCCACTTTTTGCTACTTCAGCCGCAATTGGATTACTTTTTTTTCTTGGTCTACGATTTGGCTCAATATTATTTGTCACTCCATTTTTGATTTTAGCTATAGGTTTGTTAGTTTAATTTTTCTGGGATAAGAACGATTAATGCGAAAGATATCTATTTTGAATAAATCATTGCAATGGTTACAATTGAAATGGTTATTCTTTATAATAATAAATCTTTATTTCCAATCTAAATTCTCATGGTTAAATAAAAATGAGGATTTATGTCATTCAGATTTTCCACTGATCATTGTGTTACCTTAGTTAAGAGTAATAGCACTAAAAATTTTCGTCAAAATTAAATTAAATAAATAAGAATAGGTTCACAAAAATTTGATTTTTATTTTCTAATATCTGAAATTTCTAATCTAAACTAGGAAATAGGATATAATTTGTTTCTTATTTCCTAGTTTCGTTTACTAAAAAAAAAAAAAAAATTCCCATTCATCTGATCCATCTGATAAATTTGGTAATTTCAGGTGTAGATGATGCATTTCTGATGATGAATGCCTGGAATCGGATTTTGGCTTACCAAGTCGAGCACCGGCTTAACTTTGAAATCAGAGATATGATCGCTGAGGTTTTATTCTCTTCAGAATTTGGTTTTCTTTTTTGGAGTTTAAGCCCATGTTGCGCTCTTCATTTACCATTTATAAAATTTCAATTTGAAGCAATAATCTTAATTAATGGACATCAAACAGATTTTTTGATGGTGTTCTGCGAAAAACGGCATAGTAGTGATTTTTTTATGTTCTTCAAGAACGTTTATAGTAAAGAAATAAATGTTTCTAATATAACTAGTCAATAATAAAGTAGTTGCAACAATTGGAATATAGTCAATACACGTGCAATTTTCCAAAATTTAAAAATTTTCCATCCCATCCAAAGCAAATGTTGATTATCTAAATCACCAGAAAAATTAATTATTTGTTAGACGACAAATTCATTCACTGAAAAATAAAAATGGTTTATAGGTTCTTATCGATGTGGGTCCATCAATAACGATCACTTCTTTGACGAATATGTTAACATTTGGAATCGGCGCATGTATATCGATTCCTGAAATACAAATTCTTTGCATCGCCATCGCAACAGCAATTTTATTTGATTATATCTACACAATAACGGTCTATACATCTATTATGACAATTGGTGGCATTTACGAAATTCGTCAAAAGAATTTTGAGATATATAGGGAGGAGAAAAAAAAAAACAAAGTTCTTTCTTTTTTCATTTATTTTTTAATCAATATTAGTTCTTAAGAAATGATCCGGTTCAAAGATCTGGATCGACTAATTGTCATCCGGATCCAAAGGAGTAAAATTATTATTAAGAAGTCCAGGTTGTGCTGGCGATTCACATGGATATACTTCCATCGCCAAATGACTGCCTCGCAAAGATTTATAGTAACAAACATTAACAAATCACGAGCATTAACCACTTATTATTCGCTTACTAAAGAAATAAAGTGGTCGGTTTTTATGCGACACTTTCGGCGTATTAATGACACATTAATGATGATTCGGAGCAAAATAGTGCTTTTATTCAATAAAATAATGTTTGAATAATTTGATCTGATTGTTATTTTTATTGTAAAATGAAGTGCACCTTTTAATTTTAAAGATATTTTTTTATATATTTCCTTTATAACATGGATATATTCGCATAATTGACTGAAATGAACTCCATTAATAGTGCATTTATTTTATTTCGACAAACAAGGCTAATGGCCAAATAACTGAATCGAAAATAGCATTGCATTAATAATACTGTAATGAACTGAAACGGACAAATCCGAGATAATATCAATATATTCCCTATCATATTTAATTTTTTTCAGTGGCATTAATTTATGAATTTGCACCTTTATTACATCGTTTTTACAGGTTTCAATATTTTTTGATAGTTATTGTGAATGGTTATCAAGTGGATTCACTTCATTATTTCTGTTTATAATAATAATAATTTACTGGATTATTAGTATTAGAGGTGCATTATCTGCAAAAGCTGGACTTACGCCAGAGAAACTTTTCTTATCTGATTCACCATTAATTGAGGTTTTTCAGTGATTTTTGACATTCAGTTTTTCTTGCCATAATTACAGAATATATATTTTTGGTTTATAATTTTAGTATATATGCTTATATATATATATATATATATATGTACAGGGTATATATATATTTAATGATTTTGAAAACAACTTGACTATTCGATAGCAAATAATTTCAGATGAATGCGATAAGAGACAAATACGTATTGCCAGCTTACACTTTTGTTAACATTTTTGTTAACAATCCTGGTAACTTGAATGACCCAAAAAGAGTGTCGATAATAAAAGAAATGATTAGCGAATTTGAAGCGATGCCGGAATGTAATGGAGCTGAATTTAGCCATTTTTGGATCAGAGATTATGAAGCATATTTAACTAATGAGAAACTTGAAGACGATTTTTTCAAATCATCTGTTGCATATAGTATTGAAGATCTTCAAACATTCTTTAACTGGCCTGAATACCAACATTGGGGTGGATTTGTGAGGTTGAATTATACCGAAAAAAGGTAAATTTTATCAGTTTTTGTTTACAAGCTAATTCACTATTTTTCAAATTCACTATTTTTTTCCCGATTATCGGGTTAAATTAATATTAAACAAGGTCGAATTATGGATTAGTTTAAAAATTTAGAGAAAATATAAATGAATTTAAATCTAACTTGTTTTTTGAATAGTAACTCATAATATAAGAAGAAAAACGTTGGGGAAAAATTGATGCCCTCTATAAATTCCAGAATAACGAGTTTTTTTGCTACTGTTGCATTTCATGGTGAAAATCAAGCCGATTGGATCCAAAAATTACATATATTGAAAAAATGGCGAAATATTGTTGACAGTTATACGGTTTCTTTTTTTCTTTTTCTTAAATATAGAAATATTGATAGTTAATGTAATATTGAAATAATCTAATATTAGCTGCAAAACAATTACCACGCCAATCTTAATAGCTTTTTATGGTACAAATTTATAATTTAGGATCTAGATGCAAGCATTTACAACGATGAAGCGTTTTTCACCGAACAATTCGAAACGCTAATCCCAACAATGATACAAACTTCACTTATTGTTTTGGTGTCCATGGCAGTGGCATGTTGGATTTTTATGGTAAATATATGTAATGTGATCGTCGCAGTTGCAGCGATTATTTCAATTTGCATCGGTAATTGTATCACATTTAAAAAATAATTGAGTTTTTGCAAAAAATTTAATAAATTTTATAAGAAACTATTATTTAACATTCTTTGAAAAGATCAGAATTAAATATATCTACTAAAAATAATTGGACAAGCAACAATGATAAAACTATAACAATAATAGAAAAATAATAAAAAATTATTAAAGTAAGATATACTGGAAAAGTTCGAGTATTTTTACTGTTTTCTATAATATATTTTACGATAAAATATTGTAAATTAATCCATTTTTTTACGAAATTTTGGTATTATTTAATTTTTTAAATATCTGAAAATATCTAAAATTGCATGGAATTAAAATGCAATACAAAGTACCAATAAAAATTTTTCATATAATAAACGTTGATCCAAAAATTACCACTTATAAAATAGCCATCGATTACTTATGCATTTGAATAGCCACATATCAATATTTCGATTTCAGGTGTATTCGGATTGCTGTCGCTATGGCAAATTGATGTTGATCCAATATCGATGGCGACAATGATAATGGGTATCGGATTAGCAGTTGATTTCCCTGCACATATCACCTTCCATTATTATCGCAGTGGCTTCGATAAACGATATAGCACAGCAAAGGAACGAATTGCTCATTCCCTTATAACTATAGGTTTTCCACTTCTGCAATGCAGTGGGTCGACCATATTTTTCACAACTTGCTTGCTATTAATACCGTGTTATATGAGCGAGGTGCATTAATTCTTGTTTCATAAATTTTTTCATAATTTTTCAACTTATAAAGTTCTTAAAAAATCTGTGAAATCTGACATATTTCGCAAAAAGTTTTTGGACGATTTTGGTTCATTCTAGATTAATTAAACGATTTTAAGTCTCTTTTATACGCTTTTATTTATTGCAAACAACGCTATTTTTCATAGAGAATTTCTTTTTCGAGCCAAAATGATGATAAATTTCTGTCCAAATTTCATAAGATTACTTTTTCACCAATATCAATATTAATTTTTATCAGTATTAAATGCAAATTTTTGCTTGAGTAAATGCACTAAAATAAATAATTTATTAAGAAGAATTTGTCCAAAGATTTGTTTTTAGTGCAAAGGCACGAGTCACTAGTTTTTTCAGAATTGTAAGTTTTTTTCAAGGCATATGTGGAGACTGGAACAATCAAAATGTTCGTTTTAAAGTTTTGAGAAAAAAGGCTATTTAAACTAATCTACAAAAATCAGTGATGCTTGATGAGAAATTTAATCCATGTCTTTTGCCCATTTTGATAATTTTCTTTCCTCATTGAAAAAAATTATTGAAAAGGAATATATGATAATCAGTTTCAGGTATTCGTTAAGTCCATAGTATTAGTAATTTCACTTGGCACAATACATGCTCTTGTTATTGTACCAGCTCTTCTTTGTTCACTTTCAAACATTTATCAAAACCTTATTAGTCCAAATGATAATAAGGTATTTTTTCATCGAAACCAGTTGTTTTCAAACTTTTTGCCTTGTGAACTCTTTTGAAATCATTCACGATCCTATAAAAGCTTATGCTTACGTATGCTTACTAGGTTTTACTTATCATTATTTACCATGCCATAAATTAATTGAATAAATATATTACCATATCATATACTACTAAAGTGGTACAATATTATGAAAAGATTTTGAGGATATTCTGAAGGAAGCTATTGTTATTATATATGAGAACTAGGCAGTTATTGTATATGAGCACTATTAATTTTAAACAAACTTCTCATAAAAACTAATAAGTGAAGTGTCTAGCTTTCACCATTTCCGATTCTATTCGTTCCTCTTGTTGTAGGCACTAGAAGAAAATTTTCTCTAAGTGCAAATAGGAGATTGATGCGCAGCATTACTGGGATTTTTGATAAGTTTGCTTTTATGGGTGGAGTATCTGAACCTTGTTGCTCGAGGCGATAATCTGAGTAATAATCTCGGCTATCCTGCCTGCAACAACAATGATAAAAAGAAGAATTTTCAGTCTAATTCATCGAAAATGAAAATCACAGAAAGTCCAATTATTAGAAGGATTCGATCTGAAACAGGGAATAAAATCGCTCCGATTTCGATTTCTGTGAGTTATCATTAATTTATCGTCGTGATTTATGAAACAAAAAAATAAATTTTCAAGAAATTGAAGAGAATTTAAGTGAAAATAAAAAAATAAAACCTAATTTAATCCTATTAATTTTTTGCTTTTCAGTCAATGACTGTTTAAATAGATATATTCGATTTATTGTGGACGATATGAGGAAAAAGTTTCTTAGCTCAAAAATTATATTTAAAAATTTTATTTTATTTTCTTCTAATTTTTTGTTTGTAAGATGCTAAATACTTTATCTCAAATTATATGTGTTATTATTATTTCATGCGTTAAATAAATTTTATGCCACAAACTTTACAATGAACGAAAGATGAAAGATAAAATGGCAGCAATATAAAAATGAAGGCAGAAAAGTTGTTATCATAAATTTGATCTAATAATGATCTAAATTTTACAAATTATGAAAAATATAATAATTGGGACGATTCGAAGAATGCATAGATTAAGGAAGATTTCATAATATATGTAATATACAATTGTTACCTACTATTACATCTTTAGTATGTGCACTATATGACAACTTAGAGATTTATACCACATGTAAAGAGATGGAGCTTCTGCGACAAAACTATATTCGATATGTCAATTAGTTCCAGTTGTCAATTTTTTTGCTTCTTTTTGCGCAGTAGAAGTTAATTTTTACAGCCTATTATGATAACCTCAATGAAAATATAGTAAAAATGTAAATTATTCGACTGCGTCGCGCATTGAGAAAATATGTACTTTTTATTTAAACTTTTACTTCTATATAATATACCAAAATTTTCACTATCAACAAAAAATTCCGAGAAAAAATATAGTTTTATTCTAATCTAGTAAATATATTAAAATTGAATTGCTCTATGAATTATGCCTGAAAATATAATTTTCATATCTGAAAAAATTGATCTGCAGCTGATTAACTTAAAAAAATTTTTTTTTGGTTATTTTTGATCGGATTTTATATTAACAGTGTTAATATTGAACCATGTTGTAGATTTTTCAAGCGAATCTTTCGACTTTTGTATGGATTAAAACTCGCTCTATTGCTACAAATTTTTTAGCATTATATTGGCTATTCATCGTTTTAAATTCTTTTGATAATGGTAAGGTCCCTCATCATTGTGAGGACCTTTCCTGCCTGTATCTGGCAGGAGATATCACTCGGGATGTACAAGAAGTCCAGGCATTTGCCATTATCGGCATGACAGGTTTTCGCCTGCCAACGACACTCGACATTGGTTAAAGCGACCGTTGCTCATCTTTCAAAAATTTAAAAAAAATGTGAATTATTAAATTATTAAATTGTGAAATTAAGTTGTAAAGATATTCCATATCGACAATATAACAAAATATATGAGAGTTTAAGTTAGTGGTTGGCGAAAATCGCATGCAGTCTCTACCAAAATTTTTTCATAATTTTTTATAAAATATTCATCGATAATTTATTTAACTTATTTGCTTTAATAAAATATTCATAAAGTAAGAAATTATTCATGCGTAGCAATTGTTCTAAAGGTGGAATACGACCGCAAAAATGCAGAGTTTGGCACTTCGCAATATTCAGTATTCTCTTACCATGAATAATAAAGCTTCAGTAGGCAAATTTAAAATGCAGAATCCTAAGTGTTCTTTATTTCAAACATTCACTATCGAAATTGCGACTAACATTGGCTTAAGTTTTCTTGGTTTTTACAATCGATAAAAATAAAGTCGAAGGTATGCAGCTATCTCTCAAAAAAGCTTATAACAATTAAATAAGTTTTCAAAAATAGGTAAGAAAAGATTTTGAAGAATTTTTAGTAAAAATGGAGATTTTACAATGTTCTCTTCAAATTTCCCCCACATAACTTAAAACAATTTTTAGACAATTTCCATAAAATTTTTTAAAATAATTTTTTCTTCAAGGCTTTAAAGTGGTCACTTATTTTGTGACATTGTTTAATCTTTTTGAAATTAAGCATAGAAGTATTACATGTTGCATGATTTAAACTTCAAGCTTGTTTTAAGCAGAAGCCAGTAAAATTCCAATTCCTTGACCAGAGTAACACTAGCAACATTAGCATGAGAATTTCCAGCTGATTCGATGAGATATAGGTTTTTTGAAGAAGCATTCCAACATGTATCGAATTTTTGTTTAACGTGATTTACGAGCATAATATTGTAATATATTCTACTTGAATGAAACCACAAAAATCACCTGTAAAATAGAACAATGAACGTAATTTTAGTCATAAATTGAAGCTTGCCTTATTAGATTAATTAGAATAAATCTGAATCTAATCGACATTTCGTGATGCAAAAAATTTTTTTTACAATTATTTAAGGCCCTAGAAAGAGAATAAAAATCGCAGTACTGAATTTAGTGATTTTAGTTGCTCATCTTTTTGTTCAAGAGAAATACAACATATAGCAAATTGGGGCAAATTTTCTTAACTTCATTCATTTTGATAGAATTTCGCGTAAAATTTCTCGATTCTATATTAAGGATTAACAAAAGAGTTGTTTGGTGATTAAAATGAATATAATTGATAATATTCATTTTGATAATGAGTAAAAAACCAGGAATAAAAATCAATTTTCACTTGTCACGAAAAACTTAATAGTTAGAAGGAAGAGAAAGAAATCTTTTTGGTTATTAAATCCTATTTTTTTCTGATTTTATCAATCAAAAAATTTAATTTCGATACAATAATAAAAGTGGAATTCGCAAAAATCCAAAAAATTTTCTCGGTTAAGCCAGCAAATTGTTATCATATTGAAAGGTAAAAGGGTCGGAGTAAGTAAGCTTCCAACCAGAAAGTATAGGTGATACTGTCGATCCATCTAACACTTCTATCACCAAGTGATTCCCTGGCGAAAATTTCAAAACATCTTGTCAGCCCACTAGGCTATACAAATTGGTTAAAAGTGCTAATTCCTAAATTAACTACATTCCTTACTCAATTGATTAAAATCTAAGCGGTGTAGAATAAATTAAACTTTCTATAAACTGCATGAATTATAAAATAAAATGGCAAAAAAAGTATAATAAAACTGAAATTTCGTAATTTCTTAAGCCATTTTTCGTTAATTCCTTATTAACCTATTTATTAACTTTTCTTACATATTGCTGTATTATCTCTCGCAATATTTTCCAATTTTCGAATTAAAAAAAAAAAAAAAATTCCACTATCTCTTAACAAAAATCTTTCATTCCATTCCATTTAATTGCTTTTTTATGTTTGTACTATGAATATGAATATTAATCAGACATGCGTATCCAGTTGTATCAGAAATGTGAGAAGTAAAAATTTGTCAATGATAATTTTTTTCATTTTTCTAAGAGCTCTCGCCACTGTTGATTAGGCTCACTCTGCTGACTCATCGGATGAGACAAAGTATTCCGAAGAATCATTTGGCAATATAAACATCACCCAGATTTTCGAAGGCTTAACCTCGCAAGGCTTAAAGTTTGAGAATGGGTGCTGAACTGAGCAGCAAGAACCTTCTGAGTCATTGCTTTCTCTGTTCAGTGGCAAATTACATCCGATTTGCGCTGGAATATAAAAGAAATGGTCGCATAGATATGAAAAAGTATCCCAAGCATTTCTCGATTGCCATTCATTTGCCAACTAACGACACACGATTTTGAGCTAATTTAACAAATAAAAGTTTTTTAGTGGAAAATTTAAAAATTAATTTAAGAAAAAAGTTTTTAGACTAAATTAGGCACATATAATATCGGCGTAATACAGGGAATCCACCGGTACTTCTAGATGACTCTTTGGCGAAAGGATTAATAAGGTTCAATAACCACGAAATAGCCAGCCAGCGCTGCTAGAAGAAGAAATGCAATCTAACTGAGGAAAAATGTCATCCATTTATTTATCGATAGGCTTGACAAAATGGAAAAATTTTGGCAATTACCATACGAAAATGTCGTAATGATACCAAATAAGGCATATTATTATGTAATATCGTTATCTACTGAAAATATACTCGTAGTTACAGAAGAATGAATGAAGCAAATTTCCTACCGATGAATGTCGAAAGAAATTATCGAAAGTCGGCAATTATTTAATGAGATCTTTGTGTTTTCGCCATCGCTAAAGATCGATAGCGATAAGTGATCACTGAAAGGGCCAATAAATTAGGACATAAAATCCCGAGATTCTTCCTTACTTGCAAATTTTTTCAGAAATTCTAACGTACCGCCCATTCAGCCTATTTAAGGAATTAATATACTTTGGTGTATGAAATCCGACCACTCTTGATTGTTAGTTGCATTACGCCTTTTCATATGTATGTGACAATTTATTTTATATTCATAATATTCATTTTATGGATTGGTGAAATATATAGCCAATATCCAAGTCCATCTTTAAGCGTATTCAATACTAATGCGTCAGATAACGACCAAATGACTAAACCACCTGAAATACCGATCGCACCTCCTCGTGTACCAGCTATGTTACATACCAATAATTATCGACCACCGCCACCACCGACAAGAAGGCATGTTGAAAGTTGGGGAACTTGTAAATTTGGTAAAAGAATTGTTCATTTTTTTCATTTCATAAAATAAATAGAATAATGATCTCTGAAGGAGTCAGGAGGAGGATTTAAAAAAAAGGATCAAAAATTGCATAAGGAAACCCTATCATATTTTTTGATCAAAAGAACTGAAAAAAAATTTTAGAAATCATTTCAGTCTTTATTATCAGAAAAAGCGGATTTTTTAAAAATCCGCTTTTGATTTTTGAACGCATCAAATATTTTTGTTAAACAATGAAATGCAATGAAATTTAATAAATTCTTTTTCGCATATTAAGAAAGTGATCAGTGTTTGCCGTAGTAATAATTGCGTGATTGAAGTCAAAACAATTAGTTTGTACAAGTTGTACCGAAGAAAGTAGGTATTGCATTATAAGAATTATGAATTTAAAAAGTTTAAATGAAGCCTAAAATTAAAAGAAAGATTTTTTCGTGAAAAAAGTTAAATTTGTTTAAGACAAAAATAAATGGCGAATAGAACCTCAAGCTGCAGTTGCAACCGCAGTAATGTTCGATCGAACTACAGGAATAAGCTGTGAAGATTGTCTCAACAAATGCATGCAAATGCAGGTCAATTTATGACTTCATACATAACATACTTTATACTTTATTCATACTTATAATTTTGTCTGAACTTTATTATTGTTTTTGAACTATTAGAAGATAATCAATTTAGAAATAGCCTGGATTTTTATATGCATTGAAATAATTGAAAGGTGAATAGCTAAATAAAGGAAACTGTCTCAGAAATTTAGAGGTAATGCTCGCCAAAAGAAGTATAGAGGTTTATTTTAATTTTTTTTGAGAAAAACGCTTCATTAGCGATATTGTTTCATTGTTGATATTTATATTGTTCAAATTTTCAATTTTTAATTTTCTTTAAATTCCTAACTATTCAGGCACAAGATACACGATGGATTTGTCGAACGCTAACCTACGACAATAAGTGGCAAATATGCGATCTATTCGCGATTAACGGAACGAATTATCCTTATTTTTTAACCGACTTCCCAGAAAGGGATTATTTCGAGTAAATTATATAAAAATTTTCTTCATCATAATAATCAATTTTATGAAAACCTGTAAATAAAATATTTTGCAGAAATGCTGAACATTATTTTACAGTATATCCTTATATTCTTTTACTACTAGTACTAAAAAGATTTTTTAAAGATTACACCACATTTTTATTTTGTAATAATTTAGCAAAATTATTAATCGTAATTATTTGGATTTTTTTGATTATGAATCTTATTGAGATATTGGTTTATCACCTTCTAGAAACCTCGAAAGTTCAGGTATCTCGAAGCAAAGCCTATAGAATTAACGAAGTTTCGATCATCGATTAGTGACCCGAAGAACAATGAGTCAGTTAGCCAGTGGATCAACGACAGCAATGCTGAAAACCTCAACAAAGCTTTATCAACGAAATCCAAATTCATCCAAATTCATCCAAAGCAGACTGTAGGGGAATCTGTGGACGAAGAAGAAGGAACAGCTTATGGTGATGAACATGATTATCAAGTTTGGATTGCTTTTGTAAAATATGGTAGAATAGTAAAATAGTAAATGGCAAAATGTAGTACAATCTGAAAGTGAAGAAAAAGCAAATGCTATCAGTTATTTACTTTCGCTTGTAGATAGGAATTTATAGAAATTTAATGGATGCATTGAAAACAAATGCAGCAAAAGATAAAACGAGTAGTTGAATAAAACAGTAAAATGAACAAATGAGTGATTTCTGGATGAAATTATCTAAAATAAAACTTCCACATAAAAAAATTTTTTCCCCATTTTTTGAGCGTGCAGTATCTGACGACAATTTAATGCAGGCCGTCGAATTGTTCAGCATATCACCGAAACAACGAGCTAATTATATGTGCAAAAATAATGAAATAACTAGATACGCATCAATCGGTGGATATTTGTTAGCAAATCCAGGCAAAGAAACACAATTTGTACCAAGTTATGATCCAAATGAATGTGCAAAAGCATGCGATCGCAACGAACTTTTCGAATGGTATAGGATGGTTTCATAAGTTTCAGAATTTTTGAAAATTTCGCATTAATTAGTTAATCTAATTTGAATAGAAATTTGGTTCAAATTTTTATCTTAAAGATATAAAAGATTTAAATGAAAAAATTTTGAGCGTATCAGCAAAAGTATCACCAGCAGGCTGTGAACTTTCAAGAAGGCGAGTCGATTATACAATCCCGACAGATATTATTCCATCCTGGAATAGCACTTATCTTGAGAAGGTAAAATTTGTTTTAATTAAATTTATTCTTCTAATGACAATTACCACTTCTAATTTGGTTCTTAAATATCAGATGAGTACTCAGTATTACTCGCATTCCACTTTTGATGACTCGGATAACTTATGATGAAATTTTTTCGTCCCTTTTGATTAAAAATCGAGCCTATGATGGTACAGTCTCAATCGAAATAAAACGGCCATCACGTGCGCATTACATTATAATACTAATTAACTAATTATATATTGTTTCGATAATCTATGCTAAAATTGTTGAAAAACCATATTCTAATAATACATAATCACATTGCACTTAAAAACAACATTAAGACTATTCGGAGAGAACTGATTACATACTTTAGCTGCGTTAAAAAAAATAAATTTAGAAAAATTAATAAATAATTTAGGAAAAAAACGAAAAGTGATTAGCGATTATATAGGATTTGGAGCAATTGTAAAATTTTTTAGATATGTTTGCCGGCAAAATCCGCTGAACATACAACAAAGCTTTGGCCAGTAGTAAAGAATTATATTTTGGTTGGCCATGTCCTGGAAGTCATCGATGCTTCATCATTATCCTCATGTATGTTGGCATGTCTAAAAGCTGAAAAAGATTATGGCTTTAAATGTAGATCTGGAATGTGGTATCCAAATGATGAAGATCAAGTAAATTGTTATTTTAAAATCTTATTATCTTTTTTTTATCCTTAAGACAAATCCTTAAGATGAATTAATTATTAATAATTACTCTATGATTTTTCAAAATCATGATGGATATTTTTAATATATGAAAATTCCCAAAAATTAACGATTATAGTTATTCTTTGTTCTTTAAACAATCATTTTTGAATTAATATTCAATAAACATTTGGAAATTATATGGCACAAAGATTTTTGCGATAAATGAAGATTTTTCGAACAATAGTTGTTCGCAGAAAATTTGTGTTTAGAATTGTTTGCTGAATTCCGAAAATCGTCAAACACAACCAAACGTTTTTGTCGAGGAAGATATTGGAACAGAAATGCTTTATTTCGATGTGCCTCTTGAAAAATCATTAAAAATATATGTCGCTGACATTTTCTTCCGAGTTAGTTGGTTAATCTTCAAAATCGAAATCTTTGTTCTCTTTTAAAAGTGAAAAAATGTTTATATTTATTAAATTAAATAATAACTTAGCTCCTTTATAAATTAAAAAACATTAAGTAATTTCTTTCTATGGTGCATGGATTCTTCATTCGAGTCAACTTAATTACCGCATTTAGTATGCACGCTTTTAGAGGTGAAATTATCAATTAGTAATAGCATGTAATCTTTTTTTTTTGCCCTTGAAAATTCCTGGGTGATAGAAGGGGAAGCGAATACCCTGTATTTAATTTCGCTAATAAACTTTATTGAATAAAAGCAGTGATTAGTCGTAAATTTCATCCTGTATCCAGTAGCGAAAAACTGAACTATTAATAAAAATTAATTAAATCATTTTGATAAATTTTAAATTTTGGAAATATATTTACGATGTATATTTGACATCAAAAAAATTTGAAAGAATAGTTGTAATCCTTTAAGATGACAATCATTCAACGATTCAGCCTTTAATTCATAGGATGCACCACTGGAAGATGATGATGTTTCATACGAATTCACCCGCTGGTCATCATGCAAAAATAGTTTTGATGGCATGCAGCATCGATATTTAAAATGTAACAATCGCAAAGATATACGCAAATGTCCTAAGCAATCTCTTCCCTGTCGTAAAGGTATATTTAACGCTTTATAGCAATTTTTTATGCAATAATCATTTTCTCATAAAAAATATTATAGTAAAGCTTTTTGTAATATTTTAGAAGAACCCAGTCCATAAAATTTTCTTATGGAAATTTATATTAATCATTTCAACATAAATTTGATGCTTTAGTGAAGGTGAAATCTTTAATCGGCACTTGCTTAGCTGTTCGAGATTCACTTGGACGAAAAAGATGCCCTCATGGCATGCGAAGGATTGGCACAGATCGAAGAGAATACTGCAAGCATCCAGTGGATTGCTAATTCTTGCTGAGATCATCCATTACTTTTTTATTGTATATAAAAGATTAAAAGATTTTATGTTGAGGTACATTTTCAACTTTGCATGGATGCTAAATTTCTTCGGCTTCTCTCTTTATTACGTTTGCATTGAAAAAAACATAGAAATAAACCGAAGAGAAAAAAACATAGGGAGAATATAGGAAATAAACCGAAATATTTTTTATATCATAAAATTGCAAATGGACTTTTCTGGATAAGTCCGGAAATTCGAAAATGAGAAATCTATTTCAATTTATCAAAGGCGCGAAGATAAATCGTCAAGGAATTAAGATGCGAATCGATGGGATCGATTAAAGCTTTCATTTTGACCAGTTCTTTCAACGATGACACTACCTGTTTCTTCCATTTAGTCCTGAATTTTCTCCTTTAAATAAAGTATACCTAATTAAAGCGTTTTTATCGAAGTTCGAAAAATTCAGAATTTTGTATTTAAAGGTGAAAGATTCGAAAAATCACTGCTTAGCTTATTCGTATCATTAAATATTAGTATATATCTATGGACTACAATTTAGCACCAAACGAACCTACGATTTTGAAACCAGGTCTTGATTTGAGCCTCGGTAAGATTAAGTGCCTTTGACAAATCCATTCTTTTATGGATATTCAGATATTTGTCAATCTTAAAATGAACGACAAAAGAAAAAAAAAGAAATTAAACGATCAGTAAACTTCATATGCTGGACCAAATTATATTATAATACAGGAATCTAGAACAATGATTGAATTGGAGGTATTTTCAAAATGGTGGAATGACCGAGTGGATCGCGATCAAATCATACTGAAAGCAAGGGTAAGGGTAAGGGTAAGGCCATGTTCACTACATGAATACACTATATTCACTACCTATATTCACTACCGAGTGATGCTGGCGAACATTGTACTTCCACAAGAGCATAACCACTTTTTACCAATTAAACCATCATCTTCATCATCTGGGAATGCTCAATTTTTGACCGGCTGACTCTACTGACTACTAGGATGAAAGTATTTTAGTATTTTGCCAGGGTGAAAGATGAATCTGCAGGATTATCGTCACTTCTCGTGATAGACTTAACTGGTCGCAGGCAACAGAAATTGAATCCAGTAACCTTAAAAACCTTAAAGAGCAAGCAATTAATGGTCTATTTTTAAGTTGGAACAAACCATAAATTCTTTTTCTAGTAATTCTAGTTGTTTCGTGCTATAAGCCTGTCGTGGTTTACGATCAATAATTGTTTTGCGAGTTCTTTTGATGTATTGCCGTCGGACTAAATTTCCATGTTAAGCGATTTTGGAACAAAAAGATGAATTAAATAATTAAAATCATCAAATAAAAAATAACTGTGAATAACTAACCATGCAGCCCAAATAGCAACTGTAATTCAGCGAATGAAGGGGGAACAGGTTGGTAAAAAGTGCAATTTGCAGAAGCAGTACTGAATAAAGAGTTTACTAGATTTGCGTTATCGCCCACTTAAAGAAGTTCATCGTTACAAATAATTCAATAATCACTGAATCATAAAAAATTTTCATGGCTTTTAAATTTTTTAAATACATTTTAAAAAAAATTTTCGAATTAAGAGAAACGATCATTTTATAACAATCTATTAAATTACTATCAAAAATCATCAAAAAAGTGATGCTAAAAACTGCGTGAAAGAAAAATATACAAAAATAAAATAATATTTCAGAGAAATATGTAAATAGGACAAACATTTGCCCAGTGCTTCTTTGCCTTCATTGTTCACTGCCATAATTTTATCCTTTTTTTTTCCAATATTTTTGCTAAGGATATAGTTCATATGGAAAGACATCTAAAATCCTTCTCTTAAGGTTATTATCTTATCGTTTTTCAATGAAAAAATAACATTTTGGATTAGAAGAAGTAGATTTTGAACTGAATTGAATTTTTCCTCATTTTTCATTGATTGTACTAAATCAAATTTCCAACATTTTTAATACTAACAATTATTAGTAATAACAATTATTAGTAACAGTAGTGTTAGCGCTCACTATTTTTGCTTAGGCTCACCTCCCTGGTACCTAGAAACTTCTGCCACGAAATCATTTGGCAATAAAAGTACAGGTAGATATAAAATTTTTGACGATAAGTTTACTCCTGTGAGGAGTATGAGGCCAATTCCAGTTATTACCCATGCATTTATCCCGTACCGATTTTATTTAAATTTTTCTTTTCTATGAGCACACTTTCATCATTTCTGACTCGCTTCGCTGGCTTGTCAGACCAGGCTGGTCAAATTTTGCCAAGGAATTATTTGCCGAAAGAAGACAGAACAATTACTAGCATCACCAGCATCCAGGATTTTTGCACAAGATGGATTTATTCTTGCCGGCGAAATCAAAATCTTTTAAAATCGGCGAAAGAAGAATGCGACAACTTACTGAGTCACTCTACTCCATTTCATTTAACTAAATGGTATCGAATGCAATTCTAAAGATTAATTTAGAGAAAGCAAATGTGAGATTAATTTAGAGGAAGCAAATATGGACAATTTGGACATTTCATGGATAAATAGAATAATGATAATTTTAATTCATTAGTTGCCAATATTGAATCGGCCAGCCATTTAAAATAATCAAATGAATTCGATTCAAAAAAAAGCTAATTGTATACTAAACTAAAAGAAATAATATATGAGAGACTAATAAAAATTGCTTTTTAATGGCTTTGGAGGAATTAACCTGTGGGAATTGGAAGAAATAATGACTCCAGAATAAAATGCCTTCTCACCATGTCAATTGCATTTTATTTATTTCCGAATTGATTGAAAAAGAAAATTTATTACTTTTAACTTTCTGAAAAATTATTCAACTTTATTACGAGATATGCAAAAATCTACTTTTAACTTATTATTTGATAACATTTGATTTGATAATGAACAAATTCTTAAAAGTTAAAGGTCGTATTGTCGTTCTTGTTAAAATTTGTATGGCCATTTTATATTGTTTTTCTTTTAAACGGCATAAATCAGTTCAAAGTAAAAAAAATTACTTTTAAATGAAAAGTTAGAATAAAAAAATTTATGGTATATAAATTTATGGGGGATTTTATTGAAATTAAGTAATTATAACAAATTATATTAATATTCTAGATTTAATGCTGAATTTCGCATAATTTTCGAGCCAAAGAATTTTCCATCGTTCAATTTTTAAAAAAAATTAATTTGAAAGCAAAAAAACCAAGAAAAATTAGAAATTCAGGCAGCGATATTTGAATATAGCTTTTAGGTGCCTGGCTCGCTATTTCTCATCGTCCAAACAACTCTCACGTAAAAGTTTCACTTTCACGTAAAAAAGTTTTTAGTCCATCATCAAAATTATTCGGATGTATGGAAACACACCAGTATATTCCCATAAATTTAATCTTAAAAAACTGAGGAAATTTTTTGCGTGAAAAAACAGTATTTGCAGATTTATTTGCAGATTCTTTCAAATAAGAAAATTTTCATTTATACGTTTAATATTTCGCCATTTCAGTACAACCAAAATTAATTTTCGAAATCATTGTTGGTTCTACTTTCTACACGAAAATTTAGTTTGCTTTTTTCCAAATAGATTGAGATTTCACTTTTTTTCATTAATTCAACCTTTGCTCTTTTAAGATTTTTACTTTTCCATGAGTGAAAGCCTTCAAAATTTTCCGAAGAGATACATCTAAAAAAATAATTTTAAATAAATAACGAAAAAGGATTTACTTAAATGAGGCAGTCAGCAGTCGAGCAATAAATTAAGCGATTCGTTTGAATATTAAATAAATATCAATATTTATTTTCACAAATATTTAATATCACTTCGAAATATTAAATTTTCACTTTAAATAGCTAAAAAAAGTTGACTGAATTATTCTTATATAAAAGTGTTTAATATTATTTAATATTATATTTATTTAGTATTTTAATATTTCAAATGAAATTTTTTCTGTTTCCTTATGATAATATGGATTTCTATTTCCTTTGTAAATCATTGCTGGTTTGATTATTGTTGTCAATGACTAACAACGTGAAAAAACCCTTTCACAAGAGCCAACAGCATCAATGGTTCGATTCCACGACTCTGGTGGAAACATGACTCTCTGACTCTGAAAATCCTGGCGATGTCGGCGACCCACTTGTGCTTCTGCTGCAAGGCAAAATTTTTCTGGTCCGACGAACCAGTGCAGCAAGCCTTATCAGAGATGGTGAATGATGTTAGAAAAATAATCAATTTGAATATTATCACTTGGTACCTTTCATTAAGCAAGAAAAGTGTGCTGAATAAATTAATTTAAAGATAACTTTGTAAAGTCATTATAAAATGATCTCAGTTAAATATATATCCATATTTCTGAATTATATTTTTAATAAATCTGCTGCACAGTTTAATATTGTATTCTAAACCAGCGTATAGGAGATCGCCCATCTATATATTCCTCTTGTCACTAAGAACCTATTTGATCCTAATTTCGGCTTTCTCGCACTATAATGTCCACGAAATTTTTGGTCACCTGCACTCTCATTCCTACATTTCTCTACTATTTCCTTGTTCATCAGTAAATTATAGATAAGCCTAGCAGCATAACGGATAACCCACAAATAGTTGCGTCGATGACTGCCAGGCTTGGCTATTTCTTTTTATAGAATTTACTCTTTTTATTTTTTCTTTTTTATGTTAAAATTTTTGCTTCCAATTTTGAAAAGGGAAAGCTCCAAGGCAAATGGCTAAGCATCACTGGAACCGCCTCGAATCTAGCAATTCCACCACACGCGGAATTTTTACAAGTTGAGGCCGCAAAATCACTGAACAGGGGCCGTAAGGCGTTCCGAGTGTGAAATGTGTGTGCATTTCGCCTAAAAACTTTTATTTTGATTTTCAATGATAAATGGTTTAAGTGGTGGGGTTTTAACTTATTTTTCATCAATTACGCGGTTTGAAGGACATTTTCAATTTAATTTCGATTTTATATTTTTGACACTAAAAATTGGTGTCTAATTTCGTAACTGAATTGGAAGAAAAGTTTCTTTGCAAAATTTCATTGTTTTTCTTTCATTGTTTTTCTTTTTCTTTTGTTTTGTTTTGTTAGAATTTACCAAAGTTTTTTAACTTTCAGTGGCCGAAAATAATCCTTTAAAACTTTCGGACATAAAATCTCTCGAATAAACAGTTATGCATTAGAAATTTGCTTCATGAAACTTCCACTATGCCTGTTCTCGAGTGGGCCGTAAAAAAGTGCGGCTCGGGCTGTTGTCGGAGAACATTCGCTTAACTTTTTTGTATTTTTATACATACATTGCTGCGCTTTATTTGATATTATTTGTTCTTAACATTTATTTGTCTATTATTATTTAATTTTATTGAAGTTCACTGATGACCAATTACGCTTATCAGCGACTTAATCATGCCTATCGTTAATATTAATATTTAAATATAATCGATCTTTTGGAAAAAGTCCTTTGATTTGTTATTTTAATGAGTTGTTAATAAGTAGTAGGCGAGCCTTGGCACTGGAGGCAATAATCTGAGCAATAATCATTTGCTTATCTTACTTCTAACGATTATGATATCTGATAAATTATTTAAACCCTAATCATTTGATTTAAATCATTTAAAAAATTTCATGAATATTTTAGGAAATATTTATTGGTTTGGAGAAGGCGAAGGTGTTATTATTCGTCGGAATCGATTAAATATAATCGTGATGAATCTATGGACGACACTTCATCGACGAGAAAGTTGTTTCTTACTTGCTCTATTTCCAAAATGGATCTCAAATTTCTGTTCTTCATTAAACATTCGAACTCGACAAAGGTCAGATTTATGTTTTAATTTTTTAATTCTTTAGTTTTCTGAATAAGTATTGAACCTTCAATTATAATATTTTAATTTCGGAGATCAATATGTTATTTAGTTGTTGACCAATAAAAAATAGCCTGACCTTAGGTCGAGAGTTCGAGTTTTTATAATACCGCTTTTTGCCTAATCAATTTTTTATTTTAATTTTCTAATTAAAATAAAGATAATGCTTATATTACATTTATATTATTTTAGTAATTATTTTTCAATAATTATTTTTTTCTTTTATTCTGTTAGTCAGCTTTTGTTATATTAGTTCCTTGTATATTTTTTATTAATTGTAAACAAGTAAGCCCACAGTTTAAGATGGCAGCACTGGCTAGTAAATTTTTGCCAGGGATTATTGTGCGATAGTGCAAGTGCATCGTCAGAACCATTTGGACTTCTTATTAGTTGATAGATTAATATTTATTAACTGGAATATTAACAACAAAACTGCGAAACTGCAAAAGCAAAAAGGCTATTTTTGCAGTAATTGCCTCTACTCTTTCTGGGTTTCATTTATAGGCCCATATCTTTTCGATGGTTAATTTTTTGATAAGGCAAACTGTTGATTCGAATCCATTTTCCATTTTTATCAATAATATTTTTATTTCCCCAGTTTCGCGATAATCTGCATAATATTTTGATTTTGTAGCTTAATGGCGTTTGCAAGTTTTCGTTCGCAATTTTTGCAAGTTTTTTAATAAACTTTTAGTTGTTTTTTAATCCTATTCCAATTGCTACTGTGTTGTCCTTTCGCAGCTTTTCAATAATAATTACAAAATCGTCAATTATTTTAGATAATGCAGAGAAATAGAAAAAAGTCATAAAACAATTAGAAATAGAGGGAGTGAAAATGAAGAATCCGAGACAAAAAAAAAGGTGAATTGGAAAAAATTAAAATATTATAAGAACAATGCTATCAGTGGGACTAATTGAAGTCGATTTATTCAAATTACGTAATATTTTAGCACTTTGAATAATTTTTGTTTTTTTTCTTTGTCATAAATGTTATTTACTGTTCAATTCATGATGTGGAATTCTAATTGATGTATGAATAGTAATTTCCAAAATTATCAAGATTCAAGATTTCATGTTATCAAGATTTAACTAATGATTTATCATTTTTATGATTATATTGCTCTTATTTTTTGTTATTTACTTACTTATTTATCTAAATTGTTCAAGATAAATGTTTTTTAAATTTTCTTATTTGTTTAAATATTTAAAGAAATTGAAATGTTTGTTTTTCTGTTTTGCTGTTTTTTTACAACATTTAATATTATTATTTGTCTCGGAGTTATTATTTTTTTTATATTTTTGAGTAATAAGCATAATATTTTGATGTTGTAGCTTCTTGGCGTTTTAATTTTTGTAGATTTTTTGATAACCTTTTAGCTGTCTTTTAAGCATATTCTAGTGGATACTGTATTGCTCATAAATCGTTTCGCAGCTTTTCAAATATGAGTTCGGCATATCAGATCGAAGAACGTGGTTCACTTTATGGGACGGATTATCGTGTATATTTTAGTAAGTCTCTTAGTTTGAAGACATCGAATTGGTACCATTAATTAAAGTGTCATGATCTTTAAGGAATTAATTTTTTATTTCTCTTTATTATTTCTCAGATTCTATTAAATTGATATTTGAAATTAATGAAAAACTTATTTAAAAAAATTGTTCGAAAGAAAATCCTGTATTTATAAAAAAACTTTATCCTTTTCTTAAAATAAATGATTTAGAAAATGAAAAAGGTTATATTTCACCTTGGCATGATATTCCATTATTCGCCAAACAAGAAAAAAAAATTTATAATATGATTGTTGAAATTCCGAGATGGACAAATGCAAAAATGGAGGTTTCTTTTCTGAATTTTTTTTAGGAGCGAGCTTTATTTTTTCGTTTTATATATTTTTATGCCTTTTTCCACATTTATTCAATCATCTTTTTAGCTTCTTTTATATTTTTTCCGTATTCTTATAATTTTATTTTCATTTATTAATTGCTGTAAAAATTGTTTAAACTTTTTTTTAAAATTTCTGATAACGATTCCGCATTTTCTTGATTTTCCATCGTTTCTATCAAGCTTTGCTCATAAATTATAGAATAATTTTTTAGATGGCGACGAATGAACCAATGTCACCTATCAAACAAGACGTAAAGAATGGGATACCCAGATTTGTGCACAACGTTTTTCCTTTTCACGGATATATTTGGAATTATGGAGCTTTGCCACAGGTAATACGGTATAAATTTATGCTAGATTTAAGTGTAAACTTTAGAACTTTGTTTATCATCATTATTTAATAAAAATATTCACCATAATTCAAAATTGGCTATAATTCAAAATCTATTTTGATTGTTTTTTTATTTTTTTAAGAAATTTGTGCAGAATTTCTGCTATGACCACCAATAATCTGCAGACTTGGGAGGATCCGAGACATATTGATGATTCAACAGGTGCTAAAGGTGACAATGACCCAATCGATATTATAGAAATTGGTTCAAATCGTAAAAAACGTGGAGATATCATACAGGCATATAATTTTTGCACCACTTCCCATATAATAGCGTACCTTAAATTCATAAAGTTCTTTTTAATAGAATCAAAATTTTAGAATAGAATAATAGAAAGTACAAGAATGAACATCGAATTTCTTCGCTCTTACTATTACTGGTTAGGTTGGTTTCAGTGGCTAATAAGACGTTTTTAAGCTGCGTAATCTGATGCCATCGTCGACAAAAGCCATTCCTTTTTCCATCCTCAAATTCTATGTATTACTTTTTCACTCATATGTTGAAAGTTTTTCCGACCTTATTTTCCAGGTCTTCGTTAGTCCATCTCACTTTTGACGCCATCCATCACGCGATTTAGTAATTAACGAAATATAAGTCAATTCTTTTGGCTGACGAGGAAGAAGTGCCCCAGCGAAGGTAATGCTCTGGTATTGTTAATGCAAGTTGTGTTTGAGCGAAAGTGGATGCGATCATATGAGATTTATCCACTCGGCGAACCCGCGAATTCCTGTATCTTAGATATAAACGATCAAGGGCAGATAACTTCTTAATATCCTCCACTCTCATTAGCCATATTTCGCAGCCATATAGCAAGATCGAGCGATTCACAGTTATATAGAGGCGGATTTTCGTTTTTTGGTGATTTCGGCTCCATAAAAGTTTCTTCAGTCGGAATAATAAATTATAATATTTTTAAATATTGAATTTTAAATATTATTTATTTCTTCTTTGGTAATCATTTTATCATATCTATTCTAAATATGACTTCAATGTTTTTAGAAATGTCATATCGTTATCCGATTGTAATTTCGCTTTTTGCTTGGCCATTTGGATTAGAGTGGATTCAAGATACTTAAGTTTGACAACCGGCAATAAATTGATATAAAAATTGATATTTTATCAGCTTCTTGTATATAAGACGAAAAAACCTCGTTTTATTTATTTTGATCCTAAGTCGATTCTCGCTGCAGTTGTTGAGTTGTTGACATGTTGTTTATCATCATTTCGTCACAACTGTCAGCAAAAAGGACAACTTCATCAGCGTTTTCTAGATCTATGAACTCTATGCTCTGGACTGGATTTGTAAGCCTCTTGAATGCCGACAAGCGATGTCCATTATCCAGTCCATCGCATTGTTGAATACTATAGGAGAAAAATCATCGATTTAAATCATTAATTAAGAATTTATTATGTCATTAAATCATTCTTTTTTTTACGTTATTTTTATTTTTAATCAATGCAACAAATCTTAGGTGAAAATTCTTGGAATTTTGGCTCTTATTGATGAAGGCGAAACAGATTGGAAGTTGATTTCAATTGATATTTCTGACCCGCTTGCTGGCAAATTATATTCTGTTGAAGATATTGATAAATATTTGCCTGGATTACTTAAGGTTCGTCAATTTTTTTCAAAATTTAAGGCCTATTTAAGACCTTGGAAAATGAATTTTCAGGCTACACTTGAATGGTTCCGCAATTATAAAATACCAACTGGAAAATCGCCTAATAATTTCGGTTTCGATGGGGATTTTAAAGATGCAGAATTTGCTCACAAAGTTCGGTTTAAATTTTAATTTATTACTTTAATCTGCTGCATGAAGGAATAAAAAGAATAATTTTTTTCTTGATTCATTATTAATCAAATTAAATTCCAGCTTTTATTTTTCTATATTCTAATAACTTTTAGATAATCGAACAAACAAATGAATTTTGGAAAAATTTGATCAGGCAAGGAAAGCTTGCTGACGATCAAAACTTAAATATGTAAATCTTTTATTTATTTCTTATTTCAATTCAGTTGATTTTTGCTAATAAATAATGAAATTTTTAGTAGATAAATTTTTAGTAAATTTTGAGCACTTTTAGTTTTTTAAAATTTATTGCGATCTTTTTATTATCTTACTTTTTTTTTGAAGAGTGCTCACTATTGTGGAACACTTTACTGCTTTACCACATTTACGGAAATATTTAACTAGAATTACAAGTGCAGTATCGATACTCCGAAATGAGAATAATCTATTGAGCCTTTCATTATTCTATATTTTTTTACTATCAAAAAAATTTCAGCGAGACATTTCTATCGAATGGAGCCAATCATGGATCACAAGTAGCATGGGAAACAATTGTTAACGGACAGCCACCACTTAGAACTGCGCAAAAAATTCCTGAATCGGTCGATCATTGGTACTTCATCAATTTATGAATCTTTGCGATATTAACATTGGGGATGGATGATTTCTTGTTGCTTAAATAAAATAGGAATAACTGTATTGCTATAGTCTTTATGAAAATTCACTATTATTATACATATTTAACAACATTAATTAATTTTTAATATTGAATTACGAACAAATTTCATTTCTAGTTTATCGAGATTTACTTTTGAACAACAAACAAGAATCTTAAAAAATTATTATATTTTAAGAAGTATTATGATTATATTACCATAAACTCCAGTGTGGATAAAATGGCTCAGTGGGTTGTTGCTCAATTCTGAGTGCCGGTGCTGAGGTTCTATTCCTCGCAAGAGTAAGCCTGTCTAGAAATCCGAGTGATGCTGGCGACTCACCTGTACTTGTATCGCCAAAGAACTCCCTAGCATATTGCCCAATGCGACAAGCCATCGAAGCGAGTCTAACCAGTAACGGTAAGTACTCTTGAAAAAAACAGTGTAATCGAAAGCGGATGGAGTCATTCATTATAAATAAATATTTAAAAGAAGATCAAGACGAGCAGGGCAATAGTGGCCATGTATAAGAGGAACTCAGACTTTGAGACAATACGAAATAGAAGTGAAAAGTATAGAAAAAGATAATAGTTCAAATAAAAATCTAGCGAACATATTGTAGCGAAAAATCTTAAAAATGCAACGTTTGTTTCATGAGATTTCTTTTCGTTAAAAAAATATCGTAAAAAGGTATATTATCGTTCGTCGTCTCAAATTTGAATAATTCGTCTTCGTTTTTTAACGTCTTTCACACGTTGATCAAGCCCAATTTGTATAATAACACATCGGATCACATCGAGTAAGCTAAAATTTAATAAATTAAATTTAATAAATTTAATTTGTCATTCTTTCTGTGACTTATATTATTGTAGAAAAATAGATGGAAAAGTTACAAAATTCACTAAAACTTTAAGAATGCATTGTTGCGTATTTCTATTCATAAATGGCTCTCTGACGAATAAATCTCCTTTCAGTAATCGGCAGAGCTAATGAAACCAGAAATGGAAATGTTTATAAGGTTAGAAGAAGAAAGGTGATTCCTTTCACGATTAAAAATTAGCCTAAATTAATTATTGGTGAATAAACAGCAAATGAGCATAAAACAAATAGAATCGAAATACAGCTGGTTGATCAGTGGCCACAGATTAGATCAGAAATATTTGAACTGAAATACGACTGGCACATTTAGAAATTTACTTAGACTCCCGACAACAACCTTCTATTTTAAAGATGGTCAAAGTACCATCTTTTAGAAAATATTTCAAAATCTCTTATTTATCGAGAAATTATTACTGATTTGGAAGCGCAGACGTTAGATGCTATAGACGCTATAAATGGTGGCTTTTTTTTGCTCAAACTGAGTATAACAAAGTTTTCAGTACTAAGCTTAGAACATCCTTGAAAATTCCTAGAAATCCTATAGTAACATTATTTAATAATTATCAAAGAACTAAATAAGTGAGTGGAGATAGGATGGCTTAGTAGGTTGTTGCTCAATTATGGAGCGGCGATAGCAAGGTTCTATTCCCAGCAGGAGTAAAACCTGTCCAAAAATCCGTATGATGCTAGCGACTTACCCGTGCTTCTGTCGCCAAGGAGCTCTCTGGCAATTCGATAAGCCAGTGGGGCCAGTTTAACCAGTAATGGTGAAAAGTTTTTAAAAAAAAAGTGTGAGCGATTGGTTCATAATGTTAAATAGTAATGTGAGCAATAAGCGTTGCAAACGCAGTCTCGCTGTATTCAAATTTGACTCAACAAGTTTGGCTTCCGCACTGAGGCACTCACCCTTTCTGATTAAACTCGCTCCATTACATGTTAATATGCTTAGAAAATTCGCTGCCTATATTTTATTTTTTCAAATAAACCGTGTCTTTTGGCTGAAAATTTATGAGAGATAATGAGAGAGAGATAATGCAAATTATCTTAAATAGTTGGAAGGTGCGTGAAAATTTTGTGGCAAACCGACTGCGACTGCTTCGATGAGGAAGCACCTCGATAAACTGAAAGAGGAAGGTTGTTGCAATTTCATTGTGAATTGATAGATATTTCGCTACTAAGATTTTAAATACTCTTGAAACTATTATATGAGTTACGGTACTCGTTCTGTTTTCGTGAAACTCGATTTTCGGGGGTGTTTTTTAGCGATTTCAGTTTTTCATCGGTAGAAATAATTTTGTAGTTTGGGTATCTTTGCCAAATTTCTTCAGATAAAATCCAAAAACTTCGATCCGAAGCGATTTCAAACTTATAGAAGCGACTTGCTTCTATTCCACAATTATAGGGCAATTTTTATTGACGAGTTCAATGTAAGTTTTGAATTTTTTAAATTTTTTAAAATTTTGCTAATTATTTTAGTTTTAAAACGAATTTTTGGTGAAATCCAGTGATATTGTTGTTTTGGTATTTTATTTTATTTCGAAACAAGCATTTAAGGTTTTAATTTTCGACTGAAAAAAATTGCTCGAAGTCGCAATATTTGTTTAATCTTTTCTTTTTTTTTTACTCAATAATCTATGCATTAAATGGAATTTTCTTTTGCCAATTTTCTTAGTTTGAAATCGAAATTAACTTTAAAAATTTTGATTATCGAATTTTCAATAGTTATTTTTTTTCCTCCAGAAATTAATTGTTGAAAATAAATTATATAGATTATAGAAATGTTCGAAAATTATAATTGCGAAAATTTTAGTGAATAAATAGAAAATCTAATGTTGATGAGAATCAGATTTTGCATCACTGGTTAACTTGTGACTCCTGTAATGAAGGGAATTATTAGTTACTAGGTTAGTTACTTTTAGTAACTTCGTATGGGAATACTTCGTTGTATTTACTAAACGAGGATTATAATAGTTATAACAGTTATTATTATAACAGTTCGTTAATAAAGTATGATATGATGTCGTAGAAAAATAATGATAGTGTTATTGATTCTGCTGAAATCCAGCTTAACTTCGTTTCTTATCCTTTGAACTTGTCATTATATGTGAATTCCGAATGGTGTTGGTGGCGGAGTGGTGACACATATGGTTTCATCCTTGATTGCTCTCAGATAAGATGATTTTAGACTGAGTGGGCCAAATGAAAAGCCAAAGTAAATATGGAATTGAATTTAATCTTCGTAAAACCTCTTTAAATTGGTTGTTTTTGGCATATTTTTGGTATTTTCTAAGATTTTGTAAAGTGGGAAAATTGATATTGTTCATTCGATGGAAATATTTTTCGAGAAATAGGTGATTTTCTCATATATTATATTAATTCTCAGTTCTTTTTCCAAGTTTTCACTTGGGACGCCATCATCATTTTTCTTGCTGTTTTATTTAAATAATAATGAACTTTTTCACTGAAACTAATTTTTGCGAAATTCAGGAACCCGGGAACCCGTCGGAATTTCAATTTTTTGTACTAAATTTAAATCATTTAATTAAAAAAAATTGAACATAATATAATAAATCTAATAAAGCTCTCTGGAATGGTTGCAAAGAAATTAATAATTCTTATTAAAGGTGTATAATTAATGATTTGATGGTCGTAGGTTGGTTGCGACTCATCCATCATTTATAATTCTCATCACTCTGTTGTGAATATTAGTCTTTATATTTTATTCTTTCTTACGCAATTGGTTTCTTTATCTTTATAGAGTTAATTTTTATCATTTTTATGGATCGCATATATTTCACTAAAAATAAATAGAAACGATCTGTAAATGAATATGGAATTCTTTAGCTAAAAATGAGGATAAAAATTTTCACACAATTCGATAAAATCGACTTTATTGACCTTTTCCCATCGTTGAAATTTATGATGATTTTATAGGAAATGAAAGGCTTTAGAAGATGAGAAATGTGTGGGAAAAAGAAAAGAGAGAAAAATATGATAATGACGATGAGGGAGGGGATTTCTTCGATTTTTTTCATCCCTCTACATCCCTCTACTTTCCTTCTCTCCTTTAATATTGGCAATGCTGACGATCAGAATGAACTGTTCTGATTTTCGTCTTTTTTGGAGAAAATCTGTTGTTTATTTATTTAGGCAATTATTTATGCTGTTTAACTCAAATATCTCATGCGAAGAGTTTTAACTGTGAATTAGTGTTTATAATCTTATTTCTTCTTTTTCTTCCTTACGCATTCCAGCACATTTTCATTCCAATAACTGGTGGAACTAACCAAATTAGAAATGATGAAGTTAGCTACTGAAGTTGGAGAGAGAATAGTCGGATTCGGATGTTGCCTTCTGCTGGAGTGAAAATTGGAGGGGTGCTAGCGGTTCACTTTGTGCTTTATTGCCATGTTAATTCTTGGCAAAAATTTTCTAAACGTATTAATAGTCAACCGAGCTAGCATTACCAGAAATAATAATTTTTTTGATATCAGAATTTTTATTCAGTTAACTTGTAATTAATACGAGAAAAATTTATGAATGGAGGAATGAAAGAGAATGTTTTTCTGGTTTTTTAAATTTATAATTATATAGTCAACATATGAGAGCGAGTGATATGTTGCTTTATCTGGGATGCCAAGCAGCACGAATTCATTTTGTGTCCTTGTGTCCTTTGTTGAGAGGAATCGTGTTAAAAATAAAATCTCTGTGGCATTTGGGGCCCATTTACTTTTATTTTAGAAATTGATTCTCTGCCTAAGTGGTCTCAAACTGGTGTTCATGAATTAGAAATAATCATACCAGAAATGGTGCGTTTAGAAAAACTGACAATTATAAATATTTAAATTTTTTTTTAAACTTTTTAAAATCAAATTCAAAGATTGCCTTTTCTTATTTTTTACAATAAAATTATCGAACTTGGTTGAATTTTTGTGAAATTTTTTTGCGAAAATTTATCAAATTTATTTATATTGGTTTTCTTGTAAAAGAAGAAGAAAGCGTAATATTATCGCTAATTTAATCATTTTTATTACTATCATTATCGCACTATGGATCAAATATGATTTGTTGTCATCATAAAAATTTTCCCAGCATATATCGTGGGAATTCCCACGCTCTTCATTTCTCTGCCCGTTAGCATTATGTTTTTCTCTTATTTATTTTTAACTTAATCGATCATGTTTTTATGATTTTTTGTATCCTGGGTCTCCAAATTTTTAATTGTATTTTTCTATTTTATATTTTTTTCAATTAATTAGTTTTATTTGTTCAAAATAAGTGATTTGTAAAGTTCTTCTTTAAATGTTTTAGGAATAATTTATAATTTAAAGGAATTTATTATCGACTTTTGTATCGAATTGTTGACTTTCATTGTTTTTTTTCGATATTTTTATACTTTTAGTAATTTTTACCATCGAATGGGTTGATTTAGAATTTATTATTATAATAAATAAATTGTAATAGTGGGTTGTGGGTGGGTTGTTGTTCAATTGGGAGGTCCGATGCTGAGGTTCGATTCCTTGCAGGAGTAAACCTGTACAAAAATCCGGGTGATGCTGGCAACTCACCTGTATTTCTATCGCCAAGGGACTCTTAGGCATATTTGTCCAATGCGACAAGCCAGCGATTTTAACCAGTAATGGTGAGATTCTTAAAATAAATAAATAATGATAATAATAGTGCTATTTTCCCTTATCCTAGTTCGATAAAGTTCTTTTCCAGCGTTGCGAAGTTCTGTTCGAGTCCGTTACAAATGTATTAAACTTCTTCTAACAGCTCTCAGCATTACTGGTTAGGCTCGCTCCGCTGGCTACAAGGGTAGGACGTCTTCAAGCTGCTCGATCTGAGGCAATCGCTAGTGGTAATAGAAGCCATTCCTTTATCCATCGTCGAAGTCCATATACCTCTGTTCTCCCTATACATTCAAAATCTTTCTTCCCTGATTATATCAATCCAGGTTTTGACTGGCCCTCTTCACTTTTGATGCCAACCATCACAGTGTTTAGCAAATAGCAATAGCACTCCTGTGGTGGGCAACGGCGGATGTGTCCTAATGTGTTGGACAGTAGATTAAATTTAGATCAGAATAGGTAAGATAATAAAAAAATTCTGCAATAATCATATTTTTACAGTTCTCGCTTCGTTATTTTTTGATAATCTTGGTCATTATTGGCACAAATATTTATTAAGAGGATAGCTGTTAGCCGAGTGAATAGTGGTTCAGATTAAGAGGCAGTATTTAATTTCTGTCTTCGGCAAGAGTACACCTGTCACTTAAAATCCAGGTCATGTTATCGACCCCTTTGTATTTCTATTGCCAGAAATTTCCCTAAATACAAGTAGTAAATACCAAACAGTTTCTCTCACCTATCGATATAGTTGTTGACATCATTGCTTTAAATGTACTTTAAACAAAGTTTTTTCCCAATATAATATTATGTAAAAAATAGTTTATATGGTTTAAATTTTGTTTCGATACAACGAAACTTCTTCTGTTTTTTACAAAATATATAATGATTCTTGCGATTTTTGTATCGAATTTATGGTTTTTTTAAAATTTTTATCATTTCCAAACTTATTTATTTTAGTTATCGGATTAAATATTTTTTTCACTACTTATTACGTTTTTTCTTTTTTTTATTCGATCGCTGAATGGCATTTGTTAGGAATAAAATAGCGATCAATCAAATCAAAATGGATAATCAAAAGGTAATATTACTTTTTGTTTTTATTTTTATTTATTCGTTTGTTATTGAGAATGGGAATTTCCCGGTCAAAAAGTTATTCAGTGTGTTCAAGAATGTCAAAATTCAAAAAATAAAAAATATAAAAATTTAGCGCAATATGTTCTTATCAATGCGTTCTTCTAATCTCTGACAGAGATCTCTGATGTTATTCCTGGAATAGATGTTATTCCTTGGGGAAATCTATATATTGTGCAGATATTTCTATAGACATTGTCAGCTTGGTTATGCCTTTCATTGTATGCTGTTCCTGCCTCCATTTTTCATCCTTTCACTACATATTAGGCAATTTCTGAAATTTTTTTGCACAATCTCCATCTTAAGTGATGTGGTTAATCCTTGCTTTGATGTATTTGATGCTTAGTGTTCTTAGTGTTCTTGTGCTATTTTGTGTTATAAATAATGCCTCAATGCCTATTTTTTAGTCCAGCTTCTTCTGATCATTGATAAAATTCTCAATATAAGCCGCTTCAGCTGGAGATATCTGCTGGAGGTTCACTTATATGTTCTCTTTTCTATGCCTATACTTTGTTATTCTCATATCAAATGCTCTCATTTCTTGCAGTAGTATGTGAGATCATTCAAGCAAGAGTGTTGTTAGAAAAAATCACCCATTTAAAAATATATTTATATACAAGTTTTTTTCACAAAATTGGATCATCTAGAATAGATAATTGTTGCATTTAAAGCTAAAGAAATTTTTTCTTATTGAATATTGTGAACAAATTATTTCCAATTAAATTAAATTTTATAGTAGTTAATTCAACTAAATTGTTGCAATAATTTCATGGAATTCTTCTTCGTTAATTTTAAGATTTTCAAAATCTATAATCGTCATCCAAACTAAATATTTTTTATGAGACATCGAATTTCATTTGAAATGGTGGGCCATTTATCCTATAAGTTACTACCTGGTAAAAATTTCCAACCATACTAACAGCCACTGGAGTTAGCCTAACAAGAAATAAGCTCTTACCACTTAAAATTGACATATTTGAATTACAATTTTACTTCTCATTTACCATTTAAGTTTTTTTTTTTTATCCTTTAAAATTATGCGAAAAAAATGGGAAAAATTAGTTATGCAAAAATTCTACAAATGGTAATTTTCAATTATTTTCCCACACATTTTTTTTTTTTATGTTGAAAGTTTGCAATAATCATTTTATGTGAAAGAAAGAAATGAAGAAAAGAGAAAGAAAGAAGAGAGGAAGGGAATATTTTTGATATTTTCTCTTTTCCTTGTTTGTCGTTTAGATCCAATTTTCGATGTTTAAACGTGATAGAATTACTGTGATAAATTTTTGAAGTTATTTGATTTTTCTTTTTTAATTTAACTAATTTTAAGCGATTTAATTCAAATCATTATATGTTCATTTCCTGTCCCTTGATGGAAATTAATCTATAATTAAAAATGGAATCACTCTAATGATGGCGGTGATCCATTTATACTTCCATCACTAAGTGACTCTTTGATGGAAGGGTCTCATTCTCTAAAAATCAGTAGAGGCAGAAGTAGAAATAGTCCGTTAGAGATGGAAAAAAAATTTGATTGCGCTATTTAAATTTGATTATTGGTGAATTATTGAAGAAGAATAATAAAATTGATAATATTGATAAAGAAGAATGATAAAATTTTTTTTGAAGATGTTGCTCGAATGAATTTCTTTTATTCGACATCTAGAAACTTTTTTTTTTGATTTTATAGGTCTTATTACTTGGAAAAGAGACGAAATTTTAGTTTACTTTAGCAATATTTATTATAAAAAGCCATTTGATCAAATTTAAAATCTCTTCAACATTAATTCTTATTTTATTTCATGAAATTTTTTGCTATGCTTTATAAAGGAATATCAAATATATGAAGGAAAAAAAGAAATTACTTGGTAAAGAAAATTTCGCTTCCTAAAACCAGTTAGTACCCAGCAGTTTTCTTAAAATTTTATATTTAATTTTAGTGCAAAAGCGCTAATCGTTATTTGTGATCTTCTATATTTTATTTGCGTCAGGTGATTTTATAATAGTTTTATCCCTTCTTCAGATAAAATATTAATGGAAGTAAAAAAAAAACTCTAAAATCGTATAGGAAAATTTGAAAAAAAATATTTTACGTCGATTTTCTCGTAAAATGAATTTAAAAGACGGTAAATTGTATTAAATTGAAATTATTTGTGAAAATATTTATTTGTGGTATTAACTTAAGGATTAATTGATCGGTTAGGAAACTGATCTGGATCAGTTTTTTCCATAAATTCCTCAGTTAATCTAAAAAATTTTAATTTTTATATTTTAATATTTTTTGAACAAGTAGATCATATGATTCATCATATCGAAGTCATATTGAATCATATTTTTCTTTTTTTCAGAACAGTAGTACAGGTGAATTCTCGATTACAGTTGAAAGGAATCCGCTTTTTAACTTAATGTGGTCTCAGAATTTTGCTGCACTTGCAACTGCTGCATCTCCAACAAACACGATTGTGCAGCCAGTCAGGATTTTTTTGTTTTCATTTTTAATTTTATAAAAATAGTAGTAAACTAATAAATGATTTCAAAAATGTGATGTCCTATTAATGAAACATTTTATAGTGATAATGCATTTTGTAAAACCAGTAATTAATTATCTAAAGTATTTTCATCTCTTTGGTGGAGCATAACCATATAAAATTGTTATTTTTATGATTTCATATTATTTTTAAATTTCTGAGAAAAATTTCCCATAATTTTCTTATGATTTATGTAAAATAAGATTTAAGTTTGATACTTGATCTATATTTATTTTTTTACTTATTTGAAAATTTTACAAGAATTCAGTGTTTTTTGTTAATATTATCATTTCAGTTTTTAAGTCAATCATCAGCTGCATTTCATCAGTCTTTTTTGCAGTCACTTGTTCATTCAGCTGCTACTCCTTTTCCTCAGCAAAGTTCTTCATCCACGAATAATTTTGTAATTTTTTTCCCAATGTTTCTCTTTCTCTTTCTTTTTCTTTCTAATAAATGATTTTTAAAATAGAATAGTTTTAGAAACGCTATAATGGCTTTTTTTGCAAATGTTAAAATGTAAATGTAAACTTCGGCAATAATTATTAGGAGAATTTTGGAATTATATCCAGCATGAGATAAAATAAAAAGGAAAAAATATGATAGTAGTGACAAATGAAACAGCATTAGCGAATTTTTACAAAATCCGCATAGCCTTAAATTTATGCAATACAATATCAGAAATCAATTAATTCAAATAAAATTTAGTGTATAATCAGCAACAATAGTCGGTCATCGTCTGAGCAAGAAAATGAACGATATAATAATAATTCATCACCAAGCCGATATAATGGATTGAAACGTAGACGTGTTTCAACACCGAATCAACCATCTGTACCAGTTTCTCCAAATTTTGTTGCAACGAATAGTGTGGTTAAGCTGAATTCTTCTGTTGCAGGTGACTTGTTTTTTTTCGCAAATTTTATGAAATTTCAGGTTGGAAATTGCATTAATTGCGAGAAATTTGCAAAAATAAGTGTTTGCATGAAAAAATTTTATTAAAATTTTGTAATTTTTATTATTATTATAATTCTTAGGATTATAAAACTATCTTGGTTACCAAAGAAAATTTATTATATTTTGTAGAAATAGTTATAACAAATTTTTTAGAACGATATTAGAAAGTTTTCTTAAAAATCTATGGATCTGTTATAGAAATTCTGGAAAATCCAAAATTTTTATTCAATTTGATGAGAATTGGTCATTTAGCCTTCTTAAGGATTTATGATTAAGAGAAAAATTGTGTTGATGAACTGAAAAGTTGTACACGAAACTGATTATACTTTTCGCATTCTGCATCAATGATTTCATATTTTTTAATGCTACTTTAAAATAGTTGTATTAAGTATTAGCATTATTCAGAAATTCTTGCATGATTATTGTATTTTAAGCACTTTTTAATACATCTTAATATATCTTAATAATAATAGAATCACTTTTTGTTTTTAATTGTTGTTTATGGTAGATTGGTGATTTTAAATGGAAAAAAGATTTGTTGGATCCTAGATTATATGAGAAAAAAGTCAAACCTCAGCAAGATAAACAAATTCTTTTTTGAATGAAAAATATTTGTATTGTAAACGATTGAAAGTCCAGTTACATAATACTTTTACTTTTACCTTTGTCAGATCATAGTCTCGATTCTTGTCTTTTGATTGGAGTACCCGTTATTAAAAATGAAATCCGCATATTATATCTGACTAGGTTTTGCTGATATGGAGGCAGCTAAAGTAGAAAGTACTAGAGAAGGTGAAAAATAAAATCGGTCTCGTTGTATGAAAATATGCGTCGAACATAATATTATTATCTGATTAGTATAATAAAATTTTTGTTTTGCACCTAGTCGAAACAATTTCATTTAAACAATCATTTTTGTGAGACACATCCACAATTTGCTCTTGTCGAAAGTAATAGATAAATGGAGATTTTTTCTTAATAGACATATCATATTGGTTGTTTCTCATATTATTATATCGAGTTTTCGATTCAGCGCTTGATGGGAGTAAACTGTTATTAAAAATCCGAGTGCAACTCATCTGTACTTCATTCACCAAGTGAAAATCTCCCTGAAAAAATTTTAGACCATACTCTAGTGGAGGGACAATCATTTACCTACAATTTTTCCGGTGATGTGAATTTTGATAGTGAAATTCATGCTGATCTTTTCATTTGTCATAATGGTCCTTATTCAGACCTTATAGATTTCAGTTTAAATTTTTTTTCTATTGTTTTAGTTCTTATTTCCTAATTTTGCTAAATTCTTGTATTTGGTCGGAATCATGAGAAATTTCTTGAAATAAAATTCCTCACTATTTTGATTTATGGGTTTGTGAAATAAATTAAACAACTTGTCAATGGCGATAGGCATCTGCGAGGGATAGTCGATTTCTTGTCTAATGATCTTGCAATTTGTTTCATCTTTTTCTTTTTTATCTAAATTAATTGTTCTAAGTGAATGATCTTTACAAAACTATGATTACAGATGGTGTTTCTTGGGAAGCATTTTGAGAGCAGCTTATTTTGCTCAAAATCTGTTACCATCGTTTTAAGTGTTGATCAGCATAACCTGTTTCGTAGGTTGGACATCATCATTCTTGCCCTTTAGATCAGCAAGGCCAGAATTGGCGAATGCTTTTAGAGAAAAAAAAAGCTGCAATCCCTTATCATGCAGATTGCGAAATTTATCTTATGCTTCGTCTACTTATTTTTATTGCTTCAATGTCTATAATGAAGTATAAATAAATATACTTCTAAATATTACTTGTAAATAAGAAAGAAGTTATCAAAATTGACCATAAAAATGTGGTGTGAAAATATTTTTATCAAATGTTGCAATATAAATGACATTAACGTATTCTTTTGTCATAATTATCGTACAGTAAATATTTAAAAGCTACGATTATCGTTGAAATAATTCCTTGTTGAAAATGGTCATGATATTATTGGGTTCTTTATTATTTTCTTAAATATTTTTTTATTTTTTGTATTATCGAGAAAATGGAAAATTTTTTTAAGAAAATATTTTGGACGATTTTTAATTATTTTTTAAATATTTTTGCTTTTTTTATTTTTTTACTTTTTTTTGTTCAAAATACAATGCAATAAATTTAGATATTAGCGGCACATATGTATTCACTATTTTCTAAATATTCACAATATTAACTAAGGTTTTTTCTTTATATTATTTTTTTCTAATATTTTTTTAGTTAAAAACTAAATTTAAGAATTTATTTTATTTTTACTTGTATATATTTTATTTTTGAATAATATCCGATGAATTAATGAAATTGCTGTGAAAATTATGGTGGCGGCATATCAAAAAAGCATTTTTAATAGTGCCAACAACATAAAGAAAATAAAAATAGCATTTTCAGTTAGAAATTTCAAAATTTTTATAGTTAAAAACTAAATTTCTCTTGCTAATAGTTCCTGATAATCTGATAATCTTGTAATTTCCTGATAATCTTGAAAAATTTGTTCCATGTTTAAATATTGTTTTCATCGCAAAATTCATTCACGAATTCGATTCATTTTTATTGAGATCATGCTGGTGATAACCGTGATACTAAATGGCTGCGAAACATGGCCAATGAGAGTGGAAGCTATTAGCCTTAGACTACTCATATCTAAGATACATTTTACTGATCCGTCGAGCATGATTGTATTCACCTTCGCTCAAATACCACTTGCATTAATAATGTTATCACAGAGCGTCGTCTTCACTGGTTAGAGGGCACGTTTTCCGTTATCCGCTACTGAAGTTGACGCATATTACGCTATTTGCTAAATCCTATTATGTTTGGCGTCAAAAGCGAAGAGGGCCAGTCAAAACCTGAATGGATACAGTCAGGGATGAAAGACTTTGAACGTATAGAGGAGCAGCGATATATGGACTTAGTCGATGGAAAATAAACGACTTCTATTACTACTAACGATGGCTTCGGATCGAGCAGCTTGGAGACGTAGCCAGCAGAGCAGCCTAACCAGTAATGTGAGAGCTGTTAAAAGAAGGTAATACCCGTGATTAGATTTTGCAGTTTTGTTTCAAATCTTTCGTAATATTACATTGGTTAATCATTTTTTTTTCGCTCGACCTAGTTAAAACGATCGCTTTTACAATATTTTAAAAACTTATGCATCGAAGAAAATCAGGAAAGAAATCAAGAAAGATTTTATTTCTCTGTCAGAATTAATTCTTCATATCATTTGTTTTTGCTATTTTCCTTTTAAAACAAATTATTTCTCTATCTTCTAAAATTTAATGTTTGATGAAAAACTCGACTTTAGTCGCTTGAATGTATTTTTAAAGTTTCCATTTGAACTCAGAAATTACGATATATTTCTATAGTAATGGTTTGGCAATTAGAATCGAGAATATAAAATGAAAGGGCTCATATATGAATATATATACATATATTATTAATGGGTGATTTTAAAAATTTATCCATTTTATAAATGCTTGCTTGATTAATATTGCTGTTGATTGGAAAAGGAAGGAGAAGCAATCCATATCAAATATCATTTAATCGACATTATATTTACTCAGTTTATATCATTCTTATTTGTTTCTCCTGTTTCCAGTTTTATTTATTCATTCCATATATATTCGTAGACAATCGCCTTACTGTTGTCACTCATTCATCGTCCTTATCCATCCTTGTTCCTAATTTAAGTATTTTTATAAGAAAAGTATTTTATAAAAGTATATACATAAGAAAAGTATTTTTACTCTTAGAAAAAATTAACACTGGTAAGCGTGATTTATTTTTGCTAAAATTAGAAATTTTATCATTCAGTTCGTGGTATTTTTTGATGTATTTGGGCTCTCTGCATTAATAAAGCGTTATATTGAACAAATTTCTACATATCCACTTATAGTGATTTTTTACTTTCCCTAGAAAATTAATATTCGAAAATTGAAGAATTTTCGTGGTACGAATGTCTGTGAATAATCAATACTTCATTTAAGTATCGAAAAAGCTTTAAAAATTTATTTATTGAATAATATGATCCAAACGATTGAAAACGAGAGAATATGTACACGAAATGAATAAAAGAAGAAAAATGAACGAATCGGCGATCGACTTAAATGCAAAGTAGGCTGGACTTTAATGGGAATTACAGTATGATTTTTAAAGTAAATAACTAAGAATTATTGATGATATGATTAAGTAATAAGCAATTAATAGTGAGAGAGAATTCAGATAGATAACAACTGTACGATTACTTAATAATAATAATATGGAATATTAACGAGAATACTTAATAACTGCATAATTATTATAAGCGTTAAATATGGTTAGAGTTAGAGATGAATAAAAGACGAATATTGCTTGTCTTAAGAGAAATTTGTCAGCTGTTTCATTAATTATAACAATTCATTAAAATCTTCTATTCGTTGTATAATGGATGGCCGGTGACCTTATGATGACCTCATCAATGAAAAACATGGACCTTATAGTGACCTTATTTATGAAAAATAATGATTAACAACGGTAACTTCATGGTCTTTTAATAAATATATAGAATTTATAATGTTCAATACAGATGAAAAGATGTCTGAATGGCATATATGAAATTAGTGCAATTAAATTTATGCGAATTTTTAAATAATTCTTTCAGAGAATTTTAGAGGTAAATTGTAATTTTTTTCAGAAAAATTATTTTATTAATTAAGTTTTGCCTTAATCACTGTACCTTACCTCTTACTTTTGCTTTAAGATTTTGAATGAAATCCTAATTTCATCATTATGCCAGTGTTGGTCAAGTAGCATGGTTGTTTCGTTTTGTATCAAGGTCCGAAGGTTTAATACTCTGATAGAAGTAAAATTATAACCATCTTTGAAAAATTTTTATCTTTGAGTCTGAGAGGGTCGAAGTTCTATCGCCGAGTGATTCTCTGGCAAAAATTCCTAAACATCTGAACATTATTTTCCATCATCTGAAATATATATATATATATATATATATTAACAAAAAACGAAATAGGTCGTGATTTAATTAGATATTAAGAATTTTTTTCAGCAATTTGGGAACAAATGAAGCAAAGAAACCAAAATTTATTGGAAATTTCATTTCAACACACTAGAGTAAATACTAGAGTTTGTTCCATGAAGAATATTATACAATATTTACTTTAAAAAGGAGCATATTTTTGATAAAATCGCTTGAAAAGCACAAATATTTGCATGAAAGCAAAAAAGTTGTACAGATTGTGCTAATTTCAGTATGCTACATTCATTTTCTATAAACATCTGTATTCTAGTAATAACGATATGTATGTTTTTCGAGAGAAAGCAAGCGAAATATTTCGCCCATTCTCGCCGTTTTTTTTTTAAATCAATAATAAATTTTAATATTTGGAAGTAAAATTTATAAAGAATTTTCTAAATTCATTCTGGGAAAAGAGTTCATTATAAAATGTCATATAGTATATATATATATATATAATGGGTCGAATCGAGATTGTTAACCTCAAGTTTTGCCTCTCGATATTTATTAGTTACTGGAGATGCCACGCCCTTTTGTTAGCTTGCTAGCTTCTTAGCAACAACGTATGTATGTGAGAGAATCATCATCCATCATTATTATTATATCGTCGTCGTCGTCAAATGAGAAATTTTTTCGAAAAAGCGGATAGAGAAAAGCGGGAGTTGTGAACTGATTTGTCTTTTCTTGAAGCCTTAAAGCCTTCACTTTCATATCATCGTCATCATAATCATCTCCTATTATTTATACAAGTTGTTAGATTCCCATCAATTCCAAATCGGAAGCCATCATCACCTTAAATACTTCCGCTTAATATTTTTGTGGGAGAGCCCTTGGGACTTTTCCTAATTTCCTTCCCACACTCCACAAATTTTGCGCCATCCCCAATATGGATTATGCTTCTGCTTCTTCAGTTCCATCACAACATTCCAATTCTCCTGCCAATGTTGCATCGCATGCTTTTCGTTTCACCGATATTACTCCTTCTGGTTTTATCAATAATGGTATTAATAAAAATGTCCTAACATCGTCATCATCACCGTCATCATCATCAATATTAACAAACGAATTTTCGGTTGTCACAACTACAACTGTTGATGCCATTACTTCATATTACGCTGCTGGGTCACAAAATGAGTTCAGTCCGAATACATCACCATATTACTATCCTAGTCACTCGTTTCATCCTCATCCACCACCTCAGCATTCTCATCATCATCATCAGCTTCATCTTCAATCAAATATGTCTCAACCGTCCTCACTGTGGTCATCTTCCAGCAATTTTCAGCATTTTAATAATCAGACGGCTATGTTTGGCGCTTATCCGCACCAACAGCATCTTTTTTATCATTCATCCTACATTGGTCAGTAGAACTAAGAAGGAATTGAAGAGGATATATATTTTGGATTATTGATTATATGATAAAATTTTAATTTCTTTTCAGTTTAATTTCAGATGCTTTTTACGGTGGTGTTCCAACGTCTTCTGGAACGACACTACCACATTCTTCAAGTGGATCTTATGATTCATTTAGTGGTTTATCGACGAGTTTACAAACTCAGCAACAAACTGGTCCTTATAATGGAATAATCTCTATTCCACAACAGATGCAGTTATTGAATGTTATTAGTGAACAACAACCATTAACCAGGTAAAATGCCTTAGAAAACAAGAAGTTTGTCAATCATTTTTTATAAAATAAAATATTTATAATATTTTATAAAATAAAGTTCTTTTTTTGGTTCTTATTCATACAGGCAGATTGTCTTATTTATTCAGTTTGTTACAAGTGGATGAGGAATGCCGTATATATACATATATATATCTTTACCAGTGTTCCTTGATTAATTTGTTGTTGATATGATAAGAGTTGTTAGTCGGAGATGAATTTTTTAAATCTTTTAAAAAAATTCTTTCAGGGATGTGATGCATGATTATCTAAATAATCGACAAAAATATGATTGTATTGTTTGCATTTTCCATGCAAAGGTCGCACAAAAATCCTATGGTAATGAAAAGAGGTGGTTTATTCATTTTATTCCTCAAATTTTCCAACAGTTTAATAGCTTAGACCTGTTGGATCTTACCTTACAAATTCTTTATCTTTTTTAAGGAAAGTTTTTTTTTGCAATTGCATCTATTATCTCAACTAAACAAAAATTCATAGTAGTTTAGTCCAGAAAGCAGTTCTTTTTTTTTTTGTTCGTTCATTTTTTGATGAATTTATAGCGCTTTTTTCTGAATATTTCTGGTTAGAATGATAAAAAGAAGATAAGGAAATAATAAAAAAATTCGAGTTTGAATTCATATAATTGATTCATATAAGCGGTATATTTTTGGTTTCATTCCTTCTAAAGGAAGATTTCGTTTGAAGTGAACCGCGAATTGAAAAGAATATCCTTATTTATGGATATTTCTTTCTCCTTTTTTTGCAAACTTATATTTCTCTTTTGAAAAGAATTGCAATGAAGAAAAATTGTTTTTAGTTAAGTAATTCTCAATATCTTCATATTCTTTCGACTTCTTTTTATTTTTATATTTTCTCAATAGCAAATATTATTAACGAATTATTAATCATCATTATTATAATTATATTATACGCTACAAGCGGTAAATTTATTATTTTCAAATATTGGTCCGAGATTATTCGGTATTTTTATGGCGTTTTTTATTTGTTTCGAAAAATATTTTGCGAATGGAAAGTTTATTTGCATTTGAAAAATTTGAAAAATATTATTAATCAATAATTATCATATTTATCATCTTTGATTTGATGAAAATTATGATGAGTATGAAATATGGTTCGCTGAATAACTGGACAAAAATGGTGTTTTCCTTTCATCTATTAGAAAATTGTTGGATTTCTTGGCTTTGATTTCATGGAATAGTTTGAAATGCAATGTTGATTTATCCCTTTTATGTTTTGTCCAAAAATTAAACTAATTTATTACTATTATTACTATTGTTATTGTTATTATTTATAGACTTTTATGAATGATGAAATTATTCGATTTATTTTTCATTTATTTGGAAAATATCATCTGGTTTGTCGATTTTGGATTTCAATTATCATATATTATTGTAATATTTGAACATTACTTGAACATAATTTTGCTTTTTAATTTTCATTTCATCAGTTTTCATATGGTTGATTTTGTTTATAGCAATATATATATATATATATATATTTGCTATTCTCATTGTATAAGATATTATGAAACTATCAAATTTTGATCACTCACGTTTAAGATATGTCTAAGATTGTCTAAGATATGTCTAAGATTTTTGCGGATCCGTCGAGCGGATAAAATCACACATATATCCATACACGTCCAAAGTTATTTGTTTTTGTATGCGTATACATTGGGCGATACGGAAAGAATAATGGCAAAAGTTCGACCCTGGCAGGACTCGAACCTGCAATCTTCGGATCCGAAGTCCGATTGTATAAGATATTATGAAACTATCAAATTTTGATCACCCACGTTTAAGATGTGTCTAAGATTATCTAAGATATGTCTAAGATTTTTACGGATTCGTCGAGCGGATAAAATCACACATATATCCATCTTCGCTCAACTACTACATATATTAATAATGTTATCACATAGCATCGCCTTCGCTTATTAGGGCACGTTCTCCGTCGTCCACCACAGGAGTTGATATTTTGTTATTTGCTAAACCCTGTGATTGGCGTCAAAAGCGAAGAGGACCAGTCAAGGCCTGGACTAATACAGTCAAGAAAGCTTTTGAACGTATAGAAGGACCAGTGATATATGGACTTAGACGATGGAAAAAGGAATGGCTTCTATTACTACTAGCGATGGCAGAGCGAGCAGCTTCGAAACGTCTTACCCTTGTACAAGCGGAGCCAGCCTAACCATTAGAACTGTTAGAAGGAGAAGATATTTGCTATTACATTCGAGAAAATCTTAAGTTATCTTAAGTTAAGTAAGGTAGGCCAGTCGAACACATTAATTTTTGGTTTCTATTTGACAAATTTTCCATTAAAATATTTTTTGGCTATTTTATTTTGAAATGAATTTAAATTTTCGCAGTAAAATTTAATTTCTTTAAAATTATGATTAGGTTAAATCTCTAATTTGTATTTTTCGATATTATTTTTCGACATTTTCAACTTCTCTTAGATCGAATTCAATTAAATTATTTAATGAATTTTTGAGTAATTCTCAATTCTGATTTTCGCATTCATTATTTTTAAAAAAGTTCATGGAATTTTATTAAATGATTTTATTTCATTATGTTTCGCTTTATTAATAATTTCTATAGGTTTCAAGAAATTTGTTCTACTGCTTTTTTGTTCGATATAAATTTACTCCAACAAATATTACAGTAATTTCGTGAGAAATACTCTAACTTTTCCGTTTTCTCTAACGTATAGTCTTTTTATTCACTTCTCTATCTCCATCCGCTCTCACTTCATTGTCTCAATTACGGTCATTTTGATTAATGTTTACTTTTTTAAAATGTTTTATTTCAATATAATCATTTCCTTAAATGAGTTTTACGTCTGCTGTTTAATCCATTTTCTGATTTATTGATCTGATGTTTCTTGAACTGAACTGTGCTGATACTTAGTGGGGTTTATTAATTTCGTTCATCTTTATTCGTATCGATTTGGTCATATTTTGTTTAGTAGATTTATCTGCGTTTACTGAACTAAATTGGTTTACTCGATTATTGTAAAACTGATTATTTCATTTGTCATTTATGTCCAAAGTTTCTTCCTTACAGTACAATGGTTGAAAAAACTTTTTTAAGATTTTTTTGCCCTCCGCCTTGTATTTATCTCTATGGTGATGGTTGGAAACGAAAAAAACGTATAACTGAAGATTTATACCGACGTTTTAAAGAATGTCAAAAGCAAAATGGTATACAGGAAAGCGATCCTGATACGGAACATGTTAATGAAATTCGTTCAGCCGAACTCTGCGCATTCATTGGTATTGGAGCACCATCTGAGCAAGAAAAACAAGCCTTAGATTTTTCTAGCAATAAGGTGAGCTCTTGAGAATTTTTCTCGATTGGTTGTATATTGGAAAAAAATTTTTTTCAATTTTGCGTTTTATTTTAAAGGATTATTGTGCAGCGAAGACTTTATACATATCAGATGCCGACAAACGAAAATATTTTGAATTATCAGTCCAATTTTTTTATGGATCTGGGCAGGAAATTGGTATATTTTCTTCACAAAGAATTAAAGTTATCAGTAAACCAAGCAAAAAAAAACAAAGTATGAAGAATATCGATTCAAAATACCTCTGCATTGCTTCAGGAACAAAGGTATGACGCTTCAGTTCATTTGGTCTCTTGGGTTTTAGCTTTTTTTTGTTTTTCCTGGCACTGAAGCAAAATTTTCAAAAATATCTTCCAGATAATTCTGAGACCTTTGGTCCTAAGAATTTAAAAATTTTGGGGTAAATTTTATTTTTTAATTTATATTTTTCGTTTTAAATGGCATAAATTGCGGAAAATTATCATTTGGTTTTCAATTTCAGGTAGCATTGTTCAATAGATTACGCTCACAGACTGTAAGTACACGATATCTTCATGTGGAAAATGGTGGATTTCACGCAAGCTCCACTAAATGGGGAGCTTTTACCATACATTTAAGCATGTTCTTTATGTCTTATTTCATCGATTTAATGAGAAAAACGTGAGAATGAGCCAAAATTCCATTCATGGAAACTCTTTTTCTGTTGTTTGAAAAGCCATTGATGTGGATGTTTTAACCATAACTGTTTTCAACGAATCTTGAAGTTTTTTTTAACTCACTGCCTCCCCACATGAATTAGCATGTAATATTGAGAATAACAGTAATTCGTTATGTTTCGTTTTTTAATCAGTCTTTTTATAATTTTGATTTATTTTTTTTTGTTAAATAAAATTTTTTCAGTTGATGATGATCCCCATGTCGTCGATGCGGAGAATTTTAATGTAAGAGATGGTTTCATTCACTACGGAGCTCTTGTAAAATTGGTCGATAGTGTTTCTGGAATTGCTCTTCCTCGTCTTGTACCGTTTTTTTAAATATATCTTTTGGAAGTCGAGTTTTTTAAACAGGTCTCATAAATGGAAATTTTTCAGAGGATTCGTAAGGTCGATAAACAACATGTTATATTGGATGCTAATTCATGTGAGGAGCCGGTGAGTCAACTGCATAAGTGCGCCTTCCAAATGCTTGATTCTGATCTCGTCTATCTTTGCTTATCTCATGATAAAATTATCCAACATCAGGTCAGTTAGAGCTTAGATTGAAAATTGACTTACTTATTTTGTTGTATCTAGATTTATCATGCAATTCAGATTGAACGAGGGAGAATGAAAGGTGTTGACATATTTTTTTAATTTTATCATGGTCATTTAATTAATGAACATTTAATTATTTGACCCTTTTTTTAATGATAAGCTGAGGTGATTTTATTATTTAATCTCGCTATATCGCAAAAATCTGCTTTCAAATCTTTTTCTTTTCATAAAATCGAGTTTTAAAATGTCTTAAATGTTCCTTATTTCTGAGTTATTTCTATGCAAAATTTTTTAAAAATCTCTTTTCATTCTAGGCAACTCTTGTTGATGCGAATAGGCATCAGATCAGCGATGGAGCTTCATGGACGATTATTTCTACCGACAAGGTTTGTATGCATTGTATGGATTTTTGGAGGAGGAGGTTTATGGTTTAAATGGGTAACGATTTTAGAATTTTAGATTTTTTACAACTTTTGTTGATAGAGTTGAAATTGAATATTTTAAAGTTGTGCCTTATACTTTAACTAAAAATTGAATTTTTAGTCTAAATGCGAATTATATAATTAGAAATTATATTCATTTCTGACTACTTTATTCAACATTTTTCTATATTTTTTTGATAATATGTTGAGTATTTTGGTACGATTTCATTTATAACAGGTTTATTAGAATTTAGGCTGAGTATTGCTTTTATGAAGCCATGGGGCCAGTCCGTCAACCTATCACACCAGTGCCGATAGTAAGTGGTCTTGAACTATATGGTGAAGGTGATCTTGCTCGAGTTGATATTACTGGTTCAAACTTTAGAGCAAATCTGAAAATTTGGTTTGGTACGACACCTGTTGATACAGTTTACAGGTGAATGGTTCTTTGCCACTATTCTTCAGCTTCTCTTATTATAATGCATATTTTTTCGGTATTTTACAGGTCCGAAGAAATGATTGGATGTTTGGTGCCGTCACTTTCTACCGTTTTCCCAAATTGGAACACATATGGCAATGAACCATTGTCAGTACCTCTTTCATTAGTGCGTGATGATGGAGTAATCTATGCGACAAATATGACATTCACTTATAAAGCAGAAACAAATCGACTAAGAAATCGGCGTTTTGCAAATCCTTTGAGATCAGAATAAGCTTATTTATAATAAGCATGAGTAATAATAATTTTATTTAATGGAGGAAATAACAGAGTAGTTTTATTTTTCCAGCATAATTATTTCTTTTAAAGTAGTTAATTTGGCAAAAATATAAAGAAATAAAATTTAATCGAAAGAAATTATTTTATACATTAATATTTATAAATATTAAGTATATTTCAATATTCAATATTTAAAAACGGAAATATTTAATTTTACCATTTTTGTGGCAATAAAAAAAATAATGAAACTTTCATTTTTTCTTGGTGTTCAAATAATTTTAAATATTGCTTAACTATTCCTTTCCTTGATTCATTCCTTGATTCATTGAATAAGTCAAAATCGAGGAATAAATGTTTGTAAAACTTTTCGAACTTTATTTGTAAAATTAGGCATTAAAAAAAGTGGTTCCAGTGGTTTTGAATGTTTTTTGAGCGGGTTTCTTACCATTTTTATTGTTTTTTTGATCTCCATTTTGCCATCTTTTCGTTGTATTTACTTATCTGACAGACTTTTTTCTTATCTCTTTTCGTTTTAATTTTGTGAACAATTTTTTTGGAATTTTAGTAAATTGATTTTCGTATTTTTCATGGGAAAATCCTTTTTAAATGTAATGTAACCTGTTGTATTCATCCATGTAAGGAAGTTTTCCCCTAGAATAAACTAAGGATTTATTTATAACAGTAGGTTAAGGAATAAAAGATTCATTTTGTCTTTATCACCAGGTCTGATTTATATTGTAAGATTTTTATGATTTTAATTTTGTTTGCATTTATTTTTTTTCTGAAATAAAATATCCTTTCCTGTCGCTAAGAAAATTTTATTTTTGTTGTAGTTAACTTTTAATAATAATACGCCGGCGATATGTACAGGTTCATTTGTTAAGATTTCTTTTTCGATAATATAGGAATTTACATGTAGTATTTGATATTTTGGAATTTCAACCACAAGAAAATGTCATAAATTATTTTTTAAAGGCTCTTTATTTGATTTTGTAATTAAATTTTAAATTTCAATGTTCGAGATCTTCACTGCAGAACCATAGTAAAAAAATCTTCTAAATTACTAAATTACTAAATTTTCTTTTTTGTTCGTTAAAAACAAAACTGAAGATTTCCTTATCAAAATATACAAAGCGTTCGGCCATTTCTTGACTACAATGCTACATGTTACTCCCCGAGATATCGTAAATCAAGTAAAATAATTGAAGGATTCCAAAAATATTTTATACGGCGCCTCTCTCCTAATTGCAATTTTAATACATAATACAACCTCGATTCTCTTTCGTCGAATTAAACAAGATTTAATTCATATTTATAATATTCTGTATGTTTATGTTAAATTAGTATGCTAAAAATATAATTTTAGGCTAAATTTGAACCCAACAAGAACTAATGGGCTAAAATTGCCAAAACCTGTGTGTAAAACTAAAATAAGGATAATGATTTCTTTATTCGTAATATTAATTTCTGGAATAGACTACCGAACGATATAGTTTGTGCGTCATCCTCGTCATTCTTTAAGAAAAGATTAGATAATACCATTTATGATATTATTGAAAAAGTTCACATCATGCAAGAAATGTGAATTCTCGACTTTTACCATCCGATTATAGATATTTCGAATTATTCTATATTATATTATTTTGTAATTTCCTCTTTCTTTCATCTTTAAATTGTTAATTTTATTTTATTTTATTATTTTTTGTTTGTGTCATTAATTCTTATTGTTAGTTATTTTAATCTGTTGTTATTAATACAAACACATGGCATTTGCGCCTTGCTTGGCTGGTTTAAATAAATAAATACATAAATAACATTAAAATGGTTGTTGGTAATCCATTTGTACTCCTATCGTTTAGTAATAACTCTCTGACGAAAAGGTTCATTCTCATTCATCCGAGTTGCCATTGCAACCAGTCAAAGCAGAAACTACTAGAATACTACTAGAAAAAGAAGAATAGCAGTAATTGATGTTTTTAACGATTTTATTTTTTCAATCTTTTTGGTCTCATTTTAGAAATTCTTATAATAAAGCATTTTACAAAATGCCAATAGAAAACTTTGGATCAGATTTATTTAGATTTATTTTAAAATAGATAGATTTTAGTTAAAATAGATTTATTTTTGCATTGTCATTGAATATTTTATAGGAAGTTGTTTTCTTATTTTCATCAAAGCTTAATTATATGTGATTATATGTGATTACTTGTTTTTTTATATGATCAGATTTAATTTTAACAAATTTTTAACAAATAATTTATCATTCAATTTCCTTGTGGGTGATTTTTTTTGTCTTTTTATTGCTGATAATTTTATGCAACATTTATTTGGTGTGTTACAATATGTTTTTTTGTTAATAAATTAATGAATCAGTCGTTTTAATAATTGCAAATTATAAAAAAATTTTTATGAAAATCTTGCAATTTTTTCTGCTATTTTGACCAATAATATTCACCCCTTTTAAAGATATAAAGCTTAGTTTAAATTATCTTTATCAACATAATTTTTCAAAAAATTGCATTAAAATTTTAATTTTTTATTAATTTATTAATTTAATTTTCATTTATATATAGCGGTTTTTTAATACAGAAAAAAAATAGAAATATTTTTTAACCCGCTTCTGAAACGATTTGCTGCGTAAGTCCGGAGGTTTCACTTAACCGACGAGGATCGATTGGCAAACTTCTATCCAAACTAAAATTTTTAGTAATTTCATTTATTTGATGTTTATTTGAATAATGGTTAAATCATATGAAAGAATCTTAAATTTCAACAAAATTATGATTTAGAAAATTAAACATACTATGAGGAATAATCAGTGCTAAAACATGGTTGAGCGTTAATTTCTAGTTGACGAATTATGTGAGCATTTCCATATCCACCTGAACGGTATGGTGGATGTTGCCTTATTCTTTTGTTATTAAATTTCCAAATTCCATAGTTATCACCTTAATTAACATCCATCACATAAATAAAAGGTATTGCCAAGAATCAAACATTTAGCCGCAAATTTAGCCGTAAAAACCAGAATTAAAAAAGTAAAAATAAAAATAAAATAAAGTTAAAAAAGTAAATAAAGTTAAGTTAAATAAAGTTAAAATAAAGTTAAACAAAAGACCATAGCTATTGCTTAGTTTTTGAGGAGTATTCATAGCTCCAATTTCAGATGAGATTTTCCGGTGAGGTGGGTTTCTATCGGCCTTTTTAATATTCCCACTCTGAGGTGGCAGCGATAAACTTGTTCTGGGTTCAACTGTAGGTGTTGCTTTCGGTGCACTTGAAGTAATTGATAAGTTCATTTCATGAATTCTATTGGCAATAGTCCTATTGAATCGTAAAATTTCTGTTTTGAGATAAATGTTGAGTTAAAATCGTTTAACCTCGAAAAGTTTGAAAAAATTCTGGTGAGAAAAATTAAAAATGCAGTTAGATATTTTTGCCAGAGATGCACTTGGAGATAAAAGAGATAGAAATCATTATGCATTTCAAAAATAAATTTTAATTGATCGATAGCGCCGCCAGACTTCTTAATGTTAGTTTCATTCCTGTCGAGAAAAACAGCCTGGCCCATGCCATTCAACACGATTATCTAAACCACTATCCTTATATGATGGATTTCGTTAATTTTAGTTTTTTTGAGAATGAAGAAACTTTGAAAATTTAAGCTTTTCCAGTTCGATTCTTCTTGCTTTTTTTGTTCATGGCCACTTTTTGGTGCCGTTTCGGGGAAAAATGATGCAACCTCTATCTTCCTCTTTTCATGCGCCATTCCTAAATTTAGGTTTATCATTGATTACTCATTGTTATTTAAATTATTTTATTAATTTACTAATATTTTAATTAATTTTTCTTCGTCTAGCCTTTCGCTTAATCTCCTTAGTCCATGAAAAAGTTGGTAATCTTATCCATTACGCACTGCAAAAATAATTTTCAAACTGAATCGTTCTTTAAAAAAATAAATTTACCATATCCAGCTGATCTGTGTGGAATAGATAATCGAGGAGATGGAGGTTTTATTAGCTTACATTCTACTTTAGTCCCTTTTATTTTTTTTTCAATCCCAGTTATTTTTTTAATGGTGTGCCGTGGTGCCACCGATGTTTTCGTAAAAATTTGAATCGCATCCAGTGATTCTTCAACTATATCCTAAAAATAGGCTAGTTAATTTGCGAATATGGATTTGAATGCAGATTACAATTGATGAGGAAAATGAAGAAATTCAAATTTCATCAAATTTGTCAAAAAGTTGTCGGGGAATTTTATAATGCATTTAATTTTGACAGATCTTTGGAATGAAATCCTAGCAATAATTTTCATCATTGAAGAATTGTTAGCAAGAAGTTGGAAAAATTTTGTAAAATTTATAATGATAACAAATTCAATAATCTCATATAGAGGAGCAAATTACTAGGATTGAATATTTTCCATAGTTGAAGTGATCAATATGGTTGAAAACTGATGTTGTGCATGGTATATTCAATGATGATAGTCGCCATTGGCCTATAATCGTTAATTTTTTGGTAGTTCTAAAATTCTTCAATTTATTTTTTTAAATTTTTTATCTGCACAAATAAATCTTTAAAATATGAGCAAATTTTATTTTAAACAACTAATTTAGTTGTTCAATTCATGAGAGAATAAATAAATTTCATATCACCCCTTCCTTAATTTTTTTCAAACAGTTTCTACTCTTAGTAAAGAATATAACGATGACACTTCACCATCTTTAAAAAATTCCGAAGGAAAGAATTTCAAATAGGAATATCTTTTGTTACTCGTTCTTCAAAAAATAAATCTATTTGTTCAGTAATATTAATTTTTAAGCTGGATTTTGTTTATTACTGTAAACATTATTATTTGTTTAGAATAGTTCAATTTTTACACTCATTTTCAGTGTGTTTTTTTCTTTATATAAACATTCCTCGATCTTCACTCGCATTCAAATTTCATTTTATCCTAGCGATGTAATTTTTCGAAGTCAAAAATTAAATCATTTTTCTTAGTTAATTTCCTAATAATTTTTATTATTGATTATTCATAAGGTAATAATCTTCTAAATTTATTTTTTCTATTCTTATAATCATCTATTTGATGAGAATAAGAATAGAAAAAAAATCTCAATGAAATTTCAAATATTGAAAAAAGCAAAATGGCTTATAACATAATAATAACACAATTAGAATAAGGTACCACAAATTCAAGAAGAGTCTAAAAGTTCGTATTAAATTTTTAGTGGATTGAATCTATGTTTTAATGAAACTGAAATTATTATTCATGAAAAATTTTCAGAAATTTCAAATATTGAAAATAACTTTAAAATTCGTCGATAACACTTGAATTTTTACATTTGAATTATACATTGACAAATTATAAATTTCTCAAAAGAAAACTTTTCGATTTTAAAAACGCAAACCTTCAAAATTCAAATACTTTAAGCGATTATCACCACCGCCACATATATATGTTTCCAAATGAAGATAGTTTACATTATTATAGTTCGAATAAAGCCACAGATTTGAATCATTTAATCGGCACTCACTATATACATATGAGGAACCCTGTTAGTAAGTAAGGATTAAACTTTAATCAAAAGAAAGTCTAAGTTTAAGCGTAAAAAAATGAACCAACCATTTGTTGTTAAATAAACAATAAAATATGACTAAATATTGTTCGCGCGATCATAATAGTAGCATAGGGATCGTGCTGCACTACAGAACGACGTCAGAACGATGTCATTTTATATAGAAGATAAGAGGCGGAAAGAAATTTTCCGGATCGATGTTTATAATTCGTCTTAAGGGACTGGAACAAGTCAACATTTTAAGCATTTGATTAAGCATTTTAATTCATTCCTAATCGCTTCGAGTTTGCAAAATATTTTCACTAAAAAAATTTGCATTTTCACTAAATAATGTTCTAAAACAAATCACTACTCACTTACTCATTATTTACGCATTTATACTAATAATAACCACTGATAATCACTGAAAAAACAAGCAGGATTTTTACTTTTTTTCGTAAGATAAATAGCTGTTTTATATTATTGATAAAAAGCGAAATGAAAATGACTAAAAAACTCCGCACTATTTATTTGATCTTTAAAGACAAATTTCAGAAATTTTATTTCTTGTCAATTGGATAAAAGAAACCTTGACTAGGGCAGCTATTTTTTATTTCTAATTTGGCGCCTTTACCATTCAACGTTTGTAAATTCTTTTTCTTAAGTGGTGTATTTATTTTTTGGAAATAAAATATATCCACAGTATAGCAATTTTCCTCCTTTCTAGAACTGGTTTTATGATCATAAAAATTGACTGATATCTCGCTGATAGCGTTAAAAACGAGATATCCAGTCAAAAACTATATAGATGTGGTCATGAGAAATTGCTAAAACATAGAAGACCTAAGGAGCTCATGGGAGAATAGACCTTATTGTTTTTGCCGCAAGCATGGCGTATCCAAATAATTCATTATTCTACCAGCTGAAGATGTGACGTAAGAATTTGGACCATTGTAAATTGATGCAAACTAAAATTAATGCAAAATTGATTTGATTCGAATAGAATATATTAATCACTTTTAAAAATTTTTCCAATTATATTTATTATAAAGATCAGTGAAAACGCATCAAAATAAATTTATTCATGAATAATTTTTTATGAATAACTTCAATAAAAAAAGAAAAGGAAATTCATAGGAAATTCAATAAAAAAGAAAAGAAAAGAAAGGAAAGGAAAAGAAAAGGAAAGGAAAAAAAGGGAACTTGATCGTTACTGTTTTTTTAAGAGTTCTCACCATTACTGGCTAAACTCGCTCCACTGGCTTGTCGCATTGGGCAATATGCCAGGGAATCCCTTGGCGATAGAAATACAGGTGAGTCGCCAGCATCACCCGGATTTTTGTACAGATTTACTCCTACGGGGAATAGAACCTCAGCATCGGCACTCAGAATTGAGCAATAGCCCACTGAACCATTCTATCCCCATAACCAGACGTAACCTGATGGTAAAATAAATATTTTGCTTACAAAAAGTTACTGGTAAAATCTTTTATTGTATTTTGAAAGATTTTCTAAGCTCATACGAAAAAAAACTTGCTTTAAAATTTGTTTAAATTTCGAAGAAAAGTCTCTTCTTTTTTCGAATATTTGATAATTTCGACTATGAATTTTAAATATTTTGTTTAAACTAGCGCTAATATAAGCAAAAAAAATAAACAAACTTTTAACTTCTACATTTTCCATTATGCATATTTCTATAGGAATGTTCCAAGAAATTTAATTTCATATGTATTGTTTGAAATTTTAATGTATATTTTTATAAGAGTTCAAATTATGAAATCAAAATGAAAAAAAAAATTTTTCTCATAAATAAGTTAAAAGGTATCAGCAATTAAAATATATCGCCGATAACCTATCATTTTCGTTTTATATCGGTTCTAATCTCAAACAATCTCGGTTTCACCATTTGTAAAGCATTAATAATTGTATGCAGTGGAATTATGCGTTAATATATTTTAGAAAACTGGACACTAGTAGAAGATTGCATTGACCACCGCATATAATCGTAAAAATTTTATTCTTCATTATTCTTAACAATAAATTTTTTTTATTACTCAAATTTGAATAATTAAACCATTAATAATATCGTGATAGGAAAAAACAATCATATTCGATATAATTTAAATCGAAAGACGATCGAGACAACTATATCAACGACAACAGGAAATGCATAAATGAAATTTTAAGCGATAAAATGTAAGATAATAAAATAATGGAATATTGAGACCCAATATTGAGCTTGGTGTTTCCACAAATGAAATAAAAAAGTAACTTTCTTTGAAATGCTTATACAGTTTGAAAAGTGACTTCAATGGAATAATATCATATATAAAGACAAAGAATTAATAAGTTAATGAAAGGCGGGTCGGGGTCACCAGAAGTAATAAATATGAAATAATAGAAAACATCGCATTTCGCGACAGAAATAATTTGTTTGCTTTAAATGATACAAAAATTATTTTTCAGGAATCGGCGTTATCGAACACAAAAACACCTGTTCTCAATATGAAAGAGCATTGATGAAAACAAAAGAATTAAAGTATTATGCAGCACTGCTATTTCGCTCATATTTTGATGAAAAAAACTAGAAAAGAGTTCGAATTACTTTGAATTAAGCACCACAACAGAATAATTTTTTTTTCCATAATTTGCCATTAGAAATCTGGTTTTTGGCCAATAGAAATCCGCATCTTTTCCGATCAATAATGACATTTCTGGATTTGAATTGATAGTATAAAGTATCATGGATAAACTTTTGCCATTCGATGGTTTTCATCAAAATTAAACGAAAATTTTTGTTGCCGATTATTGCCGATGATAACAGTTATTGATAGACGATGAAACGAAAATTGCTTATAAAATTATAGTTTCCATAATCTACAAAAATACTAGTTAAATTCCCAATAAATTATTGCAAAAACTTTTAAAGTCTTAAAAGACTTAAACTTATAAAAGACTTTTGAATATTTTTAATTAAATAAGAAGATTTATTGTTTATTTCATCGATGAGATTTAGTATAATTTATTGATTTCTGGCAGTGTAAATATCGAAGAAAGCATAAAAATTTCGTTTCATCAAATTTAAGCGTTTTCAATTTATCTTAAATTTACGAAAATTAAAATAAAATTCAGTTTTCTTGTTGGCGGTCCTCCCTTTTATGCCTATAGGTTTATTTTCTACTTTTTTTATTATCAAATTAGCACATCATTTTTTAATTTTTATGAATTATCTTATCTTTAGCATTACTGTTTTAATTGATTATCTCCTTGATAAAAATTTTTAGTCCAAGTTTCGCTTTTTGTCAATATTTTGTTTCTACATTTATTTTTGCTTTGTTAATAGTTTTTAGAAAAGGGATAGTTTTCAGCTTTTAGGAAAAAGAATTCGATAGGATTTTGGAAAAATCATAGTACTTAGCGATCTTTAATTATGAAGCCAATAATGATCTAGTAATAACTAATTAGTTTTCTTTCAAATTACTGCTGAAACGCTGCTCTGTCTAAACTTATCAAATTATCACATTTTATTCCGAATCTATATAGGATGGCTTATTGTTGTTCTCATTTCGCAGCCCCAGTGCTGAGCTCTGCAGGCAGGAGTAAAGTTATAATTTTTAAAAGGTGTAGAAATGGTAATTCATCCAACTTTGAATTGGTTCTATGGTCACAGAAAATGATTATATCTGACTCATATTTTGGCTCATATTTCAACAAACCAGCGCTGCGAGCTTAATCAGGGGTGGTGAGTGTTCTTTAAAAAAAAACTTGTATAAATCGAATTTTTGTTCAAGAAAATGATCGAGCAATAGATAATATTAATTATGACTTCATTTTTTTAGCGAAATGAATTAGAAAGAAAAAAAATTGGATATGATATAATTTTTATGGTTCTAATTTAATAAGAATTTTTTGCTTCGACACTTTATTCAACAACAATCAAATTTTGCGGATGAGTGAATTAAATTTCAAGACATTGCAAAAATTCTTTTTTTGCAAAACCAAATATAATATTTATTTAAATATAATATTTAATATAATATAGACGATAGATAAATAAGTGAAAAGAGTGGTTTAGTTTATCCCGAAATTATAGACTGCTGTGTTAAATATGAAAAAATAAGAAAATATTTCGAGAAAAATGCAGCAAAATATTTCTTTGAAGGATTAAAATGAATTTATCTCAATCCAGTTACACAATATTTTTTATATTCAGTATTCTGGGTATTCAGTGCACTCAAAGGTATTCTTTTCCATCGAAATACTTGTTTGCTTAGACTTCCAATTTTTTTGAGCAGGGTATTTGAAATTTTCGAATTCTAAAAGCTTTCAGTTCGTTCTCTTTCTTTAAAAAAATTTTTTTTTGGCTAATGTCTTCATTAGATCTATTATTATATATTGTTTCATTAGAAATTTTTACTAGAAACTGTTTTATTGAAAAATCAGGAATTTGAAATAGCAGTTACAATTTCGAGGAAATAAATGAAATGAAGGGAAAAAATTTAGTACCTCTTAAATGCTAGACTTGGATGTTCCGAAAGTTTGCATAGATTTTTGAGAAAATATATTCATACGCGATATAACTTCTTTGGATGATTGTTTGAGTTCAGCCTTGGTAATGGATAATAATGGTTTATTGGGATTAAATCGGACCTTTTCATTTTTGTCGTTGTAATAAACAATCCATTTTAACATGCGTTGCTATTTTTTTAAAAGGTAATATTTTAATTTTTTATCCAGCTATTGGTAAATAGAGATGCAATCCATAAAATTTTTTACCAAATCACCCAGGCTCCACACATTAGAGAATTTAAACCAAAAATACTAAATGTTCATGGACAATTGTTTGTTCACAGAATTTTTAGTATTCTTGAAATCTCATGCGAGTTAATTATTTCGGTTTCGTCATTACTGATAGCACAGATGCACAGATTTTATGGATGAAATTATTTAACTCTTTAGATTGTCGAGTCAGATAAACCTTACAGTTAAACCAACACATTCATTCAACTTGTTTATTGCCATTTTTTTGTTCCCAACAATGGAAAAATAAAAAATATGTTTTAATAACTATTTAAAATAAATATTTACTTGCAGAGAAAGCAGTACAATAACGATAAAAAAAGTAATAAAGTAAATACTCGACTTTTCGACGTTTTGCGTCCTTTTAAAGAGTTTATAAATGGAAAATTTAGCAATTGGAATTTGGAATAAAAATCGTTTCATCGTTTGTTTTTAATTTTTTCCTAAAGCGATTACTAAAACCTTTGTCAACTGATATATATTTATTTGAAATTGCATTAAATTTCGTATAATTTCGTATGCAGTATACAGCGAGCAAATTCAAAATGCATTTTATTTCATTCCATTTTCAGAAGATTAAACAATTGGTCCGAATTAGCAATTTCGAATAAATAAGTTTGATGCATCCCAATATTTCAATCATAACCTAGTTTTTTTTTTTGAGAGCACTCATCACTGCGGTTAGACTCGCCGTCGTATTAGACAAATATGCCATGGTCCTTTATGGCGTAGAAGTAAAGGTGAATCACCAGTGTCATCCGAATTTTCAAAAGACAAGTTTACTCCTGGTGGGAGCGGGACCTCAGCATCGGTGCTCTAAATTGAACAATAACCCACTGAACCGTTCTATTCTCCTTTACTTTCTTTATTAGGCGACAATTCTCGATTTACAAAAAATAGATTAGCCAAATGGTATTTACAAGATTATTTAAAATTAAATTTGAAAGATTTCTACAGTTTTTGAAAAAGCAAGTATAGTGAAGGCATTACTATAATTTAATAGAAAGTTGAGAATAGAATAGGCAAGTTACTGAGGTTGAACAGCATGTATTCGAATCCAGCCCCTTGATGAGGAAAAATGAGACTTAAAGTAAAATTAGGGATTTTTACCTCGTATTTTTACCCATCCGCAACCTGACTCTTGACACCTCTGACACCTGAATCAAATTTTCGTCAAAATTTTGTGCATCGCCACACTGCATTAATTTTCTCTTGAAATTGAGAGAATGTTCGCACTGAAACATTTAAAATTCCCCGTCATCTTATGTTGCAATTTTAAAATTGTGTTACATATATTTAGCTTTTCAATTGTTTCTTTTATTTAAACTCCTTTTCGCACTTATATTATTAAAAAAAGCCTTGATTTATTTTTTTTTAATGTTTTAATAGGCTTTTAATTTAATTCAATTTGATTTTTCTATTTTGGCTGTGATTTATTCATTATTGCCCAAAGACAGCCGATGGAATTAAGTCTTATGAAGCAGAACTTATTTCTATTTGCGCGTAAATGTTAAATTGTAGATTCCATGAAGTTTGACTCACTTTCTTCCCTTGTGACGCAATTTTATTTTTAGTTTTACATTCGAAATGTTATGTTATGGAATAAGTTGTTAAAACTGTGTTGTAAAATTCATTTCTCGAACTTTTCTACGCCTACTCCCGATTGTCTTTATATCTCTGAAATGTTCATTTCATAGCCTCAGGCTGTTCTATCTTCATTCTAAATTGATTGCAGCGGCATTCCAGTCGGGTATAAATTTTATTTTTGCTTTCTTACTTATTTTGATTTGCCTGATAATATGAAGCTGATTTCCAACTTTCTTTATTATTATTTTTATATCATAGATGATCATATGTGCCCTTTAACATATCATCGTTACGAGATTACGAGATTTCGTTGTAGCAAAATCGTAATTTTTGAAGTAATTTCTTGAAATTGCTATTTTATTTTCTTATGGAAAATGTAAACTTTTTTTTTGTTACTTCATATTTATTAAGCCAAATTTTATACGTTAAGAGACTCGCAATAGATATATTTATAAAGAGGCTCTTGTGAATTTTGTAATCTTTTTATAATTAATTAATCAAATTTAAAGGATAATTAATTTAATTTGATGCAATTAATTTCTATATTATAACCAAATTTTTGATCCATAAGCACTTTAATGAAATGAATGATTTATTTATAATTATCATAAAATTAGTGGTTAATTAAGATGCGGCGTCATTATCTTCTTTTCAATAATCATTACGTTTGTCTGAACCTTAATTTATTTGAGCGTGCCCTTTAATCACGATGAATGAATATGAAAAAGATCCAGGATGGCAATACCTCAGGCAAACAAGAGAGCAAATGGCTACAGTAAGTCCACCACGATGAATGTTTATAGATTTATGAATATTTCTGAATTTGAGATTTATGAATATTTTTATGAATATTTAATTTCAGTGAAAATGCAGTGCGAACCAAATTAGTAAATATTATTAGCCAAAGAAAAATCCTCTATAATCTAAAAATAATCCCACAATAAATTATTTAAACTTAAATTTTGTCATTTTCATTTTAGGATCAATCACGGCCCTATGATTCAAAAAAAAATTGTTGGATTCCAGATGCTGAAGAAGGCTATGTTGCGGCAGAAATAACCAGCACTAAAGGTGATATGGTCACCGTTGTAAGTGCTCGAGGCAATGAAGTATCTCTAAGTTAAATTTAAAATTAAAAAGTATTAAAAATAAATCAGATTTTTGTTATTTCTATCACATTTAAATTTTTTTATGATAAAAAAATTTTATCATAAAATATCACAAAAATTTTTTAATTTTTTTCACAGGTTACTTTGAAAAAAGATCTCACGCAAGAGATGAATCCACCTAAATTCGAAAAAACTGAAGATATGTCCAATCTAACATTTCTTAACGATGCATCTGTTCTTCATAATCTTCGTGCGCGATATGGCTGCATGCTCATCTACGTTAGTCCATAAACTTTTCATAATAGATAATCTCTGATATTGTTGAAATTTGACAAATTTCAAGTTTGAAATTAAATAATAAATATTAATGCAATATTTATCTGCGAAAAACCTCTAATCAAGAAATATCGAACGAATAAATTATCGCCATTTCTTCATATTCAGACGTACTCCGGATTATTTTGTGTTGTAATCAATCCCTACAAACGTCTTCCAATCTATACGGATTCAGTTGCTCAAATGTTCATGGGGAAGCGAAGAAATGAAATGCCACCTCACCTTTTCGCTGTTTCTGACGAAGCCTACCGTAATATGCTTCAAGACCACGAAAATCAATCAATGTTGATCACCGGTGAATCCGGAGCTGGCAAAACTGAAAATACTAAAAAAGTTCATTATTATTACATTAATAATAAGCATATAATAATGTAATAATACAATAAACCATATAATATAAAAAAATTTTCAATGTTTAATTATTTTTCAAAAACTTTCTTAAAGTAAATTTTTGCATAAAATGATCCTCAGCATACGCAATGCAGATTCAAACGATACACTTCACATTTATTAAATTTTCCTACTTTTTAAATTAAAGATGAAGAAAAAAAGTGAGATTTCAGGTAATTGCATATTTTGCTGTAGTTGGCGCTTCACAATCAAAAAATGTTGAAGGAGAGAAGAAAGTAACACTTGAAGACCAAATCGTCCAAACCAATCCGGTACTTGAAGCATTCGGCAATGCAAAAACTGTTCGAAATAATAATTCATCTCGATTTGGAAAATTTATTCGGATCCATTTCTCGAAGCAGGGAAAAGTAGCTTCTTGTGACATTGAACACTGTATGATTATAATTTTCTCCTTAAAAAATGAAAATTAATTCTATATGAATCTAACTAGAAAAATGGCAAGCCTGAAAAAAAGAGATTAAATTTGAGCTGAAAAAAATAAGAAAGATTTCTGAGAAAAAATAGCGAAATGATTTTCAGATCTTCTGGAAAAATCTCGAGTTATTCGTCAAGCTCCAGGCGAACGATGTTATCACATTTTTTACCAGATATACTCAGATAATGTACCTTCTCTTAAAAAGGACTTACTTCTTGATCTACCTTTAAAGGATTATTGGTTTGTTGCTCAAGCAGAATTAACTATCGATGGTGTAAACGATAAGGAGGAACATCAACTCACTGATGAGGCCTTCGATATTCTTAATTTCTCAGCGGAAGAGAAAAAGAATTGCTACAGAATTATTTCAGCAATCATGCACATGGGTAACATGAAATTCAAGCAAAGGCCACGTGAGGAACAAGCTGAGCCTGATGGCACAGAAGAGGCTGAAAAAGCTTCTAATATGTTTGGCGTTGATTCTGAAGAATTCCTCAAAGCATTGACAAAACCTCGTGTTAAAGTTGGAGCTGAATGGGTTAACAAGGGACAAAATGTTGATCAAGTACACTGGGCTGTTGGTGCTATGGCAAAGGGTTTATACGCTCGTATGTTCCATTGGCTGGTTAAAAAATGCAATTTGACCCTAGATCAAAAAGGCATTCCTCGAGACTATTTCATAGGCGTCCTTGACATTGCCGGATTTGAAATTTTTGATGTAAGTATTCCCCAAAAGTTTTTTTCCAATTTTTTTACTTAAAAATTTATATGCCATGAAATAAATGTAAAATAAATCAAGGTTACTAAATTAACAATATTTCCAAAAACCCAATAAATTTAAAATCACAATAATATTTTAGTTTAAATAATATTTTAGTTCAATTCGTTCGAGCAACTGTGGATAAATTTTGTGAATGAGAAGCTGCAACAATTCTTCAACCATCATATGTTTGTACTTGAACAGGAGGAATATGAGCGAGAAGGGATTCAGTGGACTTTTATCGACTTCGGTCTAGATTTACAAGCTTGTATTGAACTTATCGAGAAACCTCTTGGTATTATATCAATGCTTGATGAGGAATGCATTGTCCCGAAAGCAACAGATCTTACTTTGGCTCAAAAATTGTGCGATACACATCTCGGAAAGCATCCAAACTTTGAAAAGCCAAAGCCACCTAAAGGCAAACAATCCGAAGCACACTTTGCGATGAAACATTATGCAGGAACTGTACGTTATAACGTAACAAATTGGTTGGAGAAAAACAAAGATCCTCTGAATGATACAGTGGTATCGTGCATGAAAGGATCAAAGGGTAATGATCTCCTTGTTGAATGTTGGCAAGATTATACAACACAAGAAGAAGCCGCTATTCAAGCAAAAGGTAAGCGATAATCATCTATTAACTAATCAGTTAAAATTCACAGTCAACTTTTTCACTCTTATAGGGCACCTTTTTATTTTAATAAATTCAAAGTTTTTTTGCAGAAGGTGCTGGAAAGAAAAAAGGAAAATCCGGTTCATTCATGACCGTTTCAATGATGTATCGAGAATCGTTGAATAATCTTATGAATATGCTTAATAAAACTCATCCACACTTTATCCGTTGTATTATTCCAAATGAAAAAAAAGCATCCGGTCTTTTGGATGCGGCATTAGTACTAAATCAACTAACATGTAACGGTGTTCTCGAAGGTATTCGAATTTGTCGTAAAGGATTCCCAAACAGAATGATCCATGCTGACTTCAAACATCGTTATGCAATTCTAGCTGCAGCTGAAGCCAAAAGCGATGATGATCCGAAAAAATGTGGCGAGGCTATGTTGAGTTTGCTGGTTAACACAGGAAAATTAACTGAAGAGAATTTCCGTATCGGAAAAACAAAAATTTTCTTTAAGGCAGGTATATTAGCGCACCTTGAAGACATACGAGATGAACGTCTCGGACAAGTGCTTACAGGTTTCCAAGCGAGAATCCGTTCATTTTTGGGTCTTAGCGAGAGGCGTCGTAGAATGCAACAACGGGCAGGCTTACTTATCCTACAACGCAATATTCGCGCGTGGTGTACATTACGCACATGGGAATGGTTCCTTATATACGGCAAAATAAAACCAATGCTGAAATGTGGTAAGGAAGCTGAAGAAATGGATAGGATGAATGCAAGAATCAAAGAACTCGAAGAAAAAATAGCAGTCGAAGAAAAGGCTCGAAAACAGATGGAAGACGAATCTACACGATTACTCGAAGAGAAAAACTCTGCATTTACCGAGCTTGAAGAAGCCAAAGCCAAACTTTCAGACGCAGAAGATCGCCTAAATCGTGTTGGCACGCTCAAAACTGATATCGATAAACAGATCAGCGTAAATTTTATTTAAAAAATAAATTATTTTAGATTGCAAATGTATGTTTTCACAAATATTATGCAAGTGATTTATACACCCTATTTGACCCGTTAAATTCTTTCAGGAATTGCAAGGACGAGTTGATGATCAAGAAGATCGAAATTCTGATCTGTCACGTGCGAGGAAAAAAATTGAATCGGATATCGAAAACTTAAAGAAAACTATCCAAGAATTGGAATCACGACTTCAGAAAACTGAAGATGAGAAGCAAACGAAGGACCAACAAATCAAATCTTTGCAAGATGAAATGCAGCAGCAGGACGAAAATATTGCAAAATTAAATAAAGAGAAAAAGCAACAAGAAGAAGCTAATCGGAAATTAATGGACGATTTACAAGCAGAAGAAGATAAAAGTAATCGTACAAGTAAATTAAAGGGTAAGTTAGAGCAAAATTTAGATGATATCGAAGATAGTCTTGAACGTGAAAAACGATCAAGAAATGAAATCGAAAAGCAAAAACGAAAAGTTGAAGGAGAACTTAAAATAGCTCAAGAAAATATTGATGAAATCAATCGTCAACGCCAAGAAATCGAAAGCGATATTAAGAAAAAGGATTCAGAATCACAAGCTTTAACCACAAGACTAGAAGAAGAACAAGATTTAGTGAATAAACTCAAAAAACAAATTAAAGATACTCAAAGTCGAATAGCAGAATTGGAAGATGAAATCGAAAGCGAACGACAGTCAAGAAGTAAATCAGAACGTATCAAATCTGATTTACAACGTGAACTGGAGGAATTAGGCGACCGACTTGATGAACAAGGTGGCGTAACAGCAGCACAGGTCGAACTGAACAAGAAACGTGAAGCTGAATTAGCCAAACTTCGTCGTGATCTTGAGGAAGCAAATATGAACCACGAAAATCAATTAGCAGCACTTCGCAAAAAGCATAACGATGCGGTAGCTGAACTTGGTGATCAAATTGAACAGGCTCAAAAGCAAAAAGCGAAAATTGAGAAAGACAGAATTCAAGTACAACGTGAAGCAGATGATCTCATTGCTCAAATTGAAGCTGAAGCCAGTTCTCGAATGAATTTTGAAAAAATGGCGAAACAATATGAAATGCAAATAAGTGAATTACAAAGTAAATCTGATGAACAATCTCGTCAACTTCAAGAGTTGTCTTCGCAAAAAACTCGTGTTCAGTCTGAGAATACAGATATTAATCGGCAAATCGAAGAAGCCGAATCGCAAGTGAATGCAATGACACGCCTAAAGAATCAACTGACGTCCCAACTTGAAGAAGCACGACGGTCACTGGACGAAGAAGCAAGAGATCGCAATTCTTTAGCTGCTCAAGTAAAAAATTATGAGCATGACATCGACCAGGCTCGCGCATCAATGGAAGAAGAAATCGAAGCTAAAAGCGAAATACTTCGACAGCTTAGCCATGCAAATGCAGAGATACAACAGTGGCAAACACGTTTCGAAAGTGAAGGGCTTTTACAAGCTGATGAGTTAGAAGACGCAAAAAAACGCCAAATACAAAAGATCAATGAGCTGCAAGAAGCACTCGATGCTGCAAACTCGAAAATTTGCAATCTCGAGAAAACTAAATCAAGACTGGTTTCTGACCTGGATGATGCACAAGTGATTTCTTCATTTGTCTTTTTTTTGCAACATTCGACGTTTCTGATTTGGCTAGTTCATTATTAACTTTTACTTTTATGAAATTTTTCCCAGAGAAAGACTGGAGAGATAGAAGTACAGGATGATAATTCGCTCCAATCGGATTTCAATTTTAAAGCCAAGGCCTATATAAAGGAGCAAGAGATGCACCACGACAAACTGGCTCGATTGGAGCGATTGGATCTTTAAGTAGCTCTCTTTGTTTGACACTCTTGACTTGTGGTAATGCACTACACTAAAGGTCATACTTTCCCAGTTATATTTTATCACTGATGGATGAAGTTCAATTATGAAAAATGAGAAACATTGTTATTTTAAATTATTGAGGTTAAATGCAATATGGAATTATAAAAATGAAATATTTCAGCTCGATGTCGAACGAGCCAACTCTTACGCTGGTCAACTCGAGAAGAAGCAGAAGGGTTTCGATAAGATCATTGATGATTGGCGCAGAAAAACAGATGATCTGGCAACCGAAGTCGATAATGCTCAACGAGAGGCGCGCAATTTATCAACTGATTTGTTCAAGACGAAAAGTGATCAAGATGAAATTTTAGAAGTTATCGAAGGACTGCGAAGGGAGAATAAAGGTTTAACGCAAGAAATTAAAGATCTTACCGATCAGCTAAGTGAAGGTGGACGATCGGTGTTTGACATGCAAAAAATCATCAGACGACTTGAAGTTGAGAAAGAGGAATTGCAACATGCATTGGATGAGGCTGAAGCTGCTCTAGAAGCAGAAGAAAGCAAAGTGCTTCGAGCTCAAGTTGAAGTATCGCAAATTCGCTCAGAAATCGAAAAAAGAATTCAAGAAAAGGAAGAAGAATTTGAAAATACGCGAAAGAACCATCAACGTGCAATTGAGTCAATGCAGGTTTACTTTACTTTGATTCATACTTATCTTCAAATATTATAGAATTCAAGTTAAATATCGAGATATAATGCACGATATTTTCTTATATCCTTTCTTATTCTTATAAATCTTACATTCTTATTCTTTTTAAATTCATTCTTCAGAGAATAAAATTCATTTAAATGCTTTAGGCATCACTGGAGAATGAAAGCAAGGGAAAGGTTGACCTAATCCGTTTGAAAAAGAAGCTCGAATCAGATATAAATGATCTGGAAATAGCACTGGACCATGCTAATCTAGCGAATGCTGATGCTCAGAAGAATGTCAAAAAATATCAAGATCAAATTCGCGAGCTTCAACAACAAGTAAGTATTTTTACGACAAATATAAGTATTTTTACGACAAATTATAAATAATTCTTGATCGTCCACATTGATGGATCTATGAAAGTTTAAAAACTCATTGCAATCTTATATTGAAGGTGGAAATTGAACAGCATAGCCGTGAAGAGATTCGTGAACAATATTTGAATATGGAAAAAAAAGCAACAATGCTACAATCTGAAAAGGAAGAGATGGTTGTTGCTATGGATCAGGCCGAGAGAGCAAGGAAACAAGCTGAGCGTGAAGCGAATGAAGCTCGAACTCAATGCAACGAACTTACTGCTCAAGCCGAATCTTTGGCTAATATCAAAAGAAAACTTGATGCTGAGCTACTCGCGATTCAGACAGATCTTGATGAGACTCTTAATGAGTATAAACAATCCGAGGAGCGATGCAAAACTGCCGTGAATGATGCAGCTCGGCTTGCTGAATTGCTTCGTCAAGAACAAGAGAACACACAACAAAATGAACGCGTGCGCAAATCCCTTGAACTACAGCTTAAGGAAATGCAAGTATGATCCATTGACACATTTCCTAACTTCGGTTTACACCTTAAAAACTTTGATAATTTTATATTCCTTGATATTTGATCTTTTTTTAAATTTAAAGGCTCGCCTGGACGAAGCTGAAGCTGCTGCATTGAAAGGTGGCAAAAAAGTTATTTCTAAATTAGAATCTCGTATTCGAGAACTGGAGAATGAGCTGGATGGAGAACAACGCCGATTCCAGGAAACTAACAAAATTCTTAGCAAACATGATCGACGAATTCGCGAGCTTCAATTCCAAGTAAATGCAACTAAATTACCAAAATATTAAATACACATTTTATTCTTTTGCTTCATATCCTAACTGTGGAAATTTTTGAAATAATACTATTAATTAATACTATTAATACTATTAATAATTATAAGTTTAATTTTTATTAAATCTGCTAATTTTTTTTATTTTGCTTTTTATTTTGGGAAGTTTCATTTCTAATCCACAGGTCGATGAAGACAAGAAAAATGCTGATCGAACTCGTGATCTCATTGATAAACTACAGAACAAGCTTAAAGCTCAGAAAAAGCAAATTGAAGAAGCTGTAAGTTATACATATTTGTAAAATTTGGATTTCACTGATTTATTTATTGAAAACCAACCAAGCAGGGCGCCATGTGCTTACATTAAAACAACAGATAAAATAACAAATAATAATTAACGATAAAAAGAAAAAGAAAATATGACAAAAATTAACAATTTTAAGAGGAAATAATGAAGAAAATAAAAAAAAATAACATAGTATAGTACAATTCAAAGTAACTATCTAATATATAATCGGATGGTAAAAACCGAGATTTCACACTTCCTGCATAATGTGAACTTTTTAAATAATATCATAAATGATATTATCTAATCTTCTTTTAAAGATAGATAAGAGATAAGGCTGTCGCACATATAACGTTCAATAATTTATTCCAGTAATTAATATTATGAATAAAGAAGTCATGAGTCCTTACTTTAGTTTTATACATAGGTTTTGGCGATTTTAGCCCATTAGTTCTTGTTGGATTCAAATTTAGCCTAAAATTATATTTTTAGCATACTAATTTAACATAACCATACAGAATCTTATAAATATGAATTAAACCTTGTTTAATTCGACGAAAGAGAATCGAGGTTGTATTGCAGAAGTTTTTTTTGATAATTAAAATTGCAATTAGGAGAGAGGCATCGTATAAAATATTTTTGGAGTCCTTCAGTTATTTTACTTGATTTACGATATTTCGGGGAGTAGGAGTGATTTATTGGCTTATTGATTGTATAGCTTTCATTTATCAATCAGTGTTTGCAGGAAGAGCTTGCAAACGTGAATTTACAAAAGTTCCGTCAAGTCCAACATCAGTTGGACGACGCAGAGGAACGAGCTGATCATGCAGAAAATTCGCTTTCGAAAATGCGAGCAAAAAGTCGAAGCGGTACAGCAATGCCATCCGGAATTCAAAATTCACAATCTGCAGCTATACTTCGTTCCCCATCACGTTCCATGTTTTAGATGTTTAGAAATATTTGTTATATAGTGAAAGCACTTTATCTTTTATTAAAGTTTTATTTTTTTTATAGTAGGAATGCTCTCGTCAAACAAAAATTCCTTGTGATTGCGACTTAGTAAAATATATATTTAAACAAATTACAGTTTTTTACATAAAACATTCATGCAGTTATTCTAAAACGAACTGAAGAACAAAAAATTTAAGACAATCGACCATTGTCATAATTTGGTTTTAGACTGAATTTGAAATTCCGAACCAGCTATCTAGCTATTGTTCGACTGATGAAACAAAATCTGAGTTATTAATTGAAAATCCCTGAGTTTGAAATCTTTTAACTGTACTCTCGTTAGAAAGACGAAAAGAAGTGAAGTTTGAATTTGAGGATGAGCTTTAAAGTGATAGCCTATATTGATATAATAAAAAGCTTGATTTTGAAACTGAAGCTTGATGAAATTTTAAAAATTTACGGTACCCATTTTTTTCTTTTTAGCAATTTCCTGAATCTTCAGTGAGCCCATATATATATATATATACCCATGGGGAATGAGAAAGCAATTTTTAAGATTTTGATAGTTGATAACTAAATAAATAACATACAGTTTTAATAAACAGTTTTAATAAACAAAGATTTAAATGGATTTACGGACATTTACATTTTGATTTCACAGAAAGAAATCTTATGATATTGCACAATTATCCGAATTTTGATAATCAACAAAGGAATGTTATTCTGCGATATTAAAAAAGACCATAAAAATCAAAAAATATAAAAATATAGAAGAATGATAAAATATTAGCATAGAAAAGAAAACATCCATCGAAATAAAATAAAGGAATAATTTCAGAATATTTTGAGGTACGAATGAGCAATTGGACAAAATAATTTCTTTCCATGATACTAAAACTTGGCAAAATTGCGTCATTATTGAAAAATAAAATTTAAATCCGATGAATAAATCGTATAATATCGTATAATATTTATCTTTCTACCAAGAACCCCTTGAGCCTTCTTCATAACTGGTTTCAGACATAAGAGATTTTGCATCATTTGTTAAGATCTTGTGAAAAGTGAAAACTAAAGTTGGAAAATTAAGAAAAAATCAGTTCGTTTGCTGAAAAAATCATGAAAAATACCAATTTTGTGCGAGAAAAGGCGCTCATAAGTTCATAAAATTGGTCTCCATGATATTACTGTTGTTGGCTTTGTTGTGCATTCGAATCCGCACGTAAAACACTGATGATTTGGCTAAGTTGAAATTTAGTTGCAATTTTTGAATTGTAAATTTATCTAATATGATTCGAATCGTAATTTTTTGAATTGGTGCTATATGCCTTTATTTGCCGTTATGTAATGCTTCTATATGGTGGCTTATCTCCTGAATTTTCTAGTTTTATCAGATTCTGATTTTAATATTACTAAAGTATTTGTATTTGAAGTAGGGGCTCAACTCCTGTCCACTGGAGCAGCTATTATGTTCAAAAGAGATGAAAGTTTAGTTGAAAAAAAACAATTCGTAAAACAGTTTGAAGGTCCGAAATTTTTATGTTCCTTATCATTTTATAATTTCATTAAATTTCAAACTGCAACGAGAAAACAAGGAAAAAACAACTTTGCCTTCGATCCGATATATAATTATGCATGATGATTACTTGAAATGAAATTATCGCTGTTCAAATCTCAACTATAAAATAATCACTAAAAAATATCATTTTATGGATTGTCAGACGAAACAAACAATTTGTCAGGTATATCGAGAACTTTTTATTACTCTTTTCCTTTCATTTCACAATGCACCTTGGAATTGGCTCTTCTTGGTAATTAGCAAAATTTTGAGCCAATTTATCATAAAATTTTCAAATCTATTTTCGTTTGCTTTTGCTATGCCACCTATCTGAAACCTATCTAAATCAGATCTTTCTAACAATTTACAACAATAATGAAGTTAGTTTTCAATTTTCAATTGTTTTTCACAATAATAGTAATAAATTTCTTTTCTTTTTTCCTTACGAATTTTAAAAATTCTCAACAACTTTTCAAATATTTTATTTTTATTTCGTTTTTGTTTTTTTAAGGTTTCCTAAGAATCGAAAATTAACTAATTAGCTAATTAATATTGGAAAATTTTTCAGTATTTTGCGTTCAATGCGTTTTAATTTTTGTTTACTTTCTTAATGCATTAAAATGGTTCGTTTTTCATTTTTTTTTTTGATTTTTTTCTTATTTTTATAAATTATAGCCAACCACAATTACTGACAGATTATTCCCTAATAACTAAATACAATCAAATAAAAATTGTATGAAAGTGATAAACATTTGCATAAACATACAAACATAAATATTTTTGCTTTTTCCCGTCCAAATTTGGCGTCAACAAAGCTCCGCTTAAGCAGAGGACGAGAAGAAAAACAGCTGACCGTCCACCCTTTCGTCTCTCACACTGCAAGCGAAATTGAGAAAAATAATAAAGAATCATGAAACAGACTTACACCACATATCACCACTCAGCACCGACAAGAATATTTCTATTAAATGCGCCGATGATTAGTAATTCATTGCGGCTTCAGTCGCGGATAGTTTTATATTGAGCTTGCATGAATATGGGTAATTTAAGGGGCAACGAAAGATGTTGTTTGGGGGAGCGGCCTTGTTTTGTTTCGTTTATCTATTCTGGTTTCTGTACAAATTGCATTTCTTATCTTAAAAACTCGCAGAAACTGTCGAAGTTGTTGGTTTATTTTTTCGTAATCTTTAAGTATTCTCATTAATTATCGTTATTAATATTTACAGGTTTTATTCGAAAATATTTGTAAGAATGCTTCATTCAGTGAAAATCTTTGAATTATTATTGGTAATAAATTTCTTTTCTCTTTTCCTTACGAAAATTATTTAAAGTGAATTTTAAAAATTCTCAACAACTTTTCAAATATTTTACTTTTATTTCGTTTTTCTTTTTTTCAGGTTTTCTAAGAACCGAAAATTAATTAATTAGTTAATTAATATTGGAAAATTTTTCAGTATTTTGCGTTCAATGCGTTTTAATTTTTGTTTACTTTCTTAATGCATTAAAATGGTTCGTTTTTTGTTTTTTTTTGATTTTATTTTTTCTTATTTTTTTGTTAATTATAATTTCTTATTTTTAATTTCTTATAATTAATAAAAATTTTTAATGACTATTCGTGGTTTTTTTAAATATTTTATGAAAGGCTTTTAAAGGCGAAAATTCTTTATTTCTATTTTAAAATTAATTAATGATAAATTATTTTCAATTATAAATATTTTATTATTTTTGTTTGAATTTTTATTGTTTTTCTATTTTTGAAATTTTAGAGCTCGCGGTCAACAACATCAGTTTCTAATAATACTGAAGGTCAATTTAGTCATACAACTATTACATCGCAACTTCAACCAAATATTTCTGAGATGCATTCACAGTCGTCTAATTCGTCAGGTAAATTCCGTGTTTTGTTCTCGTTTTTTTTCTAAAAGCGCCCACTCTTTGGTTAGATTCGTTATATTAGTTTCGAAAAAAATTTCTAAAGGTACATAGTGGTAGAAATACAGGTATCCCCAGCACCATCCGGATTCATTCTTCTATATTCCAGACAGGTTTACTCCTGCCAGGAATATTTTTTTAATAATTTATGGGTTTTCATCATTTCAAAGCAAATAAAAAGTAGAGTCGAAAATAGTTTCTGTTTCTGCCAGCATTATTGGAATGACCTGAAGGTTATTGGATCTATAGGTAAACCACGAGTGACTGTGACTAATTTTTAATTTATCAAGTTTCAAATTTTATAGTGTCTCGTAATTCATCAATATCCATTGGCGGTTTTCAAATTCATCAGTCCTCCGCTAATCAGGTTTACTAATCTTTTAGTCTAATGATACTAATGATAGTCTTTTAAATAAATTTTCAAATTTTTAGGAAAATGCTGATTTTTTCATATTTCATGTTGATTTTAATGTTTATATTATTTCCCAAGTAATTTTCATAAACTATTGTAATTGCAGCCTCCTATATCGGCTATATCTGCAATAACATACCCTTCGTCTTCTACTCGAAGTGTGACTCGTACTCAAAGAATGAATAGTGCTCGATCTTCGAAATCGTTTGTGTTTTTTTTACTACAGATATATAAATAAGTTGTCTTGTCAGTTATTTTTCTGCAAAATTTTTGTTTGTAAAGTAATTTTTCTATCAAAATTTTAAATTTTTAAATTATATTAAAAATCTTGAATAAGCTTTAAGTAAAGATTACTATGGTTTTCTCTCTTTTCATTCCTAAGAAAGGTTTTTTTTCGTCTCTGTTTTCTTGTTTGTTTCACAGAAGTAAACCTTTTTAAAATTGGAGATTTTTTGGTTGAAAAATTTCTTCAGCAAGTAGCGCAAGACTGCGTCAGCACTTTATTTATATATTTAGTCTCAGCTCTTTTGATTTTTTTATTTTCTTCTTTTAGATCGCTTTCTTCGATGTTACCATTACTTAGTCGAAACACTGGACAATTTACGAATCTAGTTGGCTCAGTTGATAGTAGCATTACAGTGCGACAACATATACAGGAACAACAACGTTTATTAGCTATGAATACGAAGCATGATTTACTTGAATCAGTGCAAGATAGAGATGAAAAGGTTAACTTTTTTTGCAAATTAGATCAAAAATATGTTGTTCCTTGAGAATTTGAAGGTTTTATTTGATCTTTTTGTAAATATATCTTTATATCTAATATCTTTCTACAAAGGTGAAATTAAATATTTGATTATTATTTTTCTTCTGGTTTGTTTTCATTTTATTTTTAGACTTATCCAAGGCAAGATAGTGTTTTGAGTTCAGCATTTTCCATGGCCTCATTGCCGAAACCAAGTACTCGACTTAATATGCAGAGGCCTTATACTCCTCGCGCATCGAAAATAAGAAATCGCATCACAGTCGAAGCCTTGCAAATGATGCAAGGTGCTCGTGAAGTGCCAGCACGCCAGGCACAGAAGCAGTCAGCATCTACATCTGGAGCAGATTTAGTTGGTAAATTTCTTTTTCTTTGAAAGTTTTGGTCTCCATCATTTATCTATTATATCAAATTAATTTATTATGATTGTTATTAATTTATTATGCTTGTCTTGCTACCGAACAAAACCATTTTTAAAAACCTTCCCTTAAAACACTGTTGTTTCTTCAAAGCTCGATTTCTATCTATTAATATTTTGGAACCTTATTCTTTTCAAGAGTAAGACGTTTTCAAACCTGCTGATCTGCCACCATTCCTGGAAGTGACTGAAGCTACTTCTTTTTTCCACCATCTAAGGTCTATCTGTCGCTGAGTTGTCTATGCGTTTAAAGTTTCCCATGCACTGTAATGATCCAGATTTTAATTGCTTCTACTCTTTTTGACCTCATTACAGGGTCAAGTATTTCATGCGATGGGCGACAATATAGCTGTTCAATAATTTATGGTAAAATTCTTGCAGATAGTATATTTTAGTATATTCGAACAAAGTCGATAATATGAGACTCTTTAGGATCTATCTTGGGCAAGAATGGGTAAAGGCAGATAATGATATCTTCCACTATCATTAATTACGTTTCGTATAGTAAGGCTATGTATTATAGCCAGATAACTGCGAACTTTGAGTCCGATTTCGCAGTCTATAGCCTTATAGTAAATAGCCTTTACCAGATGAAAGAAAACATCTCTAGCTGCAGATTTCATCCGTTTCACCTTTCATATGGCCATTAAATTCGAGGACGAATCGGAGATTCTGGTACTTCTAGAATTTTTATTGGATTTATAGAGTTCGCTGCAATCTTATCGGCAAAAAAATTTCGTCTTAAATTGATTTATGTTTATTTGAAGGCTAATTTTCGTTCCTGCTGTCGATATTCTAATCTCTGTTGAAGTTCTTCATAACTGTCATCGAAAAAGAAAAATTTAATATATTCATATTCAATAATATATTCAAGATCCACGATACTATTGTACTCTGGACCGATTCGTATATTTTTTTAATGTCGGTAAGCGTCGTCCATAATCTGGACTTCATCGTGTTGCAATGCGCCCTCTATAGTTAGAATCATAAGGAAACCAAGAAGCATATAACGATAGTACTTGAAGCAATGTCCCAGTTTCTTATTATGAACCTTTGATCAGTGCAACCAAGCCTTGACCCAAATCTGCCCTAGTTAGCGTCCTAGCGCTACATTTCTATGAATCCATGAATCTGTTCAACAGAAGGGAGGCAAAAATTTTTGTTTGAAATCGTAGCACAAATATTTAGTAAGTTGATTTCTGTATAATTCTCATAATACGTCTTGCCATTTTCAAAAGTGGTAGCAGAATTTTTTATTCCAGTCACATGATATCAAGTAAATACAACATTTAGCAGGTTTATTATAAATGGCACTAGGCAGCATTTAAAGAGCTGATTCAGCTGATCCCCTGTCTCCATATTTCAAACCATATTATCGTTCCAATTTGTGAATCGATAGTGCTACTTTAGTGTAATTAACATCTCCTGAATCTTATAACATTGCTTTAGGATGCGATCAGATTGTTGGCCGTTTCGTATCAAATCGGGCTTGCTTTCTTCTGAGCCATCTATCTTAGGGTGGATTTAGCTGATTCTTGGAAGCAGGACTTCTAATCCGACCAGTACTTGTTGATATTTCTAGAGACACCAAAATTTTTCCGATACTTCAGTAACTCAGCTTAAAATATGCCAAATGTTCCGGGTTATTTTAATTTTTAATTCAAAGTATTTTGGGGGACGTTTCTGTGCATTATTAGTTTTTTCTTCGCTAACCATAATATGGTCAGTTTCATTCGATCATTCGAATGTTTGTTCTAATTATAACATGGTCCTACCTGTGAAGGCTGCCGCTTGCACCGAAATTTTTGCGGCTATATCTATTATATATCCAGCATAGAATTCTAACAATATTAATTGATCAAGGTCAGTCTAATTCGAATTTTGATTGTCTGACGATATTCCATGTAACTATATATCTTCTGCAATGCTGAAAATTATACTAGTAACAAAAGGCCGCGCTTCCTCTGCTATTTTTTATATTCTTGAATATATTTTTTTAAGGTTCACCACCATTGTCGTCGTCATTAAACTCGTTTCATAATGTTCAAACGCTTGAAGTATCTGCAAAAATTCAAACCAATTTACCTCAATCATCTGAACAATCGATTTTCATTCAGTCTGATAATGTTGAACGGACCGTATACCAGTCAATACAAGGTTATTCTTTTTAGGAATATTTTTCTGTAGAAATTTCTTTCTTTAATCCTTTTTAAAGTCATTTTTCACGTAATTTTAGAAGAGTTTCGTTATAAAAAATTTCGTTAGCCCACATTCATGTAGGAACTTTTATTTTCAGTTCTCAATAAATAGATTATATTAGCTGAAAATACTTCTTTTACTCTATACTTTTTTTTCACAGTTAAGACTATCGAAATGTAGAACTACAGAGTTTATAATTTATTTCAAAGCTCAAAAAAATATTATGCCTTAAATTTCATTTCATTTTATAATATCAAAACAAACGGGGATAGAATGGCTCAGTGGGTTGTTGCTAAATTTGGAGCACCGATGCTGAGGTTCGATTCCCCGCAGGAGTAACTTATCCAAAAATCCGGATGCTGTTAGTCACCTGTATTTCTTTCACCAAGAGACTCCCTGGTATACTGCTCAATGTGACAAGCTAGTGGAGAGAGTTTAACCAGTATTGGTGAGGACTCTTAAAAAAATCAAAACTAAATTGGTCATATTCCCTAAGTTCATTATCAGTCTCTGGGAATGATTTAAGACTGGTCAATCTCTAATCTGCTTTATCGCTATTCTTTTTCCACCTATTCGCGTTCCTCTGAAACTTTTAGAATGTGCCTTAGAATATAATGGTGAAGTAAAGGGGAGTTTTTAAAGGTGCTAATTTTTTATTCCAAGATCCATTTAAAAATATTGTAAGGTCCAAGTATTAACTAGTAATACAATGCTAGAAAAAATTCATTTTCTTCTCTTCAAAAAATTTCGATTTAGAAAATCGAGAAAATTTGACAAGGCATATACTATAGTTATATTCATTAGTCAATATAAATTTGAAGAATAAAGGAATTTAAAATGAAAAAAATGATTTCGTTATGAGCAGAAAATGATAGGATTAGCTTAAATGAAATTTTGAATTCCAATAGAAAGGGATGTGGAGTATTCGAAACTCTGGTTATCGAAGCTGAATTGAGCTATACGCTTTTTTCATATATCCCAAAAATTGTTTTTCACACGTAGTTCGTCATGTCCTTTCTTCACATTTTATCGAAATTGATAGAAAATTTTAGCTAATAATTCTCATACTGATCACATTCACCGCATTAACGTAACTACTGAAAATAATCAACATAATGGTCAATATCCGATCAACTCACAGGAACTTCGTTTGCGTTCACTTATTAATCGTAATCGAGTATGATTTTTTTTTTCTTTTTTTTGCTTGATTAGTTTTTTCCTATTAGTTTACTGTGATGCTTGTATGCATGCGCTAAGTGATCATTCATTCATTTTCACAGTTTTATCATGATTTTAATTTTATTGCTTTAGTATTTTGCTTATTTTAACTTATTTTATAGTTGTTAATAATATTTTTACTATTTTATTGCAGATTACATCAAATCGTATGCATATTGATAATTCTAGCAAGATTTCGTCATTAAAACCTGGTACTGAAATCAAATTTGAACTGAAGGAAAATAGTGGTGTTGGCCATTATGTTTTACCTGAAAGTGCTGCAGTGGAAGATGATAAAGCAAGGTAGAATTCTTTACAGTCTTGTTCCGTGATTAACCTTTTCCTATGGATCAGTTTTATAGTTTCCAAAGATCCGTTTCGCAAATCCAAGCTTTTCAAGTTCCTTCACCAAATCTGCAGCATCAGTATGGAGATCGAGGGCAACAATTTGTTCAATCTAATGCACAAATTGTTCATGTTTCACAAAATGTTAGTTGACACTATGTGATTAGATATATATCTTTATTCGTTAAATCAATGTTCATATGTGTTCAAAAATAAACATTGCCGAACTGCGGAGTCTAGGTTTTTAATAGGTTAGAGCCCGTTGTTTTTCGGAAACAAGAGCCCTGTTTTATTTTACTAAAACTTCCACGAACCCCCTTATATTCTTAATATCAGCGAATTCCGTGTTTTTGCCACAATCGATTATATAATAAATAATTTTAATTTTTTCATACCTTGTACTTTGGTATATATTCTGTTGATTTTTTCTTCTGGGCCTCTATTTATCTCGTTATATTCGCTGTAAGACCTTTTATACCCATTGTCAAGATATGTAAAACCCTAATGTTTTTACATCTTAATAATATCGTTTTAAACTCCACCATATTCCTTTTGAGATATTTGCCTCCCATATATGTCTCCTTATAGCATTTCATACACACTTCTGAACCTATAATTAAAATCCTTTAATATTTCTCGGATTCATTTTATATTTTTATTACTCTCTTCATTACGAAAAATATTTTTTCTTTAATACGGTGGGGCTTAGCGAACTTTTTAATGGATCCTGCTCATTCATAGGATGTATGTCCTTTCATTGTAATAATTTAATATATATTTTGCTGATTAATATACCTAGAAAAAAACTGCAGATTTTTTCTTTTTCCTCAAATTTTTCTATATTTTCAAAATTATCTTTAATTCATTGTATTTCAGTAGCATCTCTTTAAAATCTTGATTGTACCTTGTCTCTTGAATCACATTTTTTTTTAACACGAAAAGGCTGACGACAAACTTCGAAATGGAATCTTCCACTGTGCTTGCTTAAAAATTCCTCACCCTGTTACTTTCTACTTTTGCACACAATTTTAGTTCCAGTTAACATCCTTTCGAAGCTCGCTATGTTTAATTCTTTTCTTTTAATTCTTTTACCAGTCTTTTTTTGCTCTCTTGATATATCATTAAACTTTTATGTTTACTCTTTCAACACCTCAGATACAGTTATAATTATTAGCATGAAACTTTTATCTGTTCGCTCAAATCCTGTAGCATTTTGCCAATGTCTTATCATATCTTTGCAAATTTCCTTAATACCTCTGATATTCTATTATATCCTTCGTCCATAAGAATAAGGCCATGAACTGAAAAATTAAAATTGTGCTGTCTTCACTGATCCCTTAAAAATACCTTCTTGTACCGTTATGATTCCTAAACATCCTTCCTTTTATAATTTCCTAAAATCTCGCCAGATTCTATTTTCATTCAAATCTCTTTATTTTCTCAAAATTCTATTTCTTATATGGTCTTCCCAAATGTTAAATTCTCCCTTCTTTCCTGACAATTTCATGAAAGGTATCCTCACCATTACTGGTTGGACTCACCCTCGCTGGATCAATGTGCCAAGAAGTCTTTCAGCTATAGAATTATAATATAGATAAATCACCAGAATTACCCGGACTTTTGAGCAGGTTTCTACTGCGGGGAATAGAACCTCAGCATCAACGCTCCGAATTGCCATTCTACTCACCTTCGAACTTATTCTGTTTTTTTCTTGAAACTCCTTTAAAATTTCCTCCAATTTCTTTTTTTTTTATGCTTTATTAATATCATCTAACTCATTTCTTTTATTTTAAATTATAATTTCCACAATAGTTGAATTTTTTCAAAATTAGTTTTGTTTTTTCATCCCTTATTTTTGCACCAAGTTTAGCGCCTGAATGTATTTCTTTATATATCAGCCTCATTATTTCATTAACATCCTAATATACCATGGCATGAAGTACTTTCGTGAATCCTATCGCAGTACCTAATCATCTCTTGAAACCCAGCTATTTATGAACCTCTCAAACTTATGCTTATTTTTGTCTTTTTAAAATTTTGTTTTTTTTGTTTTTCTCCTTACGGAGCTTTTATATATATTTAGCTGTTAATAATATCTTCTTAAAATTTTGCGATCTAAGTCTCATATTAAACCTTTTTCCGCATTTTATTTTATTAGAGACTACTAACATTATTTTAAAACTTTTAGGTCATGCTTTTTTTCCTTTCCTTCTCTTAATAACTCACGATTGAACTAATGTCGACTCACTGCACTCAGTGGGTGTTAAGGTTCAGATTTTACCAACTACTATGTTTTTATTTTATTTCTTCCTAATGTTAAAGTGTGCTTCTATTAAAATAATAAGAGATAAAAAAAAAAATTATCCTAAAAGCGAAATTTTCTATAAAATTCAACTTATTTTTTGTCGACAGATTTAGATAACGTAATGATGGATTATTGATCATTAAAATTTTTTTCAAAATTACGATATTTTTAAGGTGCCAAGTGAATTAAATCTTATTCATTCCAATGGGATCGCTATTCAGCCTGGGTTACTAAAACATCCACAAGAAAACGTGCGGCAGGTTTTCATTCAGGTTTATAAAGTTTTTAAATGCATTTTTCTTAAAGTGGTAAATAAATGGTAAATAAATTAAATCCTTAGATTTGCTAGATTTGCCATTCAAAATGAATTGTTGAAACACCTCAGTGAAATGGATATCAGTGGCATCTCTGGAACGGCAGATGAATACTGGGGTTCCAACTAAAGGCATTGGAGACGACGACTCGATTCATAAAGCAATGAGGAACTGTCAATGAAATGATATACGGGATAATAATGGTGTGCTTGTTGAGGCTACTAAAAGTGCTTTGTAGGATGATGGTATATTTCAGTGTTCTGCAGAAAATCATTCGATTTCTTTTATTAGCGGCACAGGTCTTTGTACATGGTAAATTCACAGATTCGTTCGAAATAAGAACTGAAATCCGACAAGAATATGTCTTTTACCCTACAATATTCAATTATGCGATAGACTGGATAATGGATATCGCTTGTCGGTACTCGTGAGGTACACAAATTAATCCAGAGCATAGTACCACAGATCTTGAATACGCTGATGATTTAGTCCTTTTCGCTAACAATTCGATGAGATGCAAATAATGCGAAACATATCACCAATTGCACCGAGAATTGGATTCAGAATTACTTAATAAAACGAAAATTTTTTCATTTTACTTACAAGAAGATGATAAAATATCTATTTTTATCGATTCATTACTGGTTGAGGAAGTACCTGATTTCAAATACCTTGGGTCCACTCTAATATCAAATGGACAGGCAAAAGATGATATTATAACTCTGATCACGGTAGCTAGAAATGCCTTCTTCCGGTTTACGAAATCTTTCTGGAGCCGTCGTGAAATTTCCATAAAAACGAAAGTCCGCATCTATACAGCCGTGATCCGTTCGATCTTGCTATATGGTTCTGAGACATGGCCAATGAGAATGGAGAATATTAAGAAGTTGTCTGTCTTTGACCACTCTTATCTAAGGTACATTTTC